TCCCAACAAATTGTTTTATTCCATCTCAATCCAAAGTGCAAAATAGGGTTAAAAAAGCTTTTAGATTGAAATGGAATAAAACAATTTGTTGAGACTAGTTTTTATGGCCAAAAGTGAATAAACGTGGGAGAGAAGAGATGAAGGGGTATGGTGAAATACTTGAGGGTTTTTTTATGCCGCTTGAAAGAAAAATAGAAAAAGGATCTACCGTGAAATACGATGGGGAATTAAGGGTCTGTACGAAATTTGCCCTTTTATTTTGTTCTTTATTTATTTTTTGACAAGTTTGAGTGCTTTTTATCTTTCAAAATGAATGTAGTCCTCAAGTGGTTGATAAGCTGACATGCATTGCTTCAAGTATACTGACTTGTACCTGTTTCTATGTCATTGACTTTGATCATAATTGTGAGTCTCTTTCTGAGATATGCAGTTATCTTTTTTCTTCTTTTACTGTATCTATTCCTTTATGGGTATGAGATGGTCCCACTGACATCTCACAGATTGCTAGTTTATTGTTTACAGGGAGTAATTTGGGTGCTCGAACCAGATAAAATTCCGATGGTGTTTCCAAATGAACCTCGAAGTAAATCTGGAAAAGAACCAAAAAGCAAGAAAGAAACTGTGGAGGTGTTTCCTGTCAAGAAATATGCCAAGATTCAAGATCGAAACCTTATCCTCACAGACTTGGATGGTTCTGAGGCTATAATTGAGCTCGAGGGTTGTAGAATCATGGCTGTTTCTGCTGGACCTTCATCTTCTAGAAAGTGGTAAGGGGCTTAGTTATATAATATCAGCATTCTCTATTCATTATTCCCACTGCTTAAATCTATCATGATGTGCATCTTTAGGGCCAAAAGGTACCCCATCATACTGGAAAGCAAGAATGCTGCGATACTAAATGGAAAGAAAACCTGTTATATATATCTTGAAACTTCTTGGGAGAAGGAATCTTGGTGCAAAGCCCTTCGCCTCACATCCAATATGGAGAAGGAAAACCTCAACCGGTATAAGAACATAAATAAGGAATTTCATCACTATTTGTCATCCTTGAATGCAGAATATCCTTCATTTTTGAAGCCATCCACTGGGTTTGGAGAGCCAAAAGACAGGGTGAATAGGATTGATGGGCCTTCCTCCAAGGTTCGTGTTCTTTTAAAAAAGCTTGCTAATAAGGCTTCGAAAAAAGGAGGGGTTGGAAATAAGGTGGGTTCTCCACTAAATTCAAATCGTGAAGAGAAAAAAAATAGTGATCGGTCACGTCTTATCCGAGATTCATCATCGGCAAGTGGCTTGACAAAAGCTGCTTCAACCAATAAACTTACTAGCATCTCCTTGGAACCAGATGCAATGCTACCTTCGTCATCATTTTTAGCTAATTATCGTTCACAAAGTCAGAACTCTACCCTTTCTGATGCGGAATCAGATACTGGAGGTTGTACCAGTTCAGACAGTATTCATGATAGGCCGCCTATCAGTGATGAAGGGACTCTTTGTTGTAATTTGCTCTTTTCTAGGCTATTCTTTGATGCAAAAAGAAGTGCACGTTTGACCAGTTCCATACGAATGCTTGTAGAGGTGCAGATAAGAAATGCTTCTTAGGCCTTCTTTGCCCTTTTTTACTATTCCAATACTTGTTTTAGGGAAACTTATCAAAATACACCTCATTTTTCAACTATTTAACATTTTGCCCTTTTTCTACTGTTCAAACTTAAAATCACATGCACTTTGATGGTCATTTTGAAATTAAATTAAGGCAAATTGCTTAAATGTTAAACAGCTAATATCGTAGGTGCATTTTGAAAAATTTCCCTTTTCTTTTAGTTCATAAATCTTGCTACTTATGTTTCATTGTATATGCTTTTATGCTTGTAAACTTGAACTGATTGTGTATTATTTATTAATTCCAGAAGATGCTCAACAATTTGATATTTGGTATTCTTTTGGCAGAGAGCATTGTCAAACTTGAGAACCCCTTCTTTTGTTAGAGGAATAACGTGTAGTGAGCTGGATGTTGGGAACCTTCCACCTCATATTCATAACATTAGGATTCTCCCTGTGGACTTGAATGAGATGTGTGCAGCAGAAATTGACATTGAATATTGTGGTGGTGCACTATTAGATATCGAAACAAGGTTGGAAGTTCGCGAACCAGACTTCAAACGAGACCTTGTTGATACAAGTCTTGAAGAGAGCACTGTTGGAGAGGCAACAGCACATCTGCTTGAGGGAGTTGAATATTTTGGTGACCAATTAAGGTTTACAGAAGATGCTACAGGGGGGACAGAGAATAGAGGAGGTTTGGACAAACCAGGTAAATATGACTGCCAAGCTGACACCGTTAAATTCAGTTACACTTGATATCTGAAGATGTTTTTGAGTTCAAGGATGATTTATGTTGGAAGCTTTATTTTTTCAAGGATATAAACTGGGGACATGTCTACATATTGGAGGTTTTCATGGGGAAGTGTTTGTTGTTTTAACCCAAGGCCATGTCATATTGTTTCATGTCATGCTGTTTGTTTTTTTGAAGTTATTAACTATATTGTATTAAATAAAGGTTTACAAGTAACAATTGTTATCCAAAAAAATAGACCCATGAAAAATTTAAAATTAGCAAATTATATATGTATTCTTTGGTAATTCAGTGAGGAATACAGGCCCCTACCTGTTTTTGAAATGGTTAGATTTTCGAAGCTGTCAATAAGATTGGAGAGCCCGATGTGCGACTAAGGCATGATGTTTTAAGTTGCTTAGTTGTTGAGGCTATACATCCTTAGTAACTTTTACGATTTAGTGTATTCCAAGTCTTAAGAGCTTTTTGGTTTGTAGGACGTGGTTTTCTTTCTTTCTTTTTTTTGTATAAATTCAGGATGCAGTTTATTTATAGACAAATAATTGTTTGAATACACATTCATATATATATATATATATATATCATGCAACACTTGTATAGTAATATAATGCAACAACCTTCAAGAACCTTGTTAGTGCCATTTGTTTGGTCCTAATTTGTAAATATACACTCTTTTCATTCCATTGAACAATCACTAAAAAAAAAATTGAAAATGCAACTTAGAAAGTGTTATTAGCCCAATCAACATAAGCCATCCATTTTGTTAAGGTGCTTAGATATAAGCCTTAGAAGAATTTTTCTCTTTTCAAAATTTTTGGATAGCTTTGTTATCATTCAATGAACAATGTGGAAAAAGAAAAAAAAATGATTGAGTTCCTAATGGCCTAGATCTTGAAATTCATAAAATGGACGGTCTAGATTCAATGTTGGAGGGAACTCATTTTAACCATATCTATGATGCAAATTCTTTTTTTATTTTTTTTTTGAAAATTGACTATTGGGATGAAGAGAGGGTATGTGCAATTTTTGGGGTGATACAAATGCTACAAACATACTTTTCTAGAAGTGTGGTTGCATTAGATTACTATACAACTGTTGCTATTTCATTGACCAAGCTCAAAGTTCAAAAGAAATTTTCTCGAACTTTGCGACCCATCCAAGCTATCAGATTTCACATCGGATGGTTATAAGTAATTGTGACCTTCATGTACTAAAAGTAAATGGTCTCATTGTATACAATCCCTATATATATATATATATATCATGGTAACTAGCTTCTAAGCAAATAATATATCTACATAAACTCTATTATATGCACAAAGTATTTTTTAATACGTTTCAGACAGTATGTAATTTGGGCATCATAGAAAATGTACAAGAGAAAATGCCAGAGGATACTTATTAATAAAAAAATATAGCACGTGCGCCAACAGTCTGATGCTATATTCTCATATTGTAAGAAGAAACATAGGAGATGATCAGCTCCCCTATCACTCGGTCTCCATTATCAATACACACAATGTTTAATGCGGGTTATATCATTATCCATCCTTCACATACAGATTTTACCTAATTCATTAATGTTTTTTAAAAAAATTGATGGATGTTAAGACACCTCGGTATTCACTATCCTGGACGATTACTTCTATAATGATCACGGGTTCTAAGATGGCCTTAACTTAAGGATTGTAAACTTGATTTGTTTCTTAAGAGAAAAATATAGCCTGAACAAGTGTTGGTTTATGACTTCGTCTCAGAAGTTGTTTGCTACACCATCCTTCTTTAGCAGAAAATAATGTATCTGGCATTGTTCAGATATTGCATATCACTTGATGCAACTTCTGATTTGATTGCATTGTTGCAGACCTGATGCAGAGTACCGGTTGGAAATCAACTTATGCATCTCGTTGGAAATCTATATTGAATTCTGTGGCTGATCATGTTTCACAGGTTCCATTTCCTTAACTCCCATAACTCATAGTTCATTGAATATTTGAAGGGTACTTTTTTTAATTGAACTTTGTGAGTAGCATATATTAACTTTTTAGTGAATTTTACTGCATCTACTGGAAGATTTTGTACATTTTGGCTGATGTGTGAGGAAGATCATCTGATGAAACTGATAGTTAAACAACAAAAGCTACAGATTTTTTATGCTGCTGAATATTATGCCAAAGAGTTGCTACTTGTTGAATATAATGAAAAGCCTTTTTATGTGCTCCCAACTTGAAAAGATGAAGGAAAAAAGTAGATGCGGATAATCGCCTGACAAATTGCATGATTTTGTGATTGTCAATTTGTGCCTAGGCTTTTTTCTCAAGCTCTTTTATTTTTTTGAAGCTCTTCATCCTCATTCTTCGATAGGAAGAGCATCACAGATTTCTTATTGCTTGGTGTACCTGAGCTGCTGAGTTTTTTCTAGAATTTTTTAGACATGCCCTTCAACTAAGCTCAAACGAGAGGCATCAAAGGATAAATTGATGGAAAAGTATACAAAGAGACCATTTATTTTTTATATGAGGAGGTCACAATCACCCTTGTCCATCGGATTTCAAATCGGGTGGTTATAAATGTGTCATTGACTAAATTCAAAATTCAGAGAAAAATTTCTCGAACTCTGTAACACAACTCAAGTTGTCCAATTTGAAATCGGATGGATTGAGGTATTTGTGACATCCTTATAACAAAGGTAAACGGTCTCATAGTATATAATCCCTATATTAATAGGTCTCTTAAGTTGTTTTTGGTACGTTTCTGTTTTTGTCGTATAACATCTTGAATTATGTCAGTTCTTATTGACATGTCGTCCCATAGTAGGTGCCCTTGTCCTTGGCAATTCGAGTCACATCTCTTCGAGGAACACTTCGAATACATATCAAACCTCCACCTTCTGATCGTTTATGGTTTGGCTTCACTTCAATGCCAGACATTGAGTGGGACCTGGAGTCTTCCGTTGGAGAACATAAAATTACCAGCGCACAAATTGCTTTGCTCATTAGCAATCGTATTAAGGTACTTGCTATATCCCATATTGCAAGTCTTGATTATCTTCAAACCGTCAAGGAGACCTCCTGAATACCATTATTTTGGTTTGCCATTTTGCAGGCAGGATTGCATGAAACTTTGGTTCTCCCGAACTGTGAAAGTGTGTGCATTCCATGGATGCTAGCTGATAAAGATGACTGGGTTCCTAAGAAGGCTGCACCATTTACATGGGTCCATCAAGAAGTTGGTGAACCAAATGGATCCAATAGATATGAGCACCATCCTGTTGGAGTTATTAGACCTAGGGCAGAGGCTGAGCATGAGATTAACCATTCAACGGACAGTTCATTAAGACCAAAGGATGCACCATACCCTACGCAACCCACTGATGAGGTATCATTCTCAATGGGTGCAGCGATGCCTCCCTCGAGTTCTTCACAATCCATGCACAGCCATGGTAGGCTTGAGGATCTGAAGTTACCGCTTCTGACGAGTGAGGAAGAAATGGAAACTAAAAGCATTGATAGATCAGAGACTTCTGATAGCACCCAAGCTGCTATTCTAAGAGGGGATGAACATAGGATCAATTATGCAGCTGAGAACGACAAGTCAAAGAGTGTAGGGAGGAGAGCGAGGATGATGGATTTCAGCAAGAAGATGGGTGAGAAACTCGAAGAAAAAAGGCGGCATCTCGAAGAGAAGAGTAAACATCTTGTGGAGAAAATGAAAGGATATGAGATTTGAGGGCTGGTGGTAACACTCTGTTCAGTCCAAAATCTCCACAAAATGCACAGTTGAGAAGCAACCACCATTCAGATTGTTTGTTGTGAGAATGTTCTTATGCCTTTATTGGTTTATTTGGTTTGTATATTCGTACATGTCAAAGAAACGGTGTTTTAAGAGCTCCCTGTCTTGACATTTCTTGGGGCCCTCAGAATGTCACAGGTAATATTCACAATGAACATCAAAACAAAGTTCATATATCCAGTTTTGCGCATGTCGCTTGCCTTTCTCATAAGTCATAAATATGCGTTTTTTTTTTGGAAAAGTTTAAATTATGAAACAACTGACTTAATGACAAGCCTTGTCATGAATGGTTTCTTAAATGGGTTGGTTATTGCTTCTTTGCATTGCCTAGGTTCAAGGATGGCTTCCTATTTCTATTCATTGGAATGGGTAAGTAGGGTTTAAATCCATCGCCTTTTGGGTCCAAACTCCAAAGCATAAATGCAACATTTTATACGTATACCATACAGTGCAGCACACATAGAAGTGTGCCGCACACCATAGAAGCGCGCATCTTCTGAGATAAAATTGAAGATTACTCAACGATAAATACTAACAGGGATTTATCCCATACTTAGTGACCCACTATCGATTCTCTGATTTTCTAACTCCATGCTTGCATTACTTCTTTTTATAACTAAAGGTTTATACACTTTAGGTACATGGAAACCCACTTGAAGCTCGAGGGCAGGTAATAGACAAAATGAGAAAAACTAATACATGTTTCCTTCCTCCCCACATCACCAATATTTGATGCCAATCAGCTGCGAATACATGCCATTATTTTGGGGGTAGGGGGGTAACTCGGCAGTAGGAATCGAACTCCATTATTTTGGTGGTAGGGGGGTAACTCGGCAGTAGTAATCGAACTTTGAGATGTAGTGTTGTTAGCATCAACTGCTAACCACTCGAGCCCAAGCCGGATTCCTAGCTGCTGGTACATCTCTTTGCCACATTGCCAATGTTTAATAACAATCAGCCGTTTGGTAGAACAGTATTTCAAATGGGATAATTTCCCTTGGAAGAAGTGAAGGTTTCCCTTGGGCACACATTTCATGAAAAATGAAGGTTTCCCTTTGGCTCGCAGCTTGGGCTGGAAGCCAATAAGGTAGAGAATCCACAGCAAACTTCACATCAGATCTTAAAACACTTGTATCCATATTCCAAACTCGTCATCCCTTCCTCCCAGTCACCCAAGCGCCGCCCACCAAAAACAACCTGCTGAATCCCTAGATATCTGTGAGAGTAAGAGTAACCCACACAAAGACCGTTTTAATTCTCCCAAAGGCTAAGCGCAATAGGACTAAAAGATAAAAGAACAGTTATTGCATTCAGTTCAACAAAAAAGACAAGGCCATAATGACTACTGGTATTTGTGACCAATGCTTTATTATTAGCTAAAAAGCTGAAACTATTTAGATGGTTGGAAAATATACACATTTCAAAACGTCATGTTTCATGTTGTATCATAGGATTAATTGGGCATTGAATAATAGAAAGCAAACTAAGATACCTTTGATAAGAAACACACGCTAGTTTAAACCATGTAAAATGAGTGAATTTTAGAGTGTGAGAAATTGTGTTGGAAGCTTACTCCGAGCTCAATACAGTTAAGCAGTTGAGCAAAACATCCATAGCAAAGAAATCACATGTTCCAAGGTCTACCCTGCAATAAGAAACAACGAGAATCAATAGTGGAAGAACTTATGCTCGAGCATCACCATCAGAAGTTGTTCAGGTATTACTGCAGATAAAAAGTTATAAAGGAAGAAGCTCCCTTCTATAAAGAAAGCAGTTAATCAGAAGCCTCTTACCATACTCGGCCCCAATTGTCCTGAAATTCAACATCACTAATATCATGAAACGATGATGGCAATGCATTGGCACCTTTATCGGAGTCATACAAAGGATTATAATCCATAGATGCATTTGACACCTGCAATCAAGCATGAGCTACATTTATTAGCATTGAATTTATTACATAATGCAACAAAAAAAATAAGTCTTATTGATAAGGAAAGAGATCATCCAACAGCCCCGAAAACAGTGGTGCAAAATGTGTAAAATTCCTTCCAAATGTGCACTAGGCAGATCATTATAATGAATTCAATCAGCAGTGGTCTTCTGCAGCTTGGGAAAGGAAAAAAGTTGATGATTCCCTGGCCAGAGGGGCTTTTACGGAGGAGCTCATTAAGGGAACACAATCACTCTCCCTAGAATCTATGATATCTACTTATATTAAGGTGTTCCCATAAGCAACATGTTGTACCGGAACCTCACTGAGGGTATGGCCCTTGATAGAGCATCATGGTAGACCAAGATTCGTGTAGCCAACTCCAATTAGTTGGGAAAAGGCTCTGGTGACGATGATAAATCACTCTCCCTAGAAAATCAAACCTTTTGTATCCTTGTAATTTTTTTGAGCTTCTCATCATAAAGGGGGAACAACCAAATTTAAAGTGTATATCAAAAGGTTTATATCACATTAAAGGCCAACAACAAATTATGACAATTGCTGAATCACATTAAATGACTTCATGCAGAACTCTCCCATCAGTACCTTGCTAACATTACCAAACTAGAAAATTTGTCAACGAAAAATCTAATCACACCAAAAATAAATTTAACTGCAAATAAGGAGTGGACCAAGAAAGTATCATATAAATGCAATGAAAAAATAATAATAAACATTTAATGTAAATCAAAGAAAAAATCAGAAATAGTATGTATTAGCAATACAAAAAAAAAAGCTTTTCATTTACATTCAGAACTTTCATGTGTTGAGCGTGAGATAAGATGAGGGTTACTGTAGGGAGCATATGTTTTAATTAGATGAGTGCAAACCCTTGAAAAAACATTATTATAAAGGCATAGGAGAATCGACCTGGAGATTGGAAGAATTGAAGGCTCCCAAACGTCCCATGACATACCAAGACTGAAAAACCTGCAATATGAACCACCTCTGAAATCTTCCAAGTCTATATTTCACTTTTTCATGTACTGTTTATAAATGGATTACTTACACTGCCAATTAGGTCGACCTCACGGTCTGATGGAGAACCATAAAGTTCAATCCATATGTAGGAATCAGTAGGATTAAAGCTGCAATCAAATTGACGAATCACCAATCTAAAAAGAAACTGAAAGTTGCATCTCAGTTTTATAATGAAAACGACCGCAACAAATTTATTATGCATCCTCCAGCTAGACGTTAGAGAATATTCAGTAAGTAAGAACTACATAGATGATCCATTTCTCATGGGTTCCATAATAATATGTCCCATTATCCATCAACTTCTTAAAATGATATTTCTACTTCAACAATTATATCCAGAACAAGGGCAAGCAATGCCTTGTGTGTGCAAGAAAAACATGTAAAAAAGGAATAATAGAAAAGCCCACTAGATTTCTTCAACCAAAAGGAACTGTGTGTGTTTAGTGTAGAACTAAGCAAAAGGCATATAAGTACATAACAAAGTATTCCATGGAGGAATGCAAATCACTAGCACTTGTTTCTATATCAAGCACCCATGTGAAAGTGTTACAAAGACTATTCTACAAGTAAAACTGTCTTCCAAGTGAATGCTTACTCTCTAAAGCTGACTTTGAAAGCAACAACAGAGCCAGTTTTGGACTTGTGGAAATCTCTACCTTTCTTTCTTACCCGTTCTTCAACCTGTCAAAGAAAAAAACCATTTTTAGTTGAAAATGAGGAGTGTAAATGCATGTTAGAGTCTGAGGGATAAAAATTTACCTTTTTCCTAATCTGCTCCGGATTTCCAATGCTATCTCCAAGCACTGCTCTGAGTTCCGTGTCATCTTTGCATGCATCCTCGAGGACCCTGCCAAAGAATTGCTCACAGGTGAAAGCCTAAAAAGTCTGTTTCCCAAAAATGAGAGGTGAGAAAACAGCAAGTCATTGTAGTGATCATGAACTTAAACTTCTTCTCACCAACACTAATAAAAATCAATGCATCCACTAAAATTAACAGAAATGAATGCAAAACACCTGTGTTTGGCAAATTCATAGAGGATTTGCAGTCTAACAACCCAAAGTCAACCTGCCAAGAGGGCCACTTCGTAGACTTCCCATTATTTTTCTTTTTTGAAATGGCAAGCCATGTTATTGATAGACTTTGTATTACTGGTAGACATGTTGGTTTTAGGGGAGGGAGGTCGAGTATTCAAGCCTTTGAAGTTAATCCCAAAAAACCCAAACAAGATACCTAGCCTCTTATGTTTTTTTCATATAATTGTTTCTTTGCATTTGAAAATAAGTGGCGCCCCAGCAGAGCCACCAACAGAGGTGGTGCCCCCAGCAGACCCCCCCCCCCCTCCCCTCGCACAAAGCTGCGAGACCACCCAGCTCTTTTGCTCAAGTGGTCTCTTCCTCACCTGCTGTTCAGACTTCTAAGTTGTCCTCTCCGGCTCCTCCTTCAACTTCTTGGGACTCGGCCCTGCTGCCTCCACCACCCCTTGGCCTCATTCGCCTCACCTTCCTCTTGTCATTTCCACGCCGGTGGAGGTGTCTACCCCACTCAAATCGAAACTTCTTTCGTCCTTGGTGGGTTTCTTCCATCCCAAAAGGGAAAACTTCAGATCTATAGAAAAATAGGGGCAACGCTCGTGGAATGAACCTGATTTGGGTTGTCGTAGGGGCCTATCTTCTTCGACTTCCCCTCGGAGGGGAGTGCCTTGAGAGCTCTAAAGACTACTGATACGTTTAAATTCAAAGGGGCAAGTCTGAAACTCCATAAATGGTCCCCAGTCCAAGGGGCATTTAACATCTGGGTAACTGCCTCACCTATCCTTGCACGCATGGTCTCCCACCATCTTTAAGAAGATAGCTGAAGCTTGTGGGACATTGGTCGAAATACACTGGAAATCGCTGGAATTTCTCCCTCTGGGCTCTATCCGCCTTCTCGTTGAAGTCTTGGACCTTTCACTTATCCCACCTTTCCTTAGGCTTGAGGCGGAGGAGTTCTTTTTTCGCCTCGAGATTTCCTAAACCTTGGCCTCTCCCCCCTCATCTTTCTTCTTTCCACCAGAGGACATAGGTCCTCCGCACAAGTATGAGCAGTCAGACTGGAAGAAGGTGACTAGAAAGCACCACCACCCTTGGCGGTGCCACCAGCCAGGCGAACCTCAGCAACCCAAGACTCGGGAATCAAGGACCACTGCAGATCAACTAACACAAGCCCACAATCGGAGACCTCGAGATCCATGACCGGCATATGGGTTTGTACCTATTCGTCCCACTCCCAGCCATGTCACCCAGCCCACCTTGCAAGCCGTAGCGCGTAACGGTATGCCTTCAGTGCCAAAAGCCCTACAGCCTTCGCCAGGTGACACCTCCCCCCCCCCCCCCCCTGGCATGGCAAGGAAATCTGGGTTGATGATGTCAACTAGCCGCCTTCCCAAATACTCCTCCATCCTTCAATGCCAAGTCCTTTTGGACACGCCACCCCTCCCTTGATTACTTTGTCTCCCCGTTCGGGCCTCTGACCCAAACCCTACCCCGTTTGTCCCTCGTTGCTCTGAACTTTCGAGTTCCGGACTGGAACCGAGTCAACCCTCACCCATTGCCTTTGAGAAGCCGCCCCCGTTGCCGACCCTCTCGCTGGACACTTGTCCTCCCTTTCCTGGCATCCTCGGGAGAACCTTCTTTCCTGCCCATCCCACCTAAACCATCTAATCCTTTTGGTGACATTTATCTTACTCCCCTCTCTTTGCCCCTTGAGATTCCCACTGCCTCACCTTCCTCGTCGTCGCTCACCTCTACCCTACCCTTGATTTCCCCTTCCACTCAACCATTTGAGCAACCCCCTGTGTGCTCCATTCCTCCACCCCAACTCTTTAACCTCTCCCTCCCCCTTTACCCTCTCTCCCCCCCTTTGACAATGCACTCATCCTCTGCAGCAATTGTCAACCACTGTTACATCAACCACCCAGCCTGGCCCTTCTATCCCTCCAGTTGCTCCTCAACAACTCAACTGTCTCTCCGCTCTCTCTCCCCCCTCCTCACCCTGCTTTACTCTATCTCGCCCCCCAGAGGTAACCCAATTTTCGCCTGAACCCAACCCCTTGGCAATCACTTCCTTCTTCGGACTCACAGGGGTCCCATCGGTTTTCAAGCTCCTATAGAAACAAGCAACGTCCCAGTCTGAGCATCCAAATTCCATGAAGTGGCCATCCTTCCTCGAAGGCATCCTAGTGGTCGAAACTATTGACCCCAGCCCCCTGACCCGGAGCTCCTAGCTTCTTTACTGGCTCCTTACCTTCCCTACAACCCCATCCTAATTCCCATTTGTCGCATTACCACTGTATGGGTTCCCGTCTTTTTACCCTCCTCGACCACCCCCCCGGATTCTCTTTTGGCTCTAGCCTACTGGATTTCGACCCCATCGTTCTCTTACTGGCCCCCCCCTTCGCCTTACCTCCCCGCTACCTTCCCTCCTCTGGCCTACCCTTACAACTTGCCTCCCACCCACCAGACCACTAACTTCCCATCAGCCTTGACTTACTCGAACTCCCCCCCCCCCCCCCCTTCCCCCATCCTCTGCTCCCCACTCCCCTTCTCTCAAATCTTTCTCTACCCCACTTCCCTCGCCCGCCTCCCCCCAACCCCCGCTAAACCCAAACCCTTCTTCTCTAAAGGTTTTGGCCTCTCTTCCCTCTTTTGTCCAATGCTCTTCGCCCCTCCCTAACTGCTACTACTCTCCTCGTTCACCCTCTCCCCCAACCCCCACATCTTCTCCTCTCTCTCTGATTCTTACCCACCTCTCCCTATTGACCTTTACCCCGGTAACTCGTTCAAGGAGCCCCTTGGGTCATCATTAACACTTGCTGGCCCTAACCCCTCTCTCTACTCGTTGGGCAATTCATCCATGTCCCCTCTGACAACTTCTTCGCTGGACTCCGCTTTCGTTGACGGCATTGATCGCGGACAGGCAGACTTCAAGGAACTTCTTAAAGTGATGGGCTTCCCCCATAATGGACCTGAAGGCCCACTTCATCGCTTCTTTGAGGCAGATGCCCAGAGCAGACTAAAGGTTCTGAACCTCTATTCCAACATCAACTATGAAAAACAGGCCTCCATGGGACTATCCATTGCGCCTGTTGTACAGCCTAGCTCCTCAGAGTCTTCTCTAAGAAGATCCTCTAGGCTGGCACACTTTCACAACCCTCCCAGTTCCTAATGAAGATTTTGTCATGGAATGTGAGGGGGATGGGTCAGGCCCGCAAACGAAATGTAGCTAGGGATCTATATGTGAAGCATAATCCCACTATCCTAGCCCTCGCAGAGACAAAGCAGCCCATCCCAACTCAGCAACTCATTCGTCAGGTTTGGGTACGCAGGCCTAGCCAATGGGTCTCTTTGCCCGCTATAGGGGCATTGGGGGGCATCTGGGTCATCTGGAACCCAGGAGAGCACTCTTTAGTATCTTCCTTTCTAGGGGAATTCTCCCTAACTGTCCTCTTGTCCAAAACCACAGAAGGATATCTTTGGAAGTTCACGACCATTTATGGGCCGAACTCTGCAACTCAATGCTCCATCCTACCTCAACCCTCCTAGTGCCTTGGGGGGGATTTCAACATTACGAGATGGTCCTTTGAAAGGAACTCAAACTCCAACATCTCGCAAGGGATGTTGGATTTTTCAGATTTTATTGGATTTTTCAGATTTTATCTCTCGTAACGAGCTATCGAACATTCCCCTTCAAGGTAATCTCTTTACCTAGTCGAACCATGCTTCTAACCCCACCCTCTCTAAACTAGATAGGTTCCTCCTATCTTTGAAGTGGGACGACGACTTCCCTGGATCCCACTCCTTGGCTTTACCTAAACCTACTTCAAACCACTGCCCTATCCTCCTGGATAACCAAGCCCTCCCGAGAGGACCTAAACCTTTTCGCTTCGAACTATCTTGGTTGGAAGAATCATCCTTGTCCTCTCTTATCCCACAGTGGTGGGACTCCTACTCTCCCCTCGTCTCGGGTAGGGCTGGGTACATCCTGCAAACAAAGATCCAACTGCTTAAGGCTTCCCTAAAAACCCGGAGTAGAACCATCCCCGAAAACTTCACACATCACAAATCAACCATCCTAACCTCCATCCAAAATCTTGACCTACTGGAGGAATCACTTCCCCTCTCGACCTCGGAAGCCAATCTCATATCCCACCACAAACAGGAATATTTCTCTACCCTCAAAAAAGAGGAGCTTCATTGGCATAAGAGATAGAGGGTAAAATGGTTAAACCTTGGGGAGAACAATATAGACTTCTTCCATCGCATAGCAAACTGTAGGAGGAGAGACAATTCAATAGCAACAATCGAAGATGATAATACCATCTTGGACCAACCACCCCAGATTGAAGCAGCAATCCTCTCCTACTTACTGAACCTTTATTCGACACCTTTGGATCCAAGACCCAGGATGGGTGACCTCCATTTTAACCACATTCCTTCAAATTGGGTCAAGTGGTTAGAGCGTCCCTTCTCAAAATCTAAGATCCTTGCAGCAGTCTCAGCCCTCGGGAAAGACAAAGCCCCATGCCTAGATGGTTTCCCAATAGCCCCATTCTACACCTTTTGGAACACCTTCAGGACAGACTTCCTGAACTTTTCATTGAATTCTTCTACCAGGGCATATTGCATAAAGCAATGAATGCTACCTTCAATGCTTTAGTCCCCATGATTGAGGGTGCAGAGGAACTAAAAGACTTTCAGCCCATTAGTCTGGTCAATTCTTCCTACAAGATACTCTCAAAAGTTCTAGCCTCTAGATTTAAACAAGTGCTCCCATTCGTGATTTCCCCTAACCAGAGTGCCTTCATTAAAGGCAGACAAATACTAGATGGGGTCCTGGTTGTACATGAATGCATCCACCCAAGGCATCTTATTAACAAACCAGGCCTTATCTTCAAAATCGATTGGGATAAAGCTTATAACCACGTTGACTGGTCTATCTTGGAAGAAACAATGACCAGAATGGGCTATGGGGTGAGATATCGCAAATGGATAAGGGCCTGTTATTGTCATCCTTTCTTCTCGGTGCTCATTAACGGTGCACCTAAAGGGTTCTTCCCGTCTACTAAGGACCTCTGGCAAGGAGACCCCTGTCCCCCTTCCTCTTTACCATCCCAACCGAAGTTTCAGCCAATCAATTTCAAGACTCTACTAAGTTGGCCTACTTTCAGGATTTAAAAGTAGCCCTAGAGGTCCGACGATAACCCGCCTTCAATATGCAGAAGATACACTCGTCTTCATCGATGATGCCCCTAAGGAGATTGCAACCCTTCGTCTCTTCTTCAGATGTTTCGAGTATACTACTTACTGGTTTCAAAGTTAACATGGAGAAATCCACCATGATTGGGGTGGCTTTAAGCCCTGATGAAACTAGAGCTCTAATCCCGGATTGGGACTGTAAGGTGGAAGACCTCCCAACCAATTACCTAGGTATGCCTCTAGGGTTGGGAAACCTATAAAAAGGCAGTGGCCACATGTTATTGATAAGGTGGACCACTGGTTAGCAGGATGGAAAGGGCGATATCTCTCCTTTGCTGGCAGGTCAACCCTTATTAAAGCAACCTTGGCCAACCCCCTGTCTATCTCATGTCCCTTTTCCACAAGCCGGCAGCTATTTCTAACCTGCTAGAGCAGCCCATGAGGAACTTTCTCTTACCGGGGGATGCTGAATCCAAGAGGTTCCATCTGATATCTTGGGACAAAGTTTGTCAACCTAAGCATCTGGGGGGGCATGGGATCCGCGTCCTGAGGAAATAGAATACCACCACCCTCCTCGGAAAATAGTGGTGGAGATTGGCAAACCACAAAACCTACTATGGACCTAAGTTATCCGCAATAAATATAGAATTCACCCTACATTGTGGACCCCCGAAGGGAATGCTCCTTCTAGGACTTTTGGGGCTTGGAAATCCATGATGTCTTCCTTCTCCCTGTTCAAATAAAATATTTGCTGTCATCCACGGAGAGGAGACAGAATACGGTTCTGGTCAGATTTATGGGTGGGCCACACTCCTCTCAGGGATTCATTCTCGGCCCTCTTCTCTTTGGCTACAAATCCTATAGTTTCCATCGAGGAAGAGATGCCCCTCTAGGGCGGCAGTTGGGTCTGGAACCCCTCCTTCAAGAGGGCTCTTTCGAAAAGCAAGGCGTTTGAATTTCTTTCCTTGTCTTCCTTGTTACACTCAACCTTTTTGGCTCTCAATGGTTCCGATAGGATAGTGTGGAGCCCGTCACCCTTTGTTGTCTTCTCTGTTGCTTCTTTCTACAAAAAACTGCTGCAACCACCCACCTTCCCCCACAATCCCACTTTGGTGGTAAACAAGGTGTAGTTTACCATAGCCCCACTTAAAGAACATGCATTCAATTGGTTAACATGTTCTGATAAGGCACTTACTGTCGACCAACTTAAACGCAGAGGCATTCCCATCCCGAATAGAGCAACCCGCACCAGGTGCCCAGGATCCCCTTTAGAATTTTAAGCTAAGAATTATTGAGGGAGAATTGGTAGTATGATGACTGAAATCCATTAGACTACTTGTGTTGCAGTACTATTCTAAACAACAAAAACGAAAGAAAGAAAGAAAAAAAATGAGAGATTTCACCTCCCCTAAAACATTACAAGCAAACACATCATTGGGAACCATTCATTGTTCAGCAATTAGTATGAACTAGATTACTGAAACCTTGCACCACCAACTATCAGTAGGGTTGAAAAAAAGAAAATGCCACATAAAATCACCACATAAGGGAATTTTAACTTGAGGTCCTTACTGTTAATCCTTTTCAGCATGGTAATAGCCAGTACAATCGACTTGCTAGTATATCTAGTGAATTGGGTTATTTTTGTACGAGTTCTTTTTAGTGTTGGCAGAGTGAAACAATAAATAAGAACATGGGGTTTTTGTGTTTTTGTGCCTAAAGAGTCGAGTCACTGATACTTAATAATTACCAGACTGAGGCTGATTTATTCATATCAATGGTGAAGCCTTTTTTTTCTTTTTTCTTTTTTTTGTTCTTTTTTTCAGGTCAGAAGAATTGCCAAAGCAGAGTATTATGAAAATTGGAAACCATGATACAGCATGAGAAGTAGAGGAGATTTGATGAGAGATAGATAGGGTGGGAAGACAGAATAGATACTTAGCCCATGCTGGGTAATCGTGTATCCTATCGTGCTCCCTCCTCCTCTTCTCCTCTCTCACTTTTAACAGGCGGCGCCCACGAGCTGTCGTCCCGGAGCCTTTCGGCAAAGAAGAAGAGTCCCCTCCATCTCCCGCCGCTGCTCGCACAGCAGCGGTAGCCAATCTATTGCAGGTGGATGAATATGAAGATAAGAATGTAATGGTGTCGGGGGATGAGAGGGGAAGAGGAGAGAGGGGCAGTGTTGGTGGGGCACTCAGCATCTCTGAGAGTAAAGGTTAAGAAGTGCCACAAACGCTCGTCTCCCTCTCTTACTTCACTTTCTCGGCGTTCTAAAAGAAGAGCAGCAGCAGCGCTCCTCACCTGATGCGACCCGATATGATCCCACAGAGCACATGTGAAACATAGAAATCGAATGTGGTACTGCTCTAAATTTGTTTTTGAAAATTTATAGACCCACCTTCATTACCGCCCGCGTGTTTAAAACCTTGGTTTAGATCTGAATTGTGAAAAAGTTCATATAAGGATGCAAACTTTTATAACGTTGGTGCACCTCAATAATCCATCCATCGGAAAAGGTAGTTTTAATGTTGATTGATCATCTCGGCATTGAGATATATGACCAAAAAACATAAAAACATTTTAAGTCTTATAAATAGTGCATTTTACAACATATTATCTACACCGTCTATTTTCAAGATTTTTATATGTTTATAGATCTATTTGATTTTAATTATTTTTTAAATTTAAAATTTTATAATTAGATATAAAAATAAATTTTGAGATAATCTCAAGAACATTTTACATCAAAATTATATATCATGATAAAATTTGAAGGTACACGTTATCTCTACAACTACGATGCATCGGTATGCCAAATGCACCACTAAGATATATATTCACTAACATAATCGGTCATTTTGTCAGGAAATCGGCTAATCTAGCTCTAATTTTTATTTTTTATTATTTTAAATATATTATTTTCTTATCTTTTTTCTTTTTAATTGGCATACTTGTTCGGCTAGTCGCCGATCAAGGCTGATGGTTCGGACCGGTTTTTTGGATGTGCAATCCGGGCCACTAATCCATTTTTTGTAAATATTGATTTAAACCACCTTGCTAAATATTTCTTTTCTTTTTTTTCATCCACCCCGGGTAAAAAGTTAACTTTTTGTAATGAAGATGCCCCTCTCTAAACTCACATTTTTGGGCCTGCCTCGCCTCTAAAAAATTCGAGAATAAAATACATTATAAATGCCTCAAATGTTAAAGTTTGAGTTAAACATAAACAATAAGGAAAAAGGTTATCAATAAATAGTAATTTAGATTATGCTCTCAGTTGTAATATATTGATTAGATGATCACCTAAAATAAATTGTAATTTAAATTAGGGTGTGGTTTATGTTGGGTTTATGTGGCCTTTAAATGCCTTGTGAGTGTTTGTAAAATGAATAATATAGTAGAACATGAACTCAGTATGAGTGTGGTCCCTCATGGGCCATACTAAGCAAACGATGTTTGCAGATACCGGATTGTACTCGACGATCTAGGGCAGTCAGTTGAGAAAAACCCATGTTACCTGGGCATAAAGAACAAATCGATAAGAGTTCTAATGGGTTAGCCCTTAATGAAGTTGGAGAATATGCCAAGATGAGTGAGCCGAGGGACTATATGACCCTTGTGTATGATGGTGGCCTACAGAGACGAGGGCTAAAGCCTCATTTATGTGTCATCACAGGGGCATATATATTGATAAATCGTTCGAAAAAGCCATAAATCTACCTTTTAGGGTGAAACGTATACATGTACGAGAGATATCCCTGTGCACCATAGGAGTTGTGGTCGCATCAAATCTAGGTGACCTTGACTCGTATCTAAAGAAGGACCTGAAATGCATAGACTAAGATTGTGATCCCTTGGCTCATCGGCCGGACTTTGGTGACCCGCTAATGAGCCCCTGCTTGGACGGTGGGTCATGGAAAACACTGGATCGGTCTGATAAAGCAAGTATGGTCTGTAGTCCACAGTTGAAGGTGAAGTGCTCCATGATTGTTGATTCCTAAACCATATAGATCATTTTCCCATCAAATTAACTTAATAGTATTTGTTTTATGATGAAAATTATTTTAAGAATATTATTTGAATTTTTATGAACATTTTGATATTTTATTTATAATTTTTGGATATATAAAATTAAAGATATTGATTTTATAATTATTTAAATATTCAAATAATATTCTAATTTTTTTTATTAAATTTAAATATATAAAAATATCATGGGGGCCCATTGTGCGCATGGGCCCGCCATATTTTTAGAAAGTGGGACCCACGAGTGCCTCCCTTGGGTGGCACGCCCCATCCTTATTCTCTTTCCTATTTTTTGGTGATTGGAATATATTAACTTGATGTATCTTTGAAATATTTTGAGGAAAGATTGAGTAGACTTGTGCTATTTTATGGTATGGACAATATTTTGATTATATTTAATTTATTTAATTTCTATTAATGGGAAAATGGTTTAGGAAAGGAGAATAATAGTTCATGCACATTTCATAATGTTGATGGCCCATCTATGAAATGGATAACTCGGATCTCTCACCCCACAAGTTACCATTGATCGACGGTCTATGTTCAATCTCACAAGAAGAGGCTAGCCAAAGAAAACTCTAATAAACCCTAATCTTATTCAAAGCCTATAAAAAAGGATTGTCTCTACCAAAAAAATATCTACACATTATCTTTCTATTTCTCTCTTAATAAAGTTTATGTTTTTATCATGTTTGATCTCTCTCTCCCACATTGTAAAATAACCTAAGGGTTTAGGTTATGGAGTTATTCTCTCTTTTATATCTCAAATATGGATTTATGGCTAACGATTTTAGGGTTTACCAAAAAGAGAATCCATCTCTCTAAAATTATGTTGCTAAGAGAATTAACCTAGGATTTGAGTTTGTGATCAAAGGGGTTAATGTTTCATTAGAGTGGTTTGGCTGAAATTTGCTTTCCTGAGTCGAGATTGAAACTAGACCGTTGACCCCGTACCATTGGATAATGGTTACTCGGTGTGGGGTGTAATAAGCCCGGTTGAGGTAATATCCGACACTCTTCTTTTTGTTTATTGCAATATTATCTTTTGTTCTCAAGCATAGTGCATAGTTGTTTTAATGACATCAAGTTGTTAAGCTATTGGTTTTATTTGAAATTTATCTTATTATAATAAAGATCACCTATAAGTGATATTTTGCCAAAAGAAATGGGTTAAAAAAGAAAAAAAAAAAAAAATTCCCCTCTAAAAGTTTACATAGGTATTTATTTTAGTTTGCACAGGGTCGCAACCTTAAACAATCAAATTAAGAGCATCTAAAAAAATTATCATAAAAAAATTTTGATATAAAAATTTATTAAGATGGCTTGAGAATCTACTTTCATTTATAATTAAAAAATTTAAACTCTAAAAATGGTTCAAATCAAGTAAATCCACAAACACAAGAAAATCTTGAAAATTGATGATCCAGATAATCGGTTGCAAAAAACACTATTTTGTGGGCTCCAAATCTTTTCTTTCGTTTCATATGCATGCATCGCGATGCCGAGATGATCAATTAAAGATTTGCCAACCTCAAAACAACCTGTATGATGGATTTTTTAAGAACCTTATATAAACTTTTTCCTCTAGATTATGCTATTTTGTTAGATATTTGATCAAATGAATAAAATGCTTATTTTTATTTGAATTTTGTTTTTTAAAAATTAGATCAATATAAATAGTTAGGCATATGTAATATATACTACATGTTAGGGAGAAAAAAATAGTTTGTCAAATTTTAAAATAACCAAACTACCCTTGAATATGATAGAGGTAATTTAATAAAATTTAATATATATATTTTTTTAAATTACAGGGAGTGTAATGATGTCAAGTATATAAGACTAAGTTTTAATCTAATACAATTTATATAATAAGATTAAAATCAGATAATAACATATATTTTTACCTATTCCATGACGAATATCGAAAGTACTATTTATTTTAGAACACGGTTTCTATGCGGCAAGCCCGTATAATGTAGAAATTTGGGCTTCAAATTTTTAGAAAATATATAATCTTTAACATGACGATTATGGATATGATTTTTTTTTTTGAAAACTAAAAATAATAAAAAAAATTATTTGGAGCGTTGATTATTAGATGGACCAACCATATTTAAGATGAAAATTTTGTCCTTTATTTTAAGCTCAACTTAAACTACTATAGGTAGGTTTAAACCACTTTAAATAAAATCGTAACGTTGTGTAAATTGCCCCTCCAACGAATCTCTTCCTTATTTCGTTATCTCTGAAAACAATCGACTTCAAATTGGATCCCTAAAAAATTGGAACCCCTGTACTGGGCGGCACTTGGCGGGAAAATTTGGCGCCCATGCCTCAATCCCACCGCAAACCACATTCATTCATATTTAGATGTTAATGGCGGCAATCTTCACATTCAAAGCGGCCCTGCGCCCTCTCACCATCTTCCCTCTCTCTCATCCTTCTTCATCTCTGCAACGATTTAGCAAGGAGTCGAGGCGCCCGAGCTGGAGAATGACTCAAGGAGATACCTCACCATCCATGGAGCCCACTCCTAAGATCCAGAAGCTCGAAGAAACCAGGGGCAACGGCGCCCATCGATCGATCGAGGAGGATGCCCTCCCTTTGCTCCGAGTGAAGAAGCTTTCTACAAATGCAGTGCTGCCCTCTAGGGCTTCTGCTCTTGCTGCCGGCTACGATCTCCACAGGTAGCTGATGCTCCATCTCTCTATTTTATTTCATTTTATTTTATCCTCACAATTTTTAGCTCTTTCTCGGCAACTTATTGACGCAGCGATTTCATGATTTGTATTGGTTCTCAGCGCTTCTGCTACTGTGGTTCCTGCTAGACGAAAAGCCCTGGTTCCGACCGATCTGTCGATCAGTATACCACCGGGCACTTATGCCAGAATAGGTATTGCATCATTATCACAGCAGGATGCCTGTCATTTTACTTCAAAACTAGATTGTTTATTCTTCCATTCGGTATTTGGATCCACAGATCGCAAGCTTGAAGCCATAGTTATTCTCTTGATCACTATATGTAATCAAATATCTCTATATTTATAAAATATTCTCAGTGTTCCAAAACTATCAAATGAGGGGGGCTCTCAACTTGTGTGATTTTTGGAAATTTTTTCCATTTTTCAACTTTTATTTTTTATTTTTAATTTTTAAATGCTGGTTGGCATTTGTTAGGACTGGGCAAGCATGCTATTTTATTTCACAAAGAAGTTGCATTTGGGGGTAAAGGTTGGTTGGGTTTTGATCAATAATGGAAATGGTTGGGATCTGTTAGCGATTATGTTCAACACTCTCTCTAGATAAACCACTAGCGGCTTTTAGACCGTGTTTTGACTTGGCAATTATTTATTTTATTTTATTTATATTTATATTTATTTTTAACATGACCGTTTGTTAACATCTCTTATTCATGCTTTCTGAAATTTTAGAATTATGCACCCTTCCAACTCCAGATCTACTTTTTGTTTGGATATAATTAATGAAAACAAGATGCTCATGAAAAAGGAAAGTCAGGATATAATTTGAGAAAATACGGTTCAATTTTTCTTAAGTAAATTTTTTATTGTTCGTTTTAATTTTTAATCAAGATCTGGTCATCTCTCTCTATCTCTTTTCTTTTTTCTTTTAATCAAATCTGATGGCCTCTGTACCACTCTCTACTGATGCTGTTGGGGGCCTCTTTTGTTTCAGCACCTCGTTCTGGTTTGGCATGGAAGCACTCTATTGATGTGGGAGCTGGAGTCATTGATGCTGATTACAGAGGCCCTGTTGGTGTCATTCTATTCAACCATTCTGACACTGACTTTCAAGTCTACACTGGTGATCGGATTGCACAGCTCATAATCGAGAAAATTGTGACACCCCAAGTGGTAGAAGTCGATGATTTGGACACCACCCTCCGAGGCGTTGGTGGTTTTGGATCCACAGGAGTCTAATCTCTATTTGCTTTTTTTTTTTTTCTCATGAAGATACCATAAGTTATCTAGCTTTTCCTGAAAATTGTAATATGTCCCTGTTTTTGTCCATGGCACATATACAGTGGTATGCCTGTTTTGGGGAGTGGCCCTAATATATTGATGACTATTCCAATTGTGGTTGCATACACCGCCATGAAATGGGATTTAAGCTTTACCGTGATGAATGGTATTGCTAATTTTATTGAAGTCTTATTTCACTCACGGGTGTTTCTCATGCTTTTTGATGTTTGGTGATTTAATTAGCTGTGCTGCTTTCTCTTTTTAGGGCCAATATTGATTTGTGTTAACAATAATGTTTAACCCAAAAATCGCCACAATTTGGCACTGCACGCTTCCCCTTCTAGAGTGCGTAAGCGCCTTCGTCAACATTGGCCCAAGGATTATAAATTTAGAGTTTTTAAAAGAACATGGACAACTCAATTGAGTTGTGAAAAATGCTTAATTTAATGTTTTTAACCCTTCCGTCGTAAACATAGGAGGTCAAAGCCATAGAAGTTGACACCACTTGCCAATCAGCAGTTGCAATGCGTTCCCCCTGCCTGCCCCTTCTCACTCCCTCATGTTTCATCCCCTTGAACATTTTATATTTGGGCATTCAATTCTTGTGAATATTAAACAATTGCTTTCATCCTCATGGAACGCAGCTTATTATTAACAATTCTGATATGGACAAAGGAGACTTTTCAAATGATAGTCTTATGCCTGATGAGGAAGTTCAAAGTGACGTATTCTACTTAATCGTTAAAAACAAAAAAAAGGAAAAAAAATTTAAAGTGACACTTCATAAGCAACTGGGATTACAACGGGAGCACCCCACTCTCTTTAATATTGTAAAGGGCAGTAGCGATCCATAAACAATTGTGGTCAACTCTAGAACTCTGTAATCCACTTTTTCAATCTGAAACTAGTGATTTCAGGCCCAACTTCTGGGTAATGAATTGAAATTAAATTACATGAATTTAAGATGGCAAAGACTAAACAAATTTGACCTGGGTATTTCCTTTTTTTTTTTTCCTGGACTTCTTGTTTGAATTCCTTCTGGGATTTCACAACTGTCGGAGCCTTTTTACGAATGTCATTTTTCTGTAAAGCTTTTATTCTATTGTAAAACTACAAAAGTCTCAATCTTAGTTGATACTTTAGAGGAGTTGCAAGTTGTCTTCAATGGGTTCTGGAAGGCTTTTAAGTCTCAGTTGATACTTGAGGAATTTGTACACAAAGGGTTCAGGAAAATTCCATACTCGCTTGGTACTTGGATGATACAATTTGTGTGCTCAAAATTGCTGTCTCATTCTCTTTTGATAATTTTAAAAACTTCCATCTGTTTCAATGATCTTTGATGGCATATCAGGGTCCATGGGTGGAAAAGAAACCATTATAGTTAGCGTTATCCTTGCAACCCTGCTTCTTGTTGTTCTTTCCATTGCTCTTGGTAAACAAAAAAGCAGAAATAGTGTTAGAGCTTCAAGACTCCCACCTGGTGTAAAAGGATGGCCTTTCATAGGTGACACTCTTAATTGGTACCTTTCTATTTCAAGCTCGCATCCACCTCGATTTGTTGAAGCTCATGTGGAGAAGTATGCAGAAAGTAACACCTTATTCATATCTAAATTTATTCTATGGCTTGAACCTGTTGATCCTCCAATTTCAATTCCCAAATGTGAATTTTTTTGTCTTTGTAGGTATGGAAAGATCTTCTCGTGTAGGCTGTTTGGTAGACAAGCGGTTGTATCTGCAGATTCTCACTTCAACCGTTTCATCCTTCAGAATGAAGGCCGGTTCTTTCAGTCCAGTTATCCGAAGTCTTTCAGGGATTTGGTTGGTAAAAATGGTGTGATTGCAATGCAAGGAGAACAGCAACGCAGGCTTCATGGCATTGCTGTCAATATGATGAAAATGGACAAACTCAAGTTTCATTTCTTAAATGACATTCAGGTGGTCCTGCTCCAGACATTGAACAACTTACAGGAAAATGAAAACCTGCTCTTTCAAAATGTTTGCAGAAAGGTAGCAGTCTTCTCTCTCTCTCTCTCTCTCTCTCTCTGCATATCTTTGCCTTTTGTGCATGTTAAGCTTGAATAGGTACATATTCAGATCCAATAAATTTGGTGAATTTTGTTTTCCGAGCAGCTGGCTATAAATTTGATGGTGAATCAGCTCCTGGGGGTGACCACTGAAGCTGAAATAAATGATATGGCTCATTTATTCTCTGATTTTGTTAATGGAGTCCTATCTATTCCAATCAACTTACGAGGCTTTCCATATTATACAGCAATGAGGGTAAGTGTATAACTTCTAGATTTTCACTATTGTATTATTAGAAGGAAACACTGAAGGGTAAAAATGTCACCATATTTAATTTAGGTAGTCAATTTTGTAACCTCTTCAACTACTCTTTTATGATGCTTTTTCTTTTAGTTTGAACAATAGCAAAATTTTTCCATCTTCAAATCTTTTCACTGTTGGGAATGCATAAAAATCATGATAGAAATGAGATATAGGCTACAAGCTATACCATAATTAACTATTTCATAACAGATTAAGGTGCACATTTAACTACCTCTCAAATCTCCGTTCTTGATCAAATTAGATCAATGGAAAGCCAACATAGATATCAAAAGACCAGGGAATGGAATATGGATTTCACTATTACATTACTCAATGATATGCCAACTACTGCAATGGTGGTTGGAAATTTTAATTTTTCTGTTCTTGTTATCAGTATGTTTATAAAGTGGTATCTTATAGCGGGCACTGACCACTGATATATCAGAAGATCTAATAGTAACTATTAAGTACTATAAAAAGTTACCTTCAAACTAAAAAATGACATGTAAGGATAATCAGTTAAATCAGTAGGCCTTCCCAAATCGCATGAAAGAATATTTCAGGAGGCCTCTCCAAGCAACTTTGCACAACTCTAAGGATCTCTCCATGTTTGCATTCTTGGTAGTGAATGTGATCACTTGCATGAGTTAATTATTACAAGCTCAGGAAAATAACTAGAGTAGTGATGTATTTAGCAAACGAAAGCCACTACTGTGAACTGCAATTGCAAACATAGTGTTTTGATGTACTTATTGGTGCTTGTTGTTGGTTTGTTGCATCACACAGGCACGGAATATTATAATTAGCAAAATCAACAAGACAATCGAGTTGAAGAAGCACTCTGAGTTAGAAACTGGAAATAGTGTTTTGGGAAGGCTTTTGAATGAAGAAAACCTGTCAGATGAAGCTGTTGCAGACTTCATTATAAGTCTACTCTTTGCTGGAAATGAAACAACAGCAATGACAATGCTTTTTGCCATTAGTTTCCTGTCGCAAAGTCCCAAGGCTTTGAAGCAACTCATTGTAAGAACAGATTTCACTTATGAACTTCCTTGCTTGTCCCTTTCTACTCAAGATTCATTTCCTCTAACTGAGAATGATGCCCGTATAATAAAAGATCGTTTCATAATGTGGGCTGTAAAATTGTAGGAGACTTTGGTTTTAAGAATTAGTTGTTCTTTGCTTTTGTATGCATGATTCCTAATGCTTTATCTTGGCTATTTTAAGCCAGGATTGACCCCTGTTTTCTCTATCTTTTAGGAAAATTGGTGACATTTTTTAGATGTAGCCCACTAGGTGTACCTCTTCTTCTGAGACCAGCTATAACCTGGTTCCTAGCAGTAGAAAAGTGGCTTCAAACAATTCTCCCTAACAAATGTTCTTGTAACTAATTAAATTTGTTCTTTGGCAAACAGGCTGAGCAAGACGGCTTAAGAAAAGCTCAAGGTCTTATGCTGACCTGGGAGGATTACAAGTCCATGCACTTCACTCAATGTGTATGTGGTAAAAATCTTGGTATTTATAGATTTGTTTCTTCGGTTAGTTTAGTTTCTCCGTTGTTTTAGGTTTCTTTACTGGACTCGAGTCTTAACAGTTTGTTTCATCCAGGTCATTGATGAGACCCTTAGAGTTGGTGGTATTGCGATATCTCTGATGCGTGAGGCGAAGGAAAATGTTGAGTATCAGGGTAAGTGAATTAATTCAAAGAGGAAACTATTAATATCAATCTACATTAGGAAAAATTTCAGTCACTTCGGTTTTTAAATATTGAAAAACTATTGTCAATTTCTTGAAAGCCATCACACCTATTCAAAAGCTGTCTCCATCAAAATCCATCTTAGAGATGGATATTGGACCTAAAATTTTACTAGTTGATATTCTCAATCACTGTGATCATGAACCTAAACAAATGATTTTGAACATAAAAAGTAGACTACTTTTAACTTTGTTACCCGACTGTTCATCACTTCCATTTTAATTCTTCACCCATCATCAGATCTGCACTATTTTTTAGTTGTAAAACATGGATCTAAAGCATTAATGCATCTAGAGGGACTTGGTATGTGTTACAAATATAAATCTATCTCGAATATGGATTTCTAGAAGGAGGCCACATTTGAATAAGGTCTCATTTAAACTTTTCCTTTCTTAAAATAACAACAAACTGATCATATTTATTACAACTGGACGGAGTAGCAAGGTGGGGAATTGTAACTTTGGAATTCATTTTGTAGAAATCACATGCGATTTATACTTGGTTGGCTTTGTTTAGTTTTTATGAGCATTTTAAACTTTCATCAGTCTTACGTAGTCCTTAGCATGGCCTGGCCGTCTCCAATTTCTTGTGGCTTATTACTTGTCATGGTTGGATTTTTTATGGTTTATTCTATTTTCATTTGGCAATGGCAGATTTCTTGATCCCCAAAGGCTGCTTTGTACTCCCATTTCTTTCTGCAGTTCATTTAGATGAGAACGTGTTTAGGGAAGCCCTGCTTTTCAATCCGTGGCGATGGATGGCAGCAGAAAACCAGGTAGAAAGAAAGCTCCAATACTTTGTAGAGATAATTTTGTGTGCATGCAATTTATTTGTGCTCAACATCCTCATAGATTTGCTCTTCACATATTTGTTCTATTTAATAGTAGATGAGTTTTGTAGGAAAAGCGGAACTGGAGAAGTAGTCCCTACTATGCTCCCTTTGGAGGTGGAGCTCGCTTATGTCCGGGGGCTGAACTAGCCCGCCTTCAGATTGCTCTCTTTCTCCATTATTTTGTGACCAGATTCAGGTTTTCTCTCTCTCTCTCTCATCCATTTCGTGATGAGATTCAAACTAGTGCTAATTATTGCCATTTAATTTTAAGCTCTTATGCTAAAGCCTGGCCAATGCTGTCTGAAATGCCTAGGTGGGTCCAACTAAAAGAAGACAGAATGTCTTTCTTTCCTTCAGCTCGTCTGGTACATGGCTTCCCCATTCACCTTACTAGGCGCCAAGTTGTGTGATGGAAGGAATGTTCCCTATCGTTATGCTTCTTCTATCATTTCACCTTAAGTTCAACCATTGCATGAATGTGTATTATGTTCCTTTTGGTAGCTTAGTTTTAGTTGGGGTTGGGGACTTCAAGCCTAGACCCCTCTTATTGCATTATTGAACCGTGATTTTTAATTCTCAGCAAAATTTATATTAAATTATATATATATATATACAAGGTGTCCCAGCTCCATGGCACAATAAACCTTGCTCCAGTGTGAGAAGCTCCCATCTGTCACTCTTATATTTAAGTTTCTATGAACAACTAAAATGCAGCTAAGCTTCTTGAAATAATGAAAAAGTCCCATGATTCTTTTCAAAGTATGAAAAAATCCATTGCTCCTATATGACCTCAATTTACAACCTAATGGAAATTGGGTTAGTTGGTGCATCCATTATAACTTGTTGCTAAAAAAGCACGTCCTTATTGACCATGTTAGGCTACTGCACACTCTAGCCGAGGCTAACGCAAGGTAAGATGGCTATAGTCCCCACGAGTTAGAATGCACTATGCTTACTATGGATTATGCAATGTCCAACTGGTGTTAGATGCTCAGATCTACATAAATACGAATCATTCTTACCTTGTAGAATCACAACCCTTCAATGCTTGTTTGCAACAATACAGTTTTTAGTAGATAGTATATTTTACACATACTCTATGAAGAATTAGCCCTTCAATCCATGCTGATGTGATATTCCAGAATTTTGATGTATCTAAAGGGCATATATTGTTAGGTTTGGTTCACAAAGGTTGTAATCACCCCAAGCTGGTGGATCAAATTAGGTGATGGGGTGTCATTGCAGTTTGACGAAAGTTTTCTGAGTTTAGTCAATGGTAAACCCCTTGAAACAATATTTTGTATAAGTTGGCTCGAGTTGGCTATGACCTATCTGAAAGGTAAATGGTCTCATCTCATGTTTGCTTGTTTCAAATAGAAAAGCATTTATAGACTGTCAACTTGATAGTCTTGGCTAATTGTGCACATTAGTTGAAATCTCGAGTTGATAGTCTTTGTTAACAGTGCACATTAGTTGAAATCTCACACAGAAAAGAAACAAAGTACAAAACTATTAGGATAACATGGAGATAAGTTGGAAAATGTTGGCAATAGATATATTTTTACATTTACCATTGTCAAGTTGGTTTTCATTAAGAAAGGGTGAGAACATTTTAATGGGAGATTGCCTTGCTCTTAGGGTTTGCCTTGCTCTTAGGGTTTGCCTTGCTCTTAGGGTGAGCTTCTCCCATTTGGTGGAGGGTTGGGGCTAGGTGCACTGACGGACTTACTTATCTATCTTGGAGTTGGATGTTGGATCTAAAATCTTGCTGGTTTATTGTCCAAATGTTGCCAATTTGAAATTGGAGAATTTTGAGCTTCAAAAGTACTTTTTTTTATTATTATTCAAAGATCATGACATTTGCACTTTCATGGATCTGAGGTGAAAATAGGTCGACAATGGTTAGGGCTGTGTTTCAAGTCCTAAATCCTTTTAAAGTTGGGGCAAGTCCTAAATCCTTTGGAAATTAGAGCAAGTGCTTGCGACTCACCAAATATATTCCTTGTAGTAAATATAATATTGTGAGGTTTAAAGAAGGTGACCTCCTTATGCTATAGATGTAAGGTACACCTCTAAATTTTGGCTTGGGATGCAGTTTTGGTGTTTGAAATCCCATGATTGCTTGAAAATCTATAAAATCTAAACTTTTAAAATAGTATAGATTGAGTAATCTATTAACTCTTGAAAATAAAAATAGATGGTGTAGATACTTCGAAGATCAGTTGGAGGATAGATTGAGTAATTTATTTGACATTGGAACACTCTTCTAGAGGAAATTTGAGGTGCATTTTAGTTCAATAAATTATTAATATGTTCTTCATTGATCCCTGTTGATCACCAAGTCAAGTGCAGCCTTGTGCTTTGCAAGTAATTAGTTACTGGTTTATACCACACATGTAATCGGCCCTGAAATTATGATCTGGGCCATCCAATACTTTTGTTAATTTCCCATCAGTAATTATGCAAGCGATCTCCAATATTCTATCCATTTCAAGGTTCAAACTAATCATTTCTACACGAGCGGCCACTTGTTAGTTGTAACATTCTTAAGGCTCTAAAAGTTCTTGGCGATCCTGTTTTTTATTTTTCTATGATGTAATTGGATCCATCATGGAACTTTGTTGCTTGCACTTACCTTCTCAATACAAAATATTTTTACTATAAGAATATAATTACATGAGGTTTGGAAATTGCGCCTGTAAAATTTTGCTAGAGATGTAGTTTCAATGTCGAAAATTTTTGGATTGGTTTGAAAATTCATGTTCAAACCCCAATTATGGAATTTAAAATCATGAATAATGATCTTATGAGACCTTCCCACAACCATATGTAAGACCTCAAATGATCACTATTAAATTTGACATAGATCTTTAGAATAGTCAAGTCTCACACCCATGTAATAACTTTTCAAGAGATGTGCACCAAATTTAATGGTGATCCTTTGGGATCCTACACACATGGGTGTGGGAGGGTCTCATAGGATCATTACTTTAAAACCACATCCTTTTTTAAATGAAAACATTCATGAAAAGAAACATTTGATCTTTATCTATTTCTCGTGCAAACATTTATTTGTAAAATCAACTCTCCGTTTATCCTTGATTTCTCAAAAAAAGATGAGACAAATTTCTCTCCAAGTTATTTTTACCAAGTTCTTTTGGTGATATTTATTGGAAATGAAAATTGAAAATAGAAATTGGGATCGGACCATACTATTTTGCTATTGCTTAACCACATGTGCATCCCCTTATTATTTCCAAATCTGCAGATGAGTCTTAATTAAACCATTTGAATAATTTACTTCATACATATTCATCTTCATGCATAATTTAGTCTCTGGATACTTATTGCATGTAGCTTACAATCAATTTGAGGGCTTTCTAGTGTTATTAGCACTCGAACGGCCACTAATTAAGTGAGGGATTTGGTTAAGTTAAAACTAGTCCACTTACTAATTGAATTGGTTGGATTAGCTTTTAATGAATGGGAAAGAAATAGATATAATATTTTGAAAATATAAAATCTCTTAAAATAATTTACCGGACTTCATTTAGCTGATTAAACTGACTAAAACTATTTAATTTGACATGCCATAGCTGATCAAATATTGGTTCTGATCGGTTCTTAGCCACATTCAATTTGACCTTGGAGAAGACCGGCCACGGTAGTGGTTGGCGGTTCGACCGGTTAGACCAACGGATCGGTCCAGTCTCGATAACTATGATTTATACCATCCATGTTTAAGATTCTTAAGTGTTTGTAAATATTCTCGATATGTACTATTTTAGAGCTTTAAATTTTGGAAAAGTACAGAATGAGACCATTTATCTTTAGTACAAGGTAGTTACATTAATCTTGACCATTGGATGTGAAATTGGGTGGCTGCAATCATTCCACTGACCAAATTCAAACTTCAAAAGAATTTTTTTCGAACTTTGTGACACATCCAAGCTATCAAATTTCACATCGGATGGTTGTAAGTAATTATGACCACCTTGTTTTAAAGGTAAATGATCTCATTGTATACAATTCCTTAAATTTTATAATTAAAAAAAATATATTTTCAAGCTATCACTGGGGTTCTCAGAATTAGAACTTCATCATTAAATATGATTTGAAAGTGTGCCCTACTTTGATTGTTTAGGGTTGATGCTTGCATAAAGTTCACTCCAAAAGAAAATTACTAATATCTAATAAAGTGCTAATGAGGTTTTTAGACTTTATAGTGTGATAAGTTTTCTTTAGAGATATTTTCAATAGGTGCAATTTATACAAGGGGTTAACCTTAAACAATCAAAGCAGGTTACTTCTAGTCAAAATTGGTTCAATTATTGCTTGAACAGTTGGACTAGCTTTTAAAAAAAAGAAAAAAGAAATAGATGTAATCATTTAAAACTACAAAATATAATAAAACAAATTACCCAACCTTCTTAGCATGTCGAATTAGTTACAATTGGTTGGTCCAACTATATAAAGATACAAGACGTCTTTGTTTTCAGAAGGAAAAAAAATAAGACACTTTTAGATTTTTTAAATTGAGCACGTATATTATACTAGAATTGAGGGTCTTGCAATTATTTTTAGATTAGAATCTTTTGAGGGTGTAAATAGACAATATAAAATCTTTTAGCTCTTAAATTAGGGCGGGATTATATTTAGTGTCGACCTTAAACAATAAGGCACACCTGTAAACGGTGAGGGCAGATGCATTTTTTGGCACAAAACACTATTGCAATGGTCTAAAAATTTATTTTCAGCCGTAATTAGGTAGTTAAAATCTCTGCAAATAATCTAGATCGAGCATATTTATAAGTACTTAAAAATCTTAAAAATTGACCATCTTGTTACATGCAGCACTATTCCCTAAATTTGAAAATCTTTTTTTGTTTTGTATTTCATATCCATTCATATTAAGAAAGAGTTTATATAAGGGTGAGGCTCTAAACAATCTCAAAAATTCATTACAAAGGTTGTTTCGATGTTAAAAAAGGCTCAATTCGATTATCTCCACCTCAAGATGTATGAACATGAGAAAGAATAGATTTTAAGTCTTGAAAATAGTGCATATTGTAATGTATTATCCTATCCATCATATTTCGAGATTAAGTGTTCATAGATCTTCTTTCTCTACACTGTTTTTTTACTTCAAATTTTATAATTAAAGATGAAAATAAAGTTTTAGGCCATGTTAAAGATTCTAATACTGAAATAAAATATTTCAACACTATTTGAAGTTGCACCCTTCATATTAAGGTCAAGATGATTAAATAGATGATCTTCCGGCATCGGAACAATCATCTTTTATAATGAATTTTTGAAGTGCGCCTTACCTTAATGAGATATGAGGTTGATACCCTATATAAACTTGAGAAATTATCAGAATTATACTTTAATTTGCTTCTAATTAAAAAAAAAAACTCATACTTTCATAAACCTCATCCATATTTTGTTTTTCAATTTTGATTTTTTTTTTTACCAAAATAGCTTTAACGATAATTATATTATCATGAAGGCATGATGCATCAAGGTAAGTATCATGATGACTTTCACGGATCATACAACACTTAATGATGCCCTTTAGCATCACAATAGTTTTTTTACTATAGTTATCCAGAAAAGAGGAAGAGAAAGAGGAGGAGGATGACCATCAACCGGAGAAGAGGCAGAGGCACCATACCCACCTGATTCCGAGGTTCGAATTCGCAGCTCGAGCTTCACGCCCAAGCTCTGGTAAACCCCAACAACTTTACTCTCCTCACCGTTTGGTCGAGCTTTCACAATGGGACTGGTGTGAACACTCAACAATGGTGTTATTGGAAGCCTCGGGTGAGAGGTTTCAGGTTTCTTCAACATGGATGCAAAAGCTTGTGCTTTTATGCGGTGGTTGAGGTCTTGAAGAGGGTTTCTGCTTCCTCTGAAACTCCAAGAGCTAAAGCCCTTGAAATCGACTCGACACTCTGGAGAAATAGAGAATTGTAGAGGCCATGGCTTTATGCAATAATACGAGCTGGGTGGATACATTGTTATTTAACATTACGATAGTTAAAGTATTGTAATGATGTTTTTTGGCATCACGATATCTTTTTTAGTGTAATTATCATCTAATATAATAATGGTATTTTTAGTGTGGTAAAACATGGGAAAGTTATCATAATATTTAAAGTACCGTGATGTTTCGAAACATATGTTTGAAGTACCGTGATGCCTCAAGATGAATGTTTGAATCAAGACATATTTTGAATCTATAACATATGACGGTCACCACGGCACTTTAAGTATTGAAATGCAACGTGCTTTTACAGTAATGCAAAAAAGAAGGCTGTTTTGATAAAAAAATACTAAAAAAAAAAAAAAATATGACGGATAAATATTTTTTTTTTCCAATTAAACAAAAATTAAAATATGTTTATGATAATTTCCTTATACTAACTCAAATGCTGAGTTTCAAGACGGCCTCATAAATTGCGCTTAAAAAGCAGCGGTGCGCTGCCTTCACATTTTCTCTGCAAACATTTTCAGTAGAAAATAGAGAAAGAGGGTTAGGTTCCAGAGAGAGAGAGAGGGTGTTGAGAGGGTTGGGTTCCTTTAGGATTGTGAATAATCGGATGCGACGTTTTCATGGCTGGGAGAGAAGTTAGAGAATACACAAACTTGACAGACCCCAAGGGTATTTCCATGCTCTTACATCCCTTCCTGGAGTTTTCTCCTTTTCCCCCTTTTCGTTTCCCCCCCTTTTCATCTCACCCCCTTAATGATTCATCCTCTTTCTTATTTCTGCTGCTGCTTTATTAGATAAGAAGTGGGGAAAGGGGAAGGACAAAACCGATGATGAGGACATCGCCTTCCAGAGGATGGTCGCAAAGGTTAGTGAACCGGCCTTGATCCCCCTTCTCTCTCTCCACCTCTTTATCAACGAGAAGTTGAGTATTTTCAGAACTACCTGTCAAGTCTCTATTTTAGTAGACGAATATTGGTTTTCAGATTGGGCATAATAGCGTTGTTCTGAGTAGATATCTCTATGATGCATGGTATTGATTATTTTGTTTTTCTTTCTTATATTTGTTGTTGTGATGTGCTAAACCTCTGTTGCTTTTGGGCTGTTATATTCATTTGATTGTGAAGTTTGTTCCTTTGCTGATACGCATTTTCAACTGACTATCACATTGGTTTTTTGGGGATTAATGATCATTTGTGACTCATTTATGCTGTCATTCAGAACATAAATGGTTTTTCCTAAACAGGAGACCAATACACATTCATTCTTTTGATATATGGTATATCGATGGCTTTTGATCACAGGTTTCTATCTCCCCCTATCTTAGGCATGATCTAGCAAATGTTTTGTCTATGTGCATAGCCTCTTTGAACTCAACTTTTACGATTACATAACAGTGTTGGTAATATTCACGCTTGGAGGCGTGTGTCATAGACAGAGCAAGATTGGACACTTTTGAATTCATCCTTCTAAGGAGGTGCCATTTCCACCTCTAGCACACAATCCACCATAACCATGCAAGGCAGAATGCGATGAGAAGAACACAGGTTTTCAAATACGAGAGCAATCAAGAATTTCATAGGTCACTCCGCAATTATTGAGAATGTTTTTTGTTTGTTTGTTTTTTTAGAAAGCAGAATTTTTTGCCCCTTTTTTTCATATAGCAACATTTTGTGAGGAGTTGCAACTGTTTATAACACTGTCACCAATTTCAAAATAATTTGATCTACGGACAGCGTCATAGTGGTAAAGGTCGTAATACCATTGTTTATTGATCTCTGTTATGTTGGTCTTATCTGATGACATATCGTTTCTAAGTAGCTGGATTATATTGGGAAGGGTGAAAAGTAATTCATTTGAGAATTACAACAATGAATATGGGAATATCTGTATCAGACTTTACTTTAAAGAGACTGCTTGAAATCATTCCTATAAAATACATTTCAAGAATTGATACTTGAGCTTGACTATTCAATTGATGCATCTTGATTTGACCATGAATTGGAGTTTTATTCTCCCCTGCATACTCTCTGCAAACTTAAGCTATCAGGTCCAAAGTCTAAATTATATTGCTTTCCTTAAGAGTCTCAGACCAGTTTTTTGCTTTGTACTCTGTAGTGGCTTATTAGACATATCAAAGCAAAGTTGTAGTGATAACCTTTGAGGAGTACAGGAATCAGAAAGTCAAAATAGTACTCACTGACTAGTCAACTTGGGAAATCCACAACCCCACCCTCCTCCTGAAAGCAAGGCACCATGGTTTGTAAGTCACCCGAAGATCACATAGAAGCATTTTCAAACAAAAGTTGAATTGAATTGGCATTGTCGTTTCCATGTGATAGTCTATTACATTTAATTGAGCCTAGTGTTGAGGCCCACTAACACAGGCATTGATCTCCATAATTTGGAAAATTAGGAGCCAGAGTTTTCTCATAAGTTGAGCATTCACATTATATTTATATTATTCAATATTTAGACTATATTCCTTTCAAATTAGATATGAACCTCAAGGACCATCATATAACGTCCATTACAAAGTTCGGTTTGATTCATAGACATGTCTTCAGAGAAAGATGTTTTGATACGTTATCGTCTTTAGGACTCGTAGGGTTCTAGGCAGTTTTACATTGACACTGGCATGGGTGTCCTAGTTAGCACGTATCTTGAGTGTCTAGGACAGAGCCAAAAAACTTGTATGGTTAATACAGGTCTGTATAAGCAATTTTGTAATAAGAATTTCATATATCAATTATATTATTAATACAAATTAAAATGATTGAAAAACACAAAATTAAAAGTACTTCTTGCAAGAAAAGTTTAAATTAGAACTCATGTCCATATTTGATTTGTGTTTTGGTAATACATATTTAAACACCTAGAAATAGTATAGTTATGTAAAAATATTGACACTCATTTGTAGCACTGTCTCAAGAGGATGTGGTTCTAATCCCATTCTTTGCATGTTATTATTATTATTTTTTGAAGTTTATGTTGCATATGACTCTATTCTTTTTGAAGGTTGTCAGTGCACATTACTTTTTGTTACATAAAAGAAAAATGAGACATGGTGACTTATCATCTGGCACTTTGGATGTGCGTGTGGGATACATTCTGCTACCAACACGTATGGACATCGTGTCCACCCTATGTCAGGACGTGTCCCATGTGTCTAAGTGTCATCATGTGACATGAGATGAAAAGTCAGGTTTCCATGTAAAACTAATTCTAGGAGCCCTGAAATTAGGGTATCCCTTAGTGTGGTCTAAGGGACTTCCTTATATTTCTTGTCATCATTGGTATGATATCAGAAAAAATGGTAGGTTAGTGGTTTGTCTTTTGAACACACTTCAAGGGTTTGAACACTTGACCATCCTCGTGCATCACCAGAATCCTTCTCCATGTCAAGCTCCATTTTCCATACATTGTTGATCGTTTGGTGTTATGCAATATAACACAAATAAAAATTCCTCCTTTAGAAGTTGCTAAATAGGCAGGGAAGTTAATTATAAAATAGGTAGTTACTAAGTCAGATAATATAAATGCTGTTGCGGCCTTTTTTTTCTATAGTCGGTATATTCTAGTGATAGAGCAATACATAAGGGTAGGTTGCCCCGTGTTATTAGGCATTGTTCCTGTTTTAAAAGGTTCTTAGAGGAAGAATTTCAACCAATCTAAGGGATCATAGTTTACCAAGTTTCATGCCTTTCAATTTTTGAATCAATATAAAGCACCGTTGTTCTTTCTATCAAGGAAAAGGCTAAATGCGACCTTAGGCTGAAAGCATCACATACAGCGATAGTGACCAAGATGGCCATCAAGATAGGTGTTGGTTCTTTTCATGAGTCATTACAATTTAAAGTGCAGATTCACACATCTCTGAATTCTATTAGATACTGGTCCGCGTGTGATGCTTGTTGTACAATATTATTTGTGGGTGTGTGTTTCGAGACCCCTGCATTTATCATATTATTTATTTCTTTGATTTTTCTAAGAGTAATATCAAGAAGTTGTTTGTTCTGTTGTAACTTTCTTTCTATAATGGAAGTTACTGTTTTTGTGTTGGGAAAATTTTTCTGATAACATGCCCGGGCAGGGATCTTGGCTTTGCTACCGGGCGGTTGAAAGGAGCAGATGCAGGAGGTTGCTGGAGAACGTGGAGGTTACCTTCATGGGAGAGGCGGTAATTTGTTGTCTCAATTTATGCACAACAATTCTGAGAATTATGAATTCTGATGGTTCAGAAATTCACAGCTTTGGACAGTGATGACCTACTCTATCTCAAGGAGCAGATGGAAGCCGAGGAAGATGCAGAGCGCCTATTGCGCCGAACAGAGAAACGTGCATTTGCCGCATTTAAGATATCCTTTGGCTTATGGAATTGACGCTATTCACGTTTTCCTCATTTATGTCTTCATGTAAATTGGGATCATAGTTTTTCTTAATCAATGGACACAAAGCAGCTAGCTTAGCAGATTCTTCGCCTTCATCTGTACCGTTACCATTACGTGTTGAGCCTAAACCAAAAAGCGGGATCAGGTGGTTATATTTTTTTTCATGGAAGTTACTCTTGTTTTCTTGTAACATTTTGACAGTCTAGTTAAACTCGATATAGTTCAACTAGAACTTTTCCCTGGCTTGATTAGAACTTTGCCTAATGCAATATGTTATTGGTATTAAACAAAGACATGCTAGTTGAACCATGGAATTAATTGTGCATTGCAGGCAACAAGATCTTTTGAAGAACATAGTAGAGATCCGGCCAAAACGCCACAGGATCTCCAGCCCGTCATCAGATGCATCTCCTGGAAAGCAAGCGAGTCTGAGTCAGGCCAGTCAGGTATCCGGCAATGGGAAAGCTGATCATCGTTCTGATGAACAGGTTTCAACAAGCCCAGGGAAGGTGGTGGATACAGGAAACAAACCAGAGGAAGCTGTTAGAAGCTTACTAGGCTTGGCCTACGAGAGCTCTGATGAAGACTAAAAGGATGGGTTTGGCCTCTGCAAACTATGCACCGAGGATGTATTTTGAGCACCTCAACTTGAAAACTTCCCCGGAAAAATTTAGCATGTTGGTTAGTGATGCAACATGTTTCTCTCTCTCTCTCTCTCTCTCTCTCTCTCTCTCTCTCTTAACTGTGGTTCTCTCCTCTCTCTTAACTGTGGTCCCCATGCACAAAAAAGTCAGTTACTCGGGAAATTGTTCTGTTTCTTGAAGAAATTCGCATGTTGTCTGACATGTCATTTAAAACTAAATCACACCAATGGTGTCACATTTATTTATACAAGTGCAATAACATTCTCAAACTTACTTACCATATAATTTACATATAGTATAGAACGTCATCACTAAGAACTGGATTGGATCAGCATCGGCGTCCTTGAACACAACGCAGGGCTCCAGATGATCTGGTCATGGCACGAACTCGCCTTCCTCCCTGTGCTGCAAAAAACTGCTCTTTTGTGTAGCGAGGTCTCACCCTGCCATTGCCAGCTTGGGTGAAGTACGCACCATTTTGGAAAACGTCCATTCTAGACTTCCAATTCCATTTACTTCCACCTCCATATGCTTGCCATATCACCTGTAATTTCCTTCTTTCTTTTAACAATTGAAATAAGCTATGCACCATGGATTACGTATTTGCTCGATCGATGCAGCAAGAGCATGGATACTTTAAAAATTTGGACAACTCTTTTTTTTGTTAAAACAATAATAAATTCAAGTACTCAACTGTCACTTACATTGGATTATTTGCATACTTGCGTGGGTTGTTTGAAACTTTGAAGAGACGATATTAAGGTTGGCAAGTTTCACGCTTGTTTATGTGTTAGACACCCCACGTGTGGGGGAGTTTTTGAAGCATAAGCATGAGCGGAAGACAAAGCATGAAGAAGTCTTGAAGCAAACGTATTTTTCTTTTTTTCTTATAGGAAAGCATAAAAGATGTATACCAATTTAGATGAACTGTTTGATCTAGATTCGATGCTTGAGAGAATTTTATTCTACAAATTATATGAATACGAATTTTGGTACGTGCCATCATCTCGATGCGGCGCACCTAAAAGAATATAAAAAGAAAAAAAACCCGAAGTACCCCTGAAACAGTGGAAGCCCAAAATAACAAAGTGTGAGTTTAAGAGAGGAGTGGATGCGAAACTTAAAAATAAAAAAAGAGTGTAGAGTAGAGGTGTGACATTGTAATTAGATTTATGTGAGCCATTCTATCAGGCTCGATAAGAGGACGAGGAAACATATAAGTCCTAAGTATAGAAATTTGTTATTACCGCTTTGCTTGGGGAGTTTGCAGGTGCTACAAAAAAGTTGCCTTCACTCTTGATGGTGGGGTTACCACTCCCTCCGATTGCATATTGTGTCCAACCATCGTAGAAGTTGTTCACCAGATGCGCGTACCCATGCCGGATCCTAAATTTTTGTCAAACGAACTCAAAAAATTAATTGGTTCCAATACCCAACCGAAATGAAGCAATGGAGCATGGCCTCAAAATTCAGGAAGAGGATTTTATGGGCTTTCCTTTCTAGCTTATACTACTGTATAAGTCATACATGCAGATCTCATCTAAAGTGATAAAAAAAACATGAATTTGCACAAAATGAATATCACTGCACACACTTGGTGAATGGTAGATCTTGCTTTCTACAAGTAGAGAACTTGAAATCATTTTTTGAACCGAAGATGTACAAGTTTTCCCTCTGGGCCCTGCTCATTGTAGCAATATGCCCCTTGGTTTATAGAATCTCTTGCCTTAAATTCAATTACCTGGGCATGCGCTGGTCACAATTTGGGCCGAAGTGGTTGAAGGCAATAGTGACCCTCATGTTGCGGTCACCGGCGAACCCATCGTCGTGTCCGAGGAGCATCACCTTCTCATGGTCCCTGAACCAGTTGTTGGACACCGTGATGGCAGTGCTCTCCCTTGTCACATCCAAGAGCCCGTCTTGGCACCGAGAAAGCGTATTGTGATCAATCCAAATTTTCGACGAGGCCACAACGGCAATGGCATCCCCATCGATGCGCTCGTATCTGCCGATCACTTGCCCCCTTGAGCCCAATATGGGCCCCGGCCTGGTCTTCACACAGTGGTGAATTCGCAGGCCATGTATGATGACATTGTTGACCTCGGATAGTGTAAGGCATGAGCCATAGGCAATTTGGACATCAGCCCCTCGACCGTCGATGGTGGTGAAGCTGCTCACAAGGAGGGGCATTTTCAGGGTGATGGTCATGGAGTGGCTGAATGTGATCCAGGCGCGGCCCCTGCGCCTGGTGGCGGCATCGCGGAGAGTGCCGGGGCCTGGGTTCACTGGGTCATCCACGTTTGAGGTGACGACATAGTGGCGCACTCTTGGTTTCACGTTGCCCCACATTTTGCCTGTGAACCCAACAGAACATGCGGCGAGACGCATCCTGTTTTTTGCCCAATTTCGGTCCGAACGCCAGCACCTATCGATCGCGTTCATCGTGATGGGTTTTCCCCTTCCCCTGGTTGCCTCTGCATAATGGACAAGGCATAGTAGCCACAACACAAGGGTGAGATTCAACAAGAGATGAGCCCACCCCATCTCAAAATGTCTCTTTTTCTTGATGTATAACCAGTTGATCGAGGGGGTTCTTTAGCAATGAGAGGCAGAGTTATATTGTAGAAGATTATCTATATATATATATATATGAATAAGTTTGTGTGGGGAGGTTGTTGAGGATGGTGAGAGGCTATTACTGGGGACTCAACAACTGATGATGCAAAGGCGTCCATTAGGTTTTTTTTGTTTTGGAGGTTTAGTTTTTGTTAAAAGAGTGATCTGAGCTTCATCGGATTTTGTGTTGGAGAGGTTTTTGTAACTCTTGGTTTTGTTGGAAAATTGGGTTTTTTGTTTTTGTTGGAAAACGAATGTGCCCAAAATAGAGCGAGAGAGATAGCATAACAGGCACCTCTAACGACAGGAAGCACGAGTGTCGGATTGTTTTAAGGGTGAGGTTTGTATCTCAAAAAAACAAAAATGAAAAAGAGATTTGCATTAGGTGTCGACCTCTTCTTTTGTTTTTTTGTTTTTAGCGATGTTAGGTGTTAATTTCATACTATTGAAATAAGGTGCACTTCAAAACTATGCCGAAAATGTAGCTTCCATGCCGCAAAGCCTTGCGATGATATGAAAATCTATTGCGGTCCCAATTATGAAATTTAAAGTTTCAGAAATGACGACGAGCAAGCACATCTATAAATATTTTAAAATCTTGAAAATAGACGGTCCAAATAATGTGTTAAAAGTGAATTATTTTTAAGATTAAAAATCCCCTTTTTCATGACCAAGAATCTTTAGGTCGAGATAATCGAGTGAGGGCTTTCCAGCACAGAAACAACCTTCTCTGGTCGGTTTAAAGTTGGCACCTTATGTAAATCTTTTTCTTGTTTTTAAGGAAAAAAAACATATATTTCTCTACGAGCCCTTCATGTTCTTCTTTTCCATAGTATCCCTCCCACGAATGAAATTAAAAAGAAAAAAATATATAAAAACATTCAAACTCTCTCTAAAGGGAAAAATTTATATAGAGCCGAGGCTCTAAACAATCAAATTAGAGCCTACCTCAAAAATTTCATGAGAAAATGTTGTGATGCTCAAATATCCTCAAATTGATCATCTCAACATCAAGATGAATGGACATAAGAAAACAAATAGATTTCATGTTTTGAAAATAGTGTATTTTATAATACATTTTTAGACCATCAATTTTCAAGTTTTCATAGATCTCTTCGATCTACACTAGTTTTGAAGCTTTAAACTTTATAAATAAAAATAAAAGTATATTTTAAGGCTATCAAAAAGATTTCCAGTATTGAAACCACATTTCTCAACACTATTTGAAGGTATGCTCTAATTTGATTGTTTAGAGCCTAGGCTCTATGCAAATTGCACCCCTCTTTGTGCACGTTTCGATGTCCTTTTTGGGATCTATATTTTTTGAGAGACCATTTATTTTGGGTACAAAATCACAATTGGTATTAGCCATTAGACGTTAAATTTGATGGCTTAGGGCATGTCACAAAATTCAAAAAATTCTTTTTAAACTTAGGAGCCTAGTCGAGCATACTTTGATTTGAAATCTAATTGACAAAAATAATTATGATCTTTTTGTATTAAAAATAAATGATCTCTTTATATATTTTTTATATTTTTTGTTTTTTTGGTAATTCAAACCACAATAACTAAGGCGTAGGGGTCGTACCAACATGACCCACCCCTTTCTAGGTTCCATGAACCAAATTGCTTGGCATGCAACTGTTCATAACATAAGCCAATGAATGAAACCAGTTGGGTTAGGCCATAGAGAGGATCTAAAACTTAATACAAACAAAAAACTGAAGCTCACATTTATTATTGCAAATACCCACATAAACACAAACTTAGCGTATATATATATTGGCTTCCAGCCCTGTGCAATGCGAGAGAGAGATTCAAGTACGTGCCACTAGCATTACCACTTGTTTGGAATTACCAATACCAACTTAAACCCAAATCAGACTAATACATTTCACAATAAGAACTGTTCAAGCAACAAAGCCTTTTTTTTCCAGTTTAACTTCATGTGCCATTATTTCCTTTTCGTTTTAACACATACACACATATATGTAGACATAAGTGCACACATAGGGGGGAAATTGAATCACCCATGTATAAATATATACAACCGTCCCATTTGAATGAACACCTTGGATAGCTTTAACCATAGTGTCACCGGTTTACCTTTGAGTGTTTGGACTTATGATAAGAAAGTCTAAAGAATTTTATTTTTAATTTTTATTTTATTAATAATTCTGGCTACACTAAAGGTATGTCTTTTAATAAAGCTGAATAATAGGCTAAAATTCATGTAGCTGACCCCACTTAGTTGGGAAAAAGATTTGATGGTGATAATGATTCTATTAACCGTTCTCATAAAATTTGGTTTAAACCCACTTCTATATATATATATATATATATATTTCGAACAAATAACATCCCATTTGATAATTGACCACCAAAAAATGCCCAAACGGAATTTGGGGCTCTCAAACGCATTGTTTTTGGTGTTGACTCCTTAGTTTTATTCATAAACTAATGGAGATGCAAAAAGAAACACAGTGCACACAACTCTCTTTCTCTCTCTCTATTTGTGCTCGACCTCAGTCCTGATGCGAGGCTAAGGTTTTGCATTATGTTCCCGTCGAAACTAAATCTCTAAAAAGTTGAGCTACATAAACACTTTGCTTTCTGCATGTTTCTTCTTCTTCACTCACTCACATTTACATTTGATGATGGCTTCCCAAAACAAAAATCTGCTCGTCAATGAATGGATAATGCAAGAAATAAGAACACATCCAAAAGCTTACAAAGACAGCATTTGAAGACACACTAAAGAGGAGCATCCATACTTTAAATTAAACAAAGATGTTTCGATTACAAAAGGCTACAATGACCTAATTAGGACCACTTTCAGCATCCAATAAATCAACAATTCCTTTCTTTCTAAGACACCTAAACTGTCAAACAAACAACAAAGAAAGCAAGCGACTTGCTACAATCAAGTATAGGCAACCCTTTTTTTATTTCTTATTTCTAACCCTAAATCTCTCTGGTTTCTTTTGTAAACTGCTAGTTTATTTCAAGTTACCCATACCTCTCTTCTTTCTCTCTCTATCGGCGACAAACGATCCCATTGCCATTGCCCATCCTTGAAGTGCAGTCCATGGTGGTGGGCTTCATCACAAGCACATCACCGTCCATTGAAGAAGGGGAGAAGATGCATCTTTTGCAGTCTGAGGACAAGAGAGAGGAGGTCTTATACTTGTCCTCTCCTCCCATAATGGGCATTGCCACTCCCCTCTTCACAGGGTTTTGGAAATCAGGCCTGTAGGTCTGGCCCAACACACCCTCCACTCTTGGTGACAAGTTAAAGAAACTGAATTGAATCTCAAGGTGGGCAAAGCAATCGTCTTCAGGAATTTGGTAGTTATGGACCCTGTTGTCCTCTTCGGTTATCGGCACGATGCTCACGGATATCTCCATTATGCCGGGGAGGCTGACTGAGACACTGTTGACGGTGGATGTGCGCTCCACTGTGAGGAGGCTGTCAGGGGCTGACCACTCGGCACGGTGGCCCTCTGGTAGAGATAAGGGGTGGGAGTCAAATGAGAAGAAGAGGTGATCGGCGTCATCGTCCCATTTGGCGGTCTTCGACGCACCCAAGGTAAAGGTGTGCTCGCCGAACATGATCCCGAGAGACTGGATCCAGGTGTTGTCCCTGGTCCGGCCTTGCGGCCTCCTGCCAATGAAGCGGGCGTTGATCTGGAGGTTGGGGTCGGAGACCAAGCTGAAGTGGTGGCCCTTCTTTCCATGAAAGTAGAACATGATGCCATCTCCTCCTACAAACCTCGGGTCGTAGCACGCCGCTCCGGTGCCCTCGCAGTTTGGCCTCCTATCTGCAAAAGGGATCAACAAACAAGCTAAATACCGGGAAAGGAGCTGGGTGGTGGTGGTACTTGCCACATTCTAGTTTCCAATATGAAATGCTCCACTACTATACTATACCGAGAAAGTGAATCAAATTTTTAATCTTTTTTCAAAATTGTCCATGGATCGACCAGAATTTTGATTTTGATTTTTTCGTTTTTCCTTAGTTGGGCAGTACATTAAAGTCTGGGGCACAGCCCTACTAACAAAAAAAAAAAAAAAACCCTAAAACAAAAAATTCAAAAGTCATGCTGACATAAGTAAAATTTTGAGAAAAAAAAAGTTGGTTGAACTTCTTTCTAATTTTCGTCTAAGCATAGTATTCTGTATTTTACCTAAAATTTTAAAATCCCCATGTAAATCACTGAAAAAACCGTAAGGGCTGTCGTCCCCACCGAATTACCCAAAACGAAAAAAAAACACTATTTGTAAGTTCGACATTTGGCATGGAAGCTTACTCCTGCAGATGGCTTCACACTTGGGGGAGTTGCAGTCAATGAAGCAGGCCTTGGCCTTGGGGTCAGCAGGCTTCATCTCAGGGCACTGGCTTGGGCACACAATGGTCTTGCCAAAGCATGAAGTTTTGTTGTCATTGCAAGTAAATACTTGGCTTTCGAAGGTCTTCCCAGCCACTCTAGAAGGAGGTGGTGCAGATGGCCCAAGCTTTGGTGGGGAGGAAGGAGGGGGAGAGGGGGAGGGGTTTCCGTAAGAGTCACCATGCACTGCAACCAGGCATGACACCAACACAAGTATCAAAACCGGTTGCCTCATCGCCATACTGCCCTTTCTCTTTCGCACTAAGTAGAAGGAGAAATCTTGGGATGAAATCCTACATGCAACTGAGCTCATTTATAGTGAAAATGGGAATGGGTCCTCGTGATAGTGGAGATTAAGAAATTGTTGGCTTAATGTTTTTGATTTGGAAGTCAACAGGGAGGTTAATTAGAGTCGGTTGTTGTTTAATAATATGTTTATGCGGGTTGTTTGCCATGTGTTCGTGGAGGTTGTTTCGGAATTGTTTAGGGCAGTGGGAAACAGCGTACGTAGAAGGGAGCTTCTTATTATTATTTTATGTGTTCAGGCCATGCATAGATCCGCGCCATGGAATCTGCAGAGAGAGAGAGAGAGAGAGAGAGAACACTGAAACGAGTGACAGTAAGAAGCATCCCAGGGAGGGGGAGAGTAGGGGTGCCAATGGACCCGACCAGATCAGGTATCCGACTGGTAGATCTGATCTCGGGTCCAAGTATGGGTTTAAATTTTGGACCCGAAAGGTCAGGTCTGTGCCTGGGTCCAACCGGATCCACCTGAATAATGAAATTATATATTATGTGGGTATTCCTAAATGTTGTGCAATAGCATAAATATCGCTAATAATATAGGTATATGATGTTAGAGAAAAGGGCCAAATAAAAAAAAAAAAAAGCTTATAATCATAAAGTAGCAATGGACCCGACCAGACCAAGGACGTAATGGCTCTAAGTATTGGTTTAAATTTTGAAACCAAAAAATCAGGTCTGGGTTCAAAACCTAAACGTAAATACTTTTTGAATCCAAGTCCCAATTGTGGTCCAGCAGGACCCGACCCGTACGCCACCCCTAGGAGTGTGAGAGCATCCAAGAGAGAGAGAGGAGAGAACACTCAAGATAGTGAGAGACACCCGAGGAGAGAGAGATTATCGTTAGTTGAGGAAAGGGGGGGGGAGCGATTATTGTAATTAGAGAGAGAGAGAGAGATTATTGTAAGTTTATTACCAGGCTGTAAAGTAAGAGTTGAGCGATTAAATCAAAGTGTTATACAAAATAATAAAAATAGGCATGGAAATCAAGGATGGATTAGAAAGGAAGGGACAACGCGGTTACAGCTGCTGCCACCACACGCGGCCCCTTCATGCAGTCATTGGGATCTCACTCTCCCTCCGCGACTTGCCTTACTTCCCGATGCATCTCTCTTTCTCTACCGTCCATTGAGGATCCTGAATTTCCCCATCTCCCTCAACCCTTTTGGGATAAGTGCAAGCTTTTATCTATCTAAAAAGAAATTAATGCATGCTTTTCTAAATAAGTTTGATGTTTTTTTTTTTGAATTTATATCACTCGACTTAGGGTGGCACGCCTTAGATGAATTCAAGGAAAATGTTGACCAGGGATTCAGAGCCCTTAGTTGTGTAGTGGGATTAGTGAGTCCGATTGAGTTTTACAAATTCGAAGATCCCTAATTCCAATGTTAATTAATATCATGCAATGCATTTACTCTTTTTTTTCTTTTTTCTCCAAGTTTTTGCCTCGTCGAACCTAGGAATTCACTCATAAGATATACCAGATTTAAGAGATGGATCGTTGGCTCCAATCAGGCACTAAAAAAATCGGTTTGAATTGGTGAATCAGTAGTTCGGATCGTCATTGTACTATGTGGAAAAGACAATGAATAGGAGAAAAAACAAGATGAGAAAACAGCGAACCGGCCAAAAATCTGTCCGAATCGATAAATTGGCGGTCCATTACTGTACAGAATTGCCGGTTCCCTTTTAGACTTGGCTCACAAAACTAGAATGGAGTGACCGATTCCTAGATCAGACGGCGATTCTGTGCTGACCCAACATTTTTTAAAGCAGTGAGAAATACATTCTTATAGAAGAGTGCGTATGAACTCCTCATGAGATATACATTCGTGGTGAAGAGTGCATGTGAACTCCTCAAGTAGCGCACTATACAGTTGCTCCCTCAAACAAAAAAAAGAAAAAAGAAGCCGCTTAGGAGGCTTTTCTAGATCTTAAATCTCTGGATCCACTTCCAAATCATCGTATTGTTATTTTCAAAGGAAGAAAAATTGAGTTTGAGTTCCAACAATCATCATTCAAAACTTGGACCATCCCTGTTTAATCTTTGGGCACTAGTTCTTTCATGTTCATGTAAAGCTTTTATTTTTTTTTGGATGTTGGTCACTAGGTTGAGAAGCTTACATAGTAAATTTTTAGGTCCTAAAATTAATAGTGAATGAACGATATACCTTATATTGACGAATGGTGTTGTGATACTGTTTATAAGTTGGCTATGTTCTGATACATGGTCATTCCATGCACAATGTCGTTCCCTAGAGTGCAGAAAGGAAACCTAAAACGTTGCAAAACCGAATAGAGATTTACATCTGCCAAGGATCTAAGGCAACTTATGCAACTCTATCCTAAGGTGATTTTCTTTGATATATTTTTGATTGCGTTGAGCGATTCAGATTTTGAGATTTAAAGCTCGAATGATGATGATGATGATGATGACTGTACAGATTTTCACAACCCTTTTCCAACAATGTTCAGATCCCAAATGCCTCATGGATACCTCTTCCTTTTTAAGGCCAAAACTACAAAGAACAAGCATCTACGAATTTCACCAATTGTGATGAATAAGGATCCTTGATTTTCATTGGTGAATCACTTGCTAACATATTTGGTTACGACTCAAAAAGATGTTAAAGTGAGACCTTCCAAAATTAAATTATTTGGTGGTTGAATAGAATTAATTACATGAAAGACTTCCATCTGTCACTGAAAGCCCAGAGAAGTCGCAATATAAATGAAATGTAAGGTACTCTATAGAGTTTATAAGTCATCAAGTATTGAACTCGCATCATGATAAAATTTCTTGTTTCCTACTCACAAATGGACTACAAAAGTATGAACCTTTTAGATTTCATATACTATGGGGCCTATTGTGCCAAATTAATATAACGGGCGGAATCCCCCCCCCCCACCCCCCCCCCCCAACCTGCGTATCGAAAAGAAGTTTCTGATACAGATACCATCCCTGCTAGATTTCACATTCCACAATTTACATAATATTTTTTCTTCTTTTCATAATTAAATAATAATATAGGATATCCAACCCAACATGGAAAGTGAGCACCATTCAGATACTGCTTTCTCCAAATGCTTTCCTGCCACCAGTTGGATCACAGGACCATGAGATATGAAGCTGTTTATTACCCTTCACCAAGGGAACAAATACATATACAAGCATCCAGCCATAGCTCTTGTGATGATATGTCATCGCTGTGAAAGTATGGTTCATGTAAGAAGATGGGTCAGATAAATTCCTCAACTCTAGAGATTCAAATTGTAAATCCATACATCCTTTCTCTCACTGAATAGAAGTGCATACATCCATCCACTATTTTGTTGCCAGAAAATGGCATTGTGAAGTTTTGGATCAGCCAAAAATACATGGAACAGAAACCCAAGAGGAGCCTCAATAAATCACAGTAGTCGATTGATAGTGTGTGTCTAGCCTGCGAAAGGATTGGGTTTGAGAGAGGGATCCCACATGGCTTAAACATTCTTCCAGTAGTTGATGATACCTTCTGCCAGGGATTTCAGGCTGCCCCACACTGTGCTTTTGTTGGACACTGACTCCTCTCTGTGGTCCATTTTTTTGGGAATATTTCTGAAATTAAGAGAACAAAAGGCAATTTTACTTTACACTTGGAAAGGCAGTATCATCATGGACACTGTTACGAAGTAGGTTTTACAATACATATGACCCCATATTAGCAAATGGCATAAGGTGCATTTAATATGAATATTAGCAAAATAATGGTTGATAAGAAAGGCCCATAACTACATATGTATGTTCTAGGCATGTATCAAGCACGGATATAAACAGGCCGCCAACTGCCAAATGCTAACATTGGATGGTTGGGGGACCCACCTCAAAGTCCACCAATTTTGGGTGGATATAGAGTGAAGAAAAGACACTCCCAGCCATCGATTGTTGACGTCAAACAGTCTGGGGAGCTGTTTATGTCCATGAAATACATAAACAGGTACTGACATATACTTTAGCGTAGTACTCAGAAAGAAAAACATATGCATACTTAATACACGTACACAAGCACAAATATTAAGGGTGCGTCTGTTTGCAGGAACGTTTGGGTCAAGAAAGATAACATTACATTGTAGCACTTCTGCGTTTGACTGTGCAGGAACTACTACAGTACTGGAACCTTAAACTTTACCACAAAGTTCCCTTTCTCTTTTAAAATGGGAAAGTCGACGTTCCACGGGGGGCACTAGGAACCCAAACTCTCTTAACTTTTTTGTCAATGACTGCTCCTGATGATCACTATTATTAAATATTTCAATAATATTTAATTTATAAATAGCATTTTATATAACTAATATATTATTATAACATTAAATAATATATATTAGCATATTATAATACATAATATTAGTATTATAAATATATTATTATATTATATATTTGTATTATTGATTTATATTGGTATTATATTCCATTATATATTTATATTATATATTATATTGTATATAAATATCATATATTATATTATAACAACTATTATCTTATATATTATATTATGTAACGAGTAATGATCCTATGAGACCCTCCCACACCCATGTGTGTAGGACCCCAAAGGATCGTCATTAAATTTGGCACAGATCTCTAGAGAAGTCAAGTCTCACACCCATGTGATAACTTTTCTAGAGATCTATGCCAAATTTAATGGTGATCCTTTGGGGTCCTACACACATGGGTATGGGAGGATCTCATAAAATCATTACTCTTATGTTATATATTTTATACATTTACATTTACATTAGTAATAAATGGATGAAGTTTCTATAAGGCCTAGGCCTTATGAAATCAAAATAAAGCCTCACCTCAAATTCTCGTCCACAACACTTTCGGCAATGGAGATCTCCATGATCACTCTAAAATCAATTTCCAACACAAACAATAAAATTTGAAATTCAAAAAACGGTACAGATTTTGTGGAACTGTGAACACTTACTTTTTGCATGAAATGGACGGTCTAGATAATTTTTTACAACATACACTATTTTTAAAGCTTGAAATACTAATTTTTTCACAGCCATAATGGTCAAGACGAGATGATCAATGTAAAGTTTTTCCAATGTTTGAATTGCAATTTTCGATGAGGTATGATCAATGTTCGTAAAATCGAACCGGAACGGTTAACCGGGCATGGGCCCAAAAGCGATTTAACCAGTCTAACCGGTAAACCGGCCGATTCAACCGCTCTAACCGGGCAAGTCCCGAACGATCATAAAAATATTGAAAAAAATACAAAAAAAATCTACTAAAATATAAAAAGCATATAAAGAATGTGATTAAAACAAAACACACTCAAATGATGAAAAATAATGAAAAAAATGGATTTTAACGAATCGATTTGAGCCTAGGGATATTTTTAAATTTTTTTGAAAAATATGAGAAAATATAAAAGTGAGTACCAATGACCAAATTTTTTTTTAATCTTTACAATAATGTAAAGAATATTAAAATAGTGTTAAAAAATCGACATGACCATCTCTTTTTTAAAAAAAAGTGAAGAAAAAATTAAGTTATATACAATATAGGCCATTTCTTTTTGTAAGTACGTAGTAAATGGCTATTGATTAGTGAGTCTAATAGGCAACTAAATAGTAAATGGTGTAATGGTTAGTGGGTTTAATAACAATGATTTCTTTACAAGAACTTTCAAATTGTGGGCAAGTAATTTTTCTGAACCAATGTAATGAATTCCTGTGGGTAAGTAATTTTTTTGAACCAATGTAATGAATTCCTGTGGGTAAGTAATTTTTTTGAACCAATGTAATGAACAAAAAAAACAAAACCGCTGAATGAATATAATATGTAATGAAAACCAATGTAATGAATAAAAAAACAAAACCACTGAACGAATGTAATATGTAATGAATTCTTCTCAAAAAAGAAACCCCGCTCGCTGCGGGATTCCAACCATGATCCTTATAAACTTTAACCATCCACACTAACCAACATGGCAATTTAAAGTATTTGACATGAATGCGACGTATTATTTATTTAAACTTTAAAAAACCGGTCGATCACCAAAACCGCTCAAAACCAGAGCCCGATCTAACTGCGCCGGTGTGGTTAGATTGACCGGTTTTGCAATCACTAGGTATGATGTGAGGATTTACTAATTTTGATAGGGCTGCAGCCTTATCAAACCATTTTCCTCAATATATATATTTGTATTATATATAATATATATTTTTATTATATTATATAATATAAATATCAAATATTATGTTATATATTATCTATAATACTAATATACATTAATAAATATATATATTTACACCAAACCTTCCTTAAAATTCCAGCAAGTTATCAAACATAGGTACTCAGAACTTCCTTAACATTCCAACATATTATCAAACAAAGGTACTCAAGACTTCCTTAACATTCTAGAACGATAACATTGCACTTCCTAGCGAAGAACTTCTTGTTTCCAAGGAACGTTTATCTTCCTACAAACAAACACACCCTAAGAATGCATTGAGAATTCAATATTTTTTCTAATGCATCGAGAATTTCAATAGTTTTCTTTCTTCAGAAGAAAAGAAGTGCATTGAGGATTTGTTTCTCAACTACCTAACAAACTTAGAACTTCAAGCCATTTATTGCCAATGAGACCAATTAATGTATTAATCTAAAAGTGACCTTGGCAACAATCAATTTCAAGTATGAATTCATTTAATGCTAAAAGTAGTCAACAAATCATGGTCTACCAAGGAAGCTCACCTACGAGGGCTCTCAGTCTTGTTTGACAGTTTGCTCTCTAGGCTCCCCAGATCATCATCCTTGTTGTAATCAGACGCAGCCGTCTTTTCCTCACCATCAGCTTGAGGACGCTCCACAACATTTGGCGCACTACATACTTCGGTTTGACCATATTGATGAGACTGCATGTGTTTATTATGCAGTTAAGCTTCTCAACAAGTGCTCGTCTAACAATTATAGAACAAAAACATATTAAGCTCTTTGTACCATATATATAAGCTAGATATTTTACTTACTGAAAAATCTTGCGAAGTAGAGCCTCCACGAGAAACTTCTGAGAGTTCCCTACGCCCAGAAGTGTCTCTTTTACCAGACACTCTTTTTTCCTCATAATAAGAAGGCAGGACTTCACTGGCAGAATCATGCTCTTCCCTTAAGCTTCGATCACTGGGCATGCAAGTAGGGCGTATGACCTCTTCAAAATGAGTTGAAATCAGAATCTCTTCTTTTGCTTCAGAGTTGTTTTCAATAACCCTTTGTGCATTTTCCAAAAAGTTCTCCTTCTCACTAATTACATGAGGTTTCTTGGACTCATATTCTAACTCCTGAAGGATACGTCTAATTGTGTAATAAGAACCACCAACATTCTTCTTAGCAAATGAAGCAGTAGGGAACTTCCCAGCATTAGAGGCTCTATACCTGTAGAATGAGCCTGTTCAATTATTTCAACAGAAGATATACATTTGGAAATTACTAGAATAATCTGGTACAATAAAATGGCTTTTATAATTTGGTACACGTTTCTAAAGCCTGCATGAAGGAGGAGGGTTGTGTTAGGTAGGGCAGCCAATGTAAAACTTTACCACATCTTTTCATGAATCGTGAGACCATGAATGACGGAACAGGATTTGTGTAGCAGACCCCAAATAGTTGGGATAAAGCTCGAATGATGATGATGAATTTGGTACATGTTTCCAAAGGAAATGCTTGCTATAAATTTCAATTTCTTACTTCCTCCTGAGCTACAAAATATGCTGGACATTTTGTTCATTTTAGTTCAAGTTTTTGTGGTATTAGTGGAGCATCCTTTTGTCAGAAAAACAAGGCAGATGGAAGAAGTGCCCAAGCTCGGATACCAAATCATAGAATAAAGATCTCTAGGGCAGCTGTAGTAGGATCACATAATGTCAGCCTCGCCATGCTATTAAGTGCAACACATCCATGGAAATAGTAAATAAAAAAAAATACCAGAAAGAGAGACCTGAAAGGCAATTAATAATACCCCAGTACCGAACAGTGAAGAATCCAAATGGGTTGCACAACATTCCATACGTATTTTAAGGCATGAGGTGAACCCAAGCTAACAAGGGCCCCTCTCTCCCTGACCCCCACCCCCCACCCTCAATTTTTTTTTTTTTTGAGAAATCTCCGCCCAAAAAAAATTACAGACACACACACACACACTCACACTATATATAATTAGATAAGCTTATTTGCAATTTCTACAATGACAGTTAGGGGTTGCACATGAGTTAGATATACTATTTCATTATTTTGTGATGACGAAAGTTTCATTCAGCATAACTGAATTTTGTGGATCCTCTAGAAAGAATGGACTCCAGTCTGAGCAACAGGAGCAGGACTGTTAGTAGGAGTGTACGCTTTAAAGTTTTCTCATTAGCTTGTAGCATGGAGGGTGGTTCATGTGCATATGTGAGTTATTCCTTGGAGATTACAGGGTTTAGTTATGGAAAATTAGGGATGTGAGCAATAATTATCACAGAATTCCGACATGTCCCAGGGAAGCGCCTTTCCTAGCAGACGTGTTCCCTAATAGACGAGTTAGATTTTGGATTTTCCTTCTCTCCCTAGTTGACTAAACTGACTGGTTTCCACCTTACTTTGTACTTTTCTATCATTAGTGAAGCTTTATTAAAACAAAGAACTGAACTTTGCAGTCCTAGAATGGGCCACCACATACTTAGGAAGATGTTGATGTTATGAGATAAGGGTTTGTATATTACAATACTACACTAGCACAATGGGTACTACTCAATCTCTTCAAGGTTCAATGGGTACTAAAGGCAACAGTTCCCAATCTTATTTCTGCTATTCAGCCTTACTCCTGGGCCAAGGCTGGTATTTGGTTATGGAAATCAGCGATGGCAGGCACCATCTGGGCCATTTGGATTGAGCGGAACAATCACATCCACCGGGGAGAGCACTCCTCTTGGTACAAAACTTTTAGCAAACTCAAGTCTAGGCTGATTTTCTGGGCAACCAACCATAAGTACTTCAAAGACCTGCCCCCCTCGGCCTTCGAAGAGAATTGGGAGGCTGCCCTCAACCACAATAGTAAGCGTACATCAAGGGCTGCAATTTGGAGACCCACCCCTCCCCCCCACAGGGCACTCCTAAGCTAAACTTTGATGGGTGCTCTCTGGGCAACTCACAGCAGTCGGGTGCTGGCGCTCTACTCAGAGACCGCCTGGGCACTCCTATAGCCACCCTTTCCAAGTTCATAGGCCACTGTGACTCCACGAAAGCAGAAGCCATCGTGTTGCTGGAAGGTCTCAAGCTTGTCGTTCCTTTGGGTCTCAAATCACTCATTATTGAGGGAGACTCAAGGAATATCATCACTTGGGCTTCAACTCCTTCTCCTCCCCCATGGCAGTTGGCTCATCTGTTTGATGAGATCAACTACATCTGCAGGGAGATGATTGTTACCTGGAAGCACACATGGAGGGAAGGCAACCAGGAAGTAGACACCTTAGCCAAACAAGTGGCAACCTCGGTTGCCTCCTAGCCTATTCCATTCTCACAAACTTCTGACACTGGAAGGTCGTTTACGTGTTTCCTTAGCTAAGAAGGCTTTTTTCGTTCTTTTGCCTGAACCATTTTTTGGTGAAGGCACTTTTGTGGTTTCTTCGGATACGCTTTTCTTGTGGAGCACCCGAGGTGTGGATTGCCCAACTTGCTGATTAATTTAAGGTTTACATCTTCAAAAAAAAAAAAATTACTACACTAGCATTTGAGTTTTAAACAGTCAGCTAGTGACTCCTCGATGATCTGATGTCCACAAGGGATAGTTAGTGAGTATCCATCCACTCAAAGACCACCATATTTCTGGACAGACTTTGAGAGGAGGCTTCAACTGCTCATTGTTGACATTGGACAGTTTCATGGAGTTGCTAGCTGACCATTTAAAACCCAAATGCTAGCATTAGGGCTGGCAATGGGCAGGGCCAGCCATGACTTGAGTGCAGCCCGGTCCAGGCTGAAGGGGTCCTAGCCTGGTCCTGGCCCTAACATGAAAAAGAAAAAATAAGAGAAAACATAGGGCCGGGAAGGCTCTGGTCTGACTGGGTCAGGCAAGGCCACGAATGGTCCTCACTGCGGCCAAGCCCGACCCGTGGGCCAATGGTGGCCCGACCCATGGGCCAATGTGGCCCAGCCCGGGCCTGTTCCTCAAGCCGCATTTTGTTGCCCAAGCCCTACTTTTTCAGGGCCAGACTGACCCCCCCTGCACATTGCCAGCCCTAGCTCGTATAGTACTTAGTACACTTGAGCATTTAAATAATTCTCGGTCATACACATAACAGACGATCCTTGGAAAGGCATACTCATCTCACTATTAACCTTCCAATCCATTTTCAAAGATTCTCAACTTCTGGGCCATCTTAGAGCCAACTACATGGCATTTATTCTATTTGTATTCTGTTCCTTCACATGGGATAATTCATTCATAACGTTCATTTCACCCATGAATAAGATAACATCATATCCATAGAATACAGTGCTTCAGGTATTACCGACACAAAAACCATCTTCTATTTAGCAACCTTGATGACTGAGTTGAACACATTTTTCATCATGAGAAGGAAACCTTTTATAAAATGAAAATCCATAACTACAGCATGCATATGAAGCAAGTGTTGATCTTCAAAAAGATTTTATATATATTACAGCGAGCTTTATTGTTTGCCATTATGGCATCATTGTTGTTAGCTTGCAACTGGGTAAATATAATAATTTATAGCACGATACACAAGAGTTCATAAAATTAAAGAAGGGCTCGGAAATAAATTGTCTAACTAAAGTTTCGATCTAACAAGCTTATCTGACACCAAACAAAGATCTTATGCATTGGGCTTAGGAACTAGGATTATAACCAGACAATGACTACAAGGCACTAAAAGGAAAACTCAAGCAGTACGAATAGTAGCATACTGTTGGACAAATGATTCAAGCATGGTTCGTCGCTCTGCTTTTGAAACTTTTTGGCCCTTCTGATGTTTAGGCGAATCTGAAGGAACTGAGGCAGCAAAGGACCTCCCACGCCACCTTGTTGGACCCCTTACCGCATGTGATATGTCAATATACACTAGGAGAATAATTGATGTCAGAAGAGCACCAAATTCAATATACAAGGAAATAAAAGCATAATATAATCGATTTTTAGCATGATAATTTGCATGATAAATCATTAAACATTTCTTCCACATTACAACCCTAACAAGTAACAAATTGTATGGAGTTACAAACTAAACCCTCAAAAACTATTCAACAAAACCAGGATAAAGTAATATCACCACTTTCTTCAATGCATGCAACAAAGAAATGATCTAGATGAATACCCTTGACCATTGGTTACACGCATAGTCAGCATCCATTGATGCATACAGTCAAACACATGGACATGCATTCATATAACTCTAACAAAGTCCTCAAATTCAACATGGTCAATAGAAATAACAAAGGAAAAGTTTTCTGAACAAAAAAAGCTTACTGATTGCCAGTCACTAAGTTCATAGGTAAGCACAATATTAAGAAGTGAAAAGCACAGATATAATAGATGTAAGGTTTGACGAGATGTTGATAACTGTTTTGATCAAAATGACCATCAACCATAGTACTCTCCATCAACTGGAAGCAATATGGATGGTGCGGCTATTCTCATAAGGAGAAATAGGTGCTTCAATTCAAACATCAAGGACAGTGTACATGTACAGCCATACAATCCAACTATGCGTGACAACTCCATACTCAACTTCAATGCTAGACATGGAGATAGTTTCTTGCATCTTGGTCTTTCACAATATGATTGACATGCCAAGAAAGACAATTCCATGGTCAATTATGGTGTATCAAGATAATCATCGTCATCATTATTATAGCCTTTTCCCAATTAATTGGCTACACGAATCCTGGTCCACCATTCTGCTCTATTAAAGGCCATACCTTCAGTGAGGCCATAAGTCCCCATATCTTTTCGGACTACTTCCAACCACATCCTTTTGGGCCAACCCCTTGCCCTTTTCAGTCCTTCCACTAACTCGCACCTCCTAACAGGTGTTGTACTTGGTTTGCGCTACACATGGCCAGCCCACCTAAGCCTACTCTCTCTCATCTTATCGCCTATTGGTGCCACCAAGAAGAAGACAAGAAGATTATGAATAACTGTGTTTGTTATATATCATTTGAAATTAAATGATTGTATCAAACATTCTAAGCTTCTGTACAGACCACAACTTCAAGTTCTGAAGTATCACGCACACATGTGCCTCATACCCTACAACTTAAAGAGGTTCTAAAGACACTACTTTTAAGTGTACTGTGTAACAATGCCTTAAGTTCCATCATCAGTAATAACAACATTGCCTATAGACATATGTAAGAAAGATGTCAATGGTCAAGGAAGAAGAGAGCAAAAAGAAAGCACATCAGCATAACTCAACCTACATTTAACATGTGTAACAACTATCCAAATCTTCTCAACCATGCACAAGGAGCTTGTCCTTTTATTTAATTTTCACAAGTAGGCAAGAGGGGTATAGTTTAGTGCATAAAAAGTTCAAGGGCAAAAAATGGTTTTCCAGAGAGCATGGACGTACTGTGTGAAGCAACCTGTAAATTACAAGGACATGAATACGACATACGAAAATCCATGTCTGGCTCAGACTCAATGAACCTGACTCATCTACCTATATTTTTGCCAAGTCCAGCATGACACGTCTGTGCAAATTTGTAAAATGCATACATGTCTATATACATTATATAAACTTATTTCTTGACTGAAATTTATTATATAAAATTTATTTATGACATTTTTAACATAAGATTAACCAAGACAAAGCACACAGGTCCAAATCAAAGGAATCAGATGCAAACTGCTTTCTAAAGGCATAAATTTTCACTCAGATGTTCATTTGAGGTAATTCAAAACTCAAATCAAAGTTCTCTTTTAGATCTATGACTACTATCTCAAAGTTTTTCCCCTTGCAAATGCATTGGCCTCAAATCTTGGTTGAAAGGCAGCTGAAAAATTAGATCATGATTTTTAAAATAAATTAAGAAAGTTTGAGACGTTATTTAATTTTAGTTAGTTGAAGTTAGTTTCCTTTTTTTATTTTTTATTGTTGCTAGTGTTTTAGAAGATGTTCCCTTGCTAATCTTGTAAAAGGAATGGTGCCTTAAACTTACAAAGGATTTAGTTCCTTAATACTGGAAGAGTAGCCTCAGAAAGGATTTGGGTACCGTTTAACTTCCAACCTAAGCCGAGAAAAGAGGCTCCAACCTCTAAAAATAAAGATATAGGCACCATGGCCAACAATAGAAAACATTGAGATGAGAACAAAGTTTTTTTTTTTGTCCGTGTTGATTTCATCATGTAGTGTTGATTCTTCTTTTCCATAGTGTTGACTCGATGTACCCTAGTTTTGGGGGATGTTGATGCCAATACAATTCTAGGTCTCCTAATTTGCATCAAGTGTTGACTATGTACACAAGTTGGGTTTTTTCTCTTCTTTCTGCATCCCTTCTTTCTATTTATCTCTCTCTATCCTGCCACAGTACCAAAAACACCCAGGAAAACCCACCTCCAATCGTCCCAAAAGGTCTTTCAAACCCTACAAAGTGATGCAGGACATGATGCCATTTGTATTACAGTTTTTCTATCAAATTTCAGTGATGTATTTTTATGGTTTATTTTCAAGTTTTTCTAGGTATTTTTTCGATTTTAGTTCTAGTTTGGGAGGATACTTATGGTCAATATTCATAATTTATTTTCTCTCAATCCAATATATTTATGTTTTTGTTCTACTTAATGCCAATATATTTATATTTTTTCTACTTAATGGTTGTTCCATCATTATTAAGTTTATTGTCACATGTTTTCCTTCTTAGGAAGCCAAATTTACATTTTAAATAAATACTAAGTCTTTTAGGTTTTTAAATTCATTTGTCGTTTTTCTTTTTTGTTCTTAATACTTCAATTTCAATGAAACTACAGAGTATGGAAAACATTTATACTTGATAGATGTCAATTTTTTTTGTTCCTAGTTTTTTTCTTAAATTTTTCTGGGTTTCCTTTTTTATTTTTTTATTCTTTGCATTTCTCTTATTTTCTAATTTTTGCATACGCAGTCTGATTGATACCCCGTAATCATAAGTGATACCCTTTAGCCACTCATTAAGCTTTTCAGAACTCTATACTGTCATCATCTTTGATCACTTGGCAACCCACTAAAAGCCCTAGCCTTCTTCTTTGGTAGAAGAGCAACCGAGTCCTGCATGTGATACTTGTGATTCATGAAGTTCATCAAGCTCTACATTTCCTAGTATAGCAAGCATGAAAAGAGGCTTTGGAATATGATAAGAGCCAACAAGGGAACATATGGCATATGGCTGCAAGAGGACTTTGTGCTAGGAAGTGGTGCTTGGGTGACGTTTTGGGGCTCCCAATCCCATAAGTATATCTAAGGTGTTTCCAGTAACTATACCAAGGGACATATCTATAATGAGAAGAAAAACATAGTTTTTTGAAGTGTCGGAAAAAAAAAGGATATAGAAGCAAGAATAACTTTAATCAACTATAATGTAAATCATAAGAGGAAACCTTTAGCTAATTTTGTTCATTAAAGCAGCAAGACCACCAGAAAAAAAAGAAGAAAAAGAGGTGCATCTGCAAAACGATGAGAATGTACAAAATCTATTAATGGAGGAAGTTGGTGAGGAAATATATGCTAATTGATACTATATGGATAGGTCAACTACAGGGTTAGAAACAAGAATTGTATGTGTAATATAGAGATACCTTTCCAAACGAGTGGTTTTGATTTCAACAGAGGAAGGAATGTACCCCACAAAAACAAAAATACATAAACTCACTCTGGAGACATTTTTGACATTTTACAGAGACATAATTGTTGCGGTCACACAAGAGTGACAAGACACCAACAATCATGGAAGGCATCAAAGCTGCATAAAATTACAAATTGGCGATCCCCGGTTACTGGATATTATTAACCAAAGGTCAAGTACCCCCAAACCTAAACTTTAACACCAAGGCTGCATCAGCATTTAGGTTAGGGATTTTTCCAAACCTATTGAATCAGACAGCATTTCATGAAATTTGAGACCTAATGTCCGTTCTCTAGCACATAATGTCATTCTTCCCATGGGACTTCCCTGGTCTCAAAGCTTCATCTAATGCTCACCAAACAAACTAAGCTAAAGATAAATATATATCTATGGAGAGAGAGAAAGGCCACATAACTTGAGTGAAAGATGCCATGATCAATGTGCAGAAACTAGGCAATTCTAAAACTACATTTGCGATCAAAACAACAAGATCAAGGTCCACCATATCAATCAAGCATTATGAATAAAAAACCGAAACCAGACTCATATAAAACCGAAAACCATTGCAAACGAAACAAGAAAAGGAAAACTCATAGATAGAGTAGGGGAGGTTAAAGGATACTGTGCAAGGGAGTATACCTCTGGTGGAAGCAGAAGGGGAGGTTAAAGGATACTGAGCAAGGGAGCATACCTCTGGTGGAAGCAGAAGGGGAGCTGAGAGAGTAGGAAGAGGCGGAGGCCCCTCTACCGAGTAAGGCACCTCTTCCGATGGCCTTCTGCATCATAATAACCGACTCAAATCTCAAGCCAACTCCGTCCTCTGCACTCTGAAACCATGAAGCGGCTCAGTTCTTCACCAGCTATGGAAACCAGCACCTCCATAATCGATGAATCGGAGATCATAGAGAAGAGTCAGGCAGGTTATTAGGGTTTAAGGTTTGGGGGCTAGCGGGGTTTGAAGTTTGAAAAGGCCCGCTTCAGACAGCGCAATAGAGCGGGCTACGAAACCGGTTAACATTTGGCATCCGCGCGGCTCCTTAAACGGAAGCTGGTTCTTAGGGCAAGACTGCTTGGTTAATATTGGAGAGGCTGCTCCCTCAGGCAAAAAGAGCTAAATTATTTTGCCTTAGTGGCAACATACTTTCGAATTAGTGGATATATATACTTTGTTAAAATATGAATTTAAGAAAAAATCTGTATTAGGATGAGGCCTTAAACAAACAAATTAAGGCGCACCTCAAACCTTTATTAGAAGAGGTTATTTGGATGCCCAAAGTCCAAAAGAAAATGGATTTAAGTCTTGAAAATAGTATATCTTGTAAATTATTTTTTTGACCTTTAATTTTTAAAATTACCAGATGTGCTCGATCTATACTATTTTAGAAGCTTTAAATTTATAAATAGAGATGAACATAATTTTTCACACCATCATAAAGATTTTCTGAAAAAATATTTGTTGATACTATTTCGGTGTGCTTGATTGTTTAGGGCCTCAACCTATACAAACCACACCTTAAATTTGAAGTTTCTAAACGCTTGGATCCAACCGTCGAAGTTTTATAAGATCTTTGTTCACTTTTAGTATCAACGTTATTATTTCCCAATAAAGGGCCAATGAATAAATAATCTTTTGGCTTGTGACATGGACATATATGTTTATAGTCTTTTGTGTGTGCCAATGCAAAATACACATGATTTTGACATGGAATAGTAGAAAAATGGTAAAATGCTAAGTAGTTGAAAAAAATAAGGTATACTTCCATAAATTTCCCTCAAGTTGTGTTTAGAATGTCATGCTTGAAAAGTAAGGTTTAATATGAGAGTTTTTGAAGAAGGTCCCCATGTTGGACAATGATTCATGTATCATTGTTTAACAAATTAAATATTTTAATTTTAAAAAGCTAAATGTTTCTTCATAAAATTTTGCTTGAAGTCCCGTCTCTCTTTTCTTTTAAATAGAATACATATATGTCAGTGTCCAAAAAGACAATTTTGATATTAAAATTTCTGACACTCAGATCTCTATTTGGATTAAAACACTGGTCTCTTTTGGTGACTTTCACCTTTCCGTTCAGATATTAAATAACAAATTCAAGAATTGAATCCCCCAACCGTCCCCTATTCCACATAACTTATAATGGTTTGGAAAGGATGTTTCCTATGAACTGAGAAAAAGGTTTTTTTATTTATTTATTGTTATTCAAATGCCTATTGAGGATAAAGAGGGAGAGCAGATACTTCATATATTATTAATTCAATATGTTTAGCATCTTATATTAGATATTAGTTAGCAAAAGGCAAAACTGAAAAACAACATCATGGTTCAAATTATATAATGAACTGTCGCCAACTCTAACACACTTGTCAGCATCCTAACTGGTGAACTAGTTGTAACATAGAGAGAAGGAGAGAGAGAGAGTTTATAAGTTTTTTTTATGGAAAAGTATATACAATGAGACTATTTATCATTGGTACAAGGTGGTTATAATTAATTTTGACTATTGGATAAGAAATTAGATGATTGTTTATTCCATTGACCAGGCTCAAATTTTAAAAGAAACTTTTTTGAATTTTGAGACACACTTAAGTTATCAGATTTCAAATCGGATGGTTGTAAATCATTATGACATTTTATTACTAACGATTAAATGATGTCAATATATACCATTCCTTATTTTATTTACACAGGGCAAATATGTTATGAACTATAAAATATGTCGAATTGAGTGTCAGCTTGCTAAAATTTTCACTATCCAACCAAAAGTGCTGTCATTTTGTAGCTATCCTGTGGTTGTTCTTTCCTGGTTATAAGGGGTACTAATCTCCTCTATAATATTCCATAAGTTTATATGCTCCCCCGGGAGCATATATCGATTTACTCCCTCACCTAAAACCCTATCGATGATTACTTTTAGGATCCTACTGATGTTGGTAGCATTCTCCACCCAAGATTGATTAGGATCTCAAATTCCAGTGATGTAAGTATTTCAACCTAACATAGAACAGATACCGTCTAATTTTTGTTCAATTTGATCTAGTGTTTAAGGAGTGAAATTTTTTTAAATTATCTGGTTATTCTAAAATTTACGCCAAAAATTATGGTCTAAACAAGTCTCATATTTGGCTCTTTCGCCAAAGGAGTAAGTGTATAATATGCTTCCGCAGGAGCACAATAATCTCGCTTAAATAGAATATTCAAAATAAAGTTAAAGAGTTAGCAGGCCCCTCATTGGTCCTTCCAAACCAATACAAATTGAGGGTTGGCAACATTGTCCTTTCTCTTCCTTGTACAATCCGCTTCCTTTAACTTACATTCAAATAAAAACGTTTGCTTCAAAAGCCGACCACCTCATTCCAAACTTTCTTCTTCTTGATTTCTCCCTCTTCCTTTCATTTTCTCTCTCTCTCTCTTGATTTCAGTCTCTCTTTCATTGATCCCTCTCAGTCTACTTCCTTTCTAATTCTCTTAAGAGTCTTCAAAAACTTAAAACACTTATAAAGGCCTCAAGCCTTCTATGCCATAAATAAAAGGTCTACTAAGAAATGCTCAAATGTAAAAGAGATGCAACTCCCGGAAGCCCCCCAGAAAATAGTTTCCGACAGGGACCGAGTCATGTGGCTGGTTCTTCTCTTCTTGGTCTTCCCTTTATCACAAGGCATTTCAAATGTAGATGACTTCTTACCGGTCGAGAGAGACGCATTGATAGAGCTAAGGGAAACTCTCAACTCTACGATAAACCTCCACTCGATATGGACTGGACCCCCTTGTATCAAGAACCATAGCCGGTGGTTCGGGATAAATTGCTTGAACTGGCACGTTACGTCTCTAGTACTCGAAGGTGTGCAGCTCTCCGGCTCCTTAAAACCAGATTCATTCAAGAACCTCACAGCTTTAAGAAGACTCAGCTTCAAGAACAACTCTCTCTTTGGAACTCTCCCTAATTTTTCAAACCACCCCTACCTCCAATTCCTTCAATTATCTGATAACCAATTCTCTGGTCCCATTCCTGGAAACTTTGCCGAGATTCCACAGCTTTTTGAGCTACAAATGGAGGGGAATTCCCTAAATGGAACGATACCACCATTTAATCAGAGGACCCTCAAAATCTTCAATGTGTCAAACAATTTGCTAGAGGGTCAGATTCCAGGGACCCCGGTTCTTCAATCATTTCCTGTGAGTAGCTTTGTGGGAAATCCCGGGCTTTGCGGGAAGCCTTTGTATGAAACCTGTACTCCTTCTGCCCCAACAATTCCCATAACGGCTCCTCCTCTTTCTCCTTCCCTCCCTGGTCCACCTACTCCGTTTGTGCCTCCTTCGGAAGGACCGTCGAAGAGCTTCGAGGTATGGGGAATTGTTTTGATTGTGGTCGCTGCAACGTTGGTTCCTTTGAGTGTGATGCTTGTGTTCTTCTGCTATTATGGAAGGATATACCGAAAGAAATCGTATGGTGAAGAACAAGGTATGAATCTTGTTCTAGTTCAATTTGTTATTTTGAAGCCAAAAAAAGAAAAAGGAAAAAAGGCAAGATGGAGTTACCATCCATTGTAGGCAATCGACAGTTAGGAAAGGTGTAGGCAAGTTCTCATGAGATCATTTCCCTTATTGAGATTCTAATCAGAAAAAAACAGACGAGCCAAAAGCACCTTTACACTTTCTCTTGAAATGTCTCTCTTGTCCACCGTTGTAGAAAATGGAGGTTCCCTTAAACCATCGACTAGGGCTGCCAACAAGCAGGGCCATGGTCAGCCCAGGCCAGGCTCGGGGCCCGACCTGGACCGAATAATGTAATCTAAGCCTGTCCCAAGGACCTAACAATGTTGCCTGGGTCTGGTTAAGATTTCAAAATGTGCCGGCCCTGCTTGAATGGACCCCTACACTTTGGGCAGCCAATGTGCCGGGTTTGGGCTGGGCCTGGCTAGGCCATGGCCAGGACTAAACTTCTATGACCAAGTGGGGCAGCCATGGGTTCTTACCCAAGCCCTACCTGGAGGCCTCTCCCGATTTGCAGCCCTATACCGAAAACGAGAACAACACTTCCGAGACATTATAAACTTCCAAAACAGTCCCACATTTATCCCAATTCCCAAATTACAAATCTCTCTCTTTCTCTCATGGCAAGTTGTTTGTGACAGGGGATTTGCCAAGGAAAGGAGAAGCAAATTCTTCAAAGAGCAGTGGGGGGTGGGTGAACCCAGAGAAGGCAGTGGTGATGGAGTTCTTCAACCAAGAAAGGCCGATCTTCGATCTAGACGATCTGTTGCGAGCATCTGCTGAAATCATGGGGAGGGGTAAGCTTGGAACAACATACAAGGCAATGCTAGAGACAGGTAGCACAGTAGTGGTGAAGAGATTAAAGGATATGAATGGCCTAAGCAAGAAGGAATTCTTTCAACAAATGCAGCTTCTAGGGAGGCTAAGCCACCCCAACCTTGTGGAGATAATCTCTTTCTATTACTCCCAAGATGAGAAGCTTGTAGTCTATGAGTACCTCCCTAATGGAAGCTTGTTTGATCTTCTCCATGGTTAGTAATTGTCCCATCCTTTTCTTTCTTTTTTTTCCTTTTTATTTTGAACTGCATCCATTTACTTTTTTGTTCTTGTCAACAAATCTTACAAAATTTACAGGAATATTTTATTTTTAAGATTTTAAAATAGCACCTATATTTGGTATTTTTCACTCGATTCCTACTTTTTGAGAGCATATAAGATATATTTTAAAATTTAATTTATTTTCATACAGGATTAAGCTCAAACTTCTGTATCCATGCTTCCCACCATCAATGCACCAGTAAAACTACAAAAGAAATAATATAATGATTTAACTTTTTTAAATTACGTTTTATAATTTCTTAGTGGGGAGGGCGGCATGTAACCTCAGTTCAATCTGAAGTTCAGAAAAAAATTAAAATTAAAAAAATGTTCTAAACCTAGCGAGTCAAGGCAAGCATCTTAAACCACCCACCATGCATTCTCACAGAGAGTAAGAACAGCCCTTAACATTAATTGAGTCCCTAATCTCAAAAAGTACTTCAACTCACTCCCAAAATAAGATTCTCTATGAAGTCTAAATTGTCCATAAATTACATATTGGGAATGCGGATTTGGAGAAAGATTCCAATCCTTGAAACTTGATTCCAATCCTTGAAACTTACCACTGGACACCCAAAAAGATGACCTACTTTTTTTTCATCTGAAATTTATCGATATATTTAAGGGATGAATTATTTAACATTGGGTGCGGATTGTACAAGCTATCAGCCTTTAACAACAAAAGGCGCACCTCTAAATCTGGTTAAAACATAGGGTGTGGTTTGTATAAGGCCAAAGTAAGGCGCATCTTCAAATGGTGTTGAAATATGTTGTTTTAATATTGAAAATCTTTGTGAGGGTCAGAATATTTATTTTCATCTCTATTTATAAAATTTAAAGATTAAAAAAATGTGTAGATCGAGAATATCTATGAACACTTGGATATCTTGAAAAAAATTGATGATTTGAAAATGCATTACAAGATGCACTATTTCCAAGACTCGAAATCCATTTTTTCTCATATACATGCATCATCTTGCAATTCATTTTTTCTCATATACATGCATCACCTTGCAATTCATTTCTTCTCATATACATGCATCTTGAGGTCGAGATGATCAATTTGAGGATTTTTTGGCATCGAAACAATCTCTTCTAGCGAATTTTTTGAGGTGTGCGTTAATTTAATTGTTTAGAGCTTCACCCTTATATAAACATTTTCCTAAAAAATACAGTTCCAATGTTAGAAGCTCTTAATAGAGCTTGAAACCTTATTTCCACACGTAATTATAAATTTTAAAGCTAAAAAATGGTGTAAATCTAACTGATCTAGTAGAGAATTTTGAAAATAAATGATTTAGATAATGTGTTATAAGATGTATTATTTTGAGCACTAAAAATTGTTTCTCATATCCATATATCTAAAAGTCGAGATGATCAATTGTATGGTTTTTTGAGATCAAAACAACCTTATCGGTTGGATTTTTTATGTGTATGAAAGCTTAAAAGTCTACATAGTCACGAGTTGGAAGAGTATTGTGATAAGTGTAACTTTTTCCCATACAGGTAACAGAGGACCAGGACGCGTCCCTCTTCAATGGGAGGATCGTCTAAGGATGGCAAAAGGCATAGCCAAGGGCTTAGCCTACCTCCACCAAGCTTGCTCCTCCCACCGCCTCCCCCATGCCAACCTCAAATCCTCGAACATCCTCCTCGCCCCCGACTACACCCCTAAGCTCACCGACCACGGTTTCGACCCCCTCCTCCCTTCTCGTAGAGCGTTTGACAAGCTAGCAGCTAGCAAGGCCCCCGAAAACGCAAAGTCCAAGAGACTCACCAACAAAACCGATGTCTGGTGCTTCGGCATTGTCTTACTCGAGTTAATATCCGGTCGAGTTCCTGGGCAGTTTACACTAGGCAACGAAATTTCTAGTGAGGACGACTTGCCTGAATGGGTTAGATCAGTAGTTAACGAAGACTGGTCCACTGATATACTTGATTTGGAGATTTTGAATGCAAAGAACGGGCATGGAGAGATGTTGAAGTTGACACAAATTGCTCTTGATTGCACGGTTTCGGCACTAGAGAAGAGGCCCAAGATGGCTGAGGTTGTGAAGAGGATAGAGGAGATTCAGGAGGGCAAGGAAGGAGAAGGAGAGGCCCAAGACCAAGCCCAATCTCGTTCTAGAGGTGGCCAAGGCAGTCAACAATAAGACATGAGAGATGTTCGTGTATTTGTTTTGGGGTTGTTATTTATTTTTTGTACAAGAAAGTCACAATTATTTATAAATTATAACCATATGATGTGAAATTTGATAGTTTGGGTGTATCAAAGTTCAAAATTTTTGAACTTTGAGTTTGGTCAATGGAATAAATCCAACCACCCAAATTCATATCTAATGGTCAAGATTAATTGTGACCACCTTGTGCCTAAGGTAAATAGCCTTTGTATACTTTTCCATTTGTTTTTGGGAGTGAATAATGTAGAACCCATTATTTTCATTCTTTCATTGGTGACACTTAAAATAAAATTCAGGCAAATTTGTCAAAATACCTTATAGAGATGGGTTATTTCATATTTTACCCATTTGCTATCATTCTAACTCATGATCACATGTTACATTTAGGGAAATATATCAAAAATGCATATAAGCGATGAATTATTCTACATTTTGCTCAATTGTGATCATTCCAACTCAAGATCATGTATTTTTTGATAGATATTTTAAAATTAAATCGAAAGACATAGGTAGATTATCAAATAATAGTTCAACTCTACAAGTGTGTGAATAAATTTCTCATAAAACTTATAATTTATAATAAGAAATAAACAAAAAAGATTATATGAGCCGACTGTCATGACCCCACCCCTTGACCCTTTACCCAACAAGCGGGAGGGTGATAGAGTGCGGGATCGCGACAAGAGGTCACGTATGTCACTCAGGTCGGAGTGGCTCAATGCTATATAAAACGGCAATCAGTGCAAACCACTAAAGAAATCACAAACTCCCACAAGAAACAACAACAAAAGATGGATAAATTAAAACCATTCATGTTTATATGCATTCATCTCCAAAATCTCTTTACACTCAGTTTAAGGCATTAATGGCCCACACAACAAAGATGATATAACACACATCTCGGCAGCATAGCCACCAAACACCTACTATGAACAGCTCCTACAGAATCCTTTCTCCAAAAACTCCAAACTCCACATGTTCGGCATGCGAGCCCGTTGCCTGCCCTTTAGATCAAGATTATCACTCTACAATTATGAGAGAAGAAATGGAATGGGATGACAGCCCAGTAAATAGATCTACACCATTGCATCTCAAATATTATAACAGTGGTAACAAAAAGCAGTGCGCACTCATTCACAAAATATCAAGGGGAAACTTTCTATAATGCCTTTTAGTAATTTAACAATGAAAGAAGAAAAGCAGTTCAACACACAGAGTATAAGTCATAAATCATTTCTACTTTATGCCGAACAATAAGGTTAACAGATCACAGTTAGCAGCTAGAGAGGCCTACTCCTGGAGTAAAAGATTTATTGCTCAGGCTAAGCTAATCCTGCCGCCTGAAACCTCTACCCTTACCTAGAAAGGAGGACAATGACAAGTGGGTGCCCCACTTCGTAATGCCCTCACACACACACACACACATATCCCCAGTGCGCTTTGGGGTTTTTGATAGACAGTGGCCTTGCAAGACACGACCCTTTTATATGTCCTTCCGACAGGAGAGCATCACACTACCATTGAGTGACCCAATGCATAGTGTTAAAATAATTGGGGGGTGCGACCCACCCAATTTCTTAGTTTGCTTCCCGACCCTAGTTCTATCATTGGGGTTGAGGTACAGTCAACAGTTGCTGGCATCGAGTATCCAACTACCAACGGGTGACCCATTACGTAGTGGTCAGTCACAATATATCACAGTTTATCATGATCACAATTTTCCTTAGTATAATAGTACTGACTACCAATGGATGGTGGTTAACCCCGTGATATAACAGTCTCACAGTGTGCCACAGTACATCAGTCCCCACTACCAATAGGTGTCCTATTGCGTAGTGGTCAGTCGCATAAGGGCTTACAATATCAAACACAGTGCCACAGTAATAGTAGTAATATCACAATAACAGTGGCAGTATCACAGTAACATTGACAGTATTACAGTAACAGTGGCAGTATCACAGTAACAATGGTAGTATCACAGTAACAGTGGCAGTATCACAGTAACAATGACATTATCACAGTACCGGTGGCAGTATTACATTAACAGTGGCAGTATCACAGTAACATTTGCAGTATTACAGTAACAAAGGCAGTATCACAATTAAGCATTACAACTCAACTTCCTATTGCCTACACTCGCAATTAGGGTTATAACTTTTGGTCCATTTAGAGTTTGAAGACAGTTCTAAAACACATTTTACACTGGACACACCCAGTTTCCAAATGGGGGTGGTTTGAAGGCAATTGGGCCTCATTTGACCTTTTAAAGGTTCCAAATGATGAGGGTTTATTCGCAATACCCTGCTGTATACATGGAACAGAGACATACACTTCTTCACATCGCTAGAAATCTCAAATCGTGAAGAATTTGAGACAATTTCCAATATCAAAGTTCAAGCCAAGACATATATCTTTCTAACAAGGCTAATTTGAAAGCATTTGGACTCTATTTGGTTATCCAAAACTCCATGCTAAACAAGATAATAGTTCTGATTCTTATCAAAACTACCCACAGTGACATCTCTTCATAAAACAACGCATAACTTCCAATCTAAAAGGAATTTCAAAATAATTTATGCATGCAACTTTTATCCCACTCAAATATTTTCAAATGGCTATGGTTTGACAGGAAATGGACTATATTTGGTTAGTGAAAACTAGTAACCACAGCAGGGTTAGTGCAAAATCTAGGAAAACTGTCAAACAATGACCTACATGTACATTTTGAAATATATCTTCATTTTCGTAAGGAATCTCGACAAAGGAGAACACAAACATTTTACTAGACTCACATAGCTTTCTAATGGCAGTGATTTGAGGTCAATCGGATCTCATTTGTCTATTCAAAAGCCTCCTTCAAGAACATACATGTTCATGGAATTTCACAGTAGTATATAACATACCTCATAAACATGACCCATAACTGTTCTTCCACAGTATACACACACTAACATGCATTTCCTACAAAATTTGTGATCTATACATTCATTTCCAGCATCAAAATCCATCATAGAGTAAAAGTCCTATTTCAGTAGAAACAACATAGAGGCCACTACAATGCATACACTTTTATTACTCATTTCATAGGCATACAAATTCATGTGTTCTTATGGCCATAATGCAAGGGTGATGGATCCGCTTACTTAACATGCAATGGTATCTCCAATTCCTTTTTTCACAGTCCCCTCAAGCTTCTAACAATGGCTTCTTCAAAGAGTAACAGTGGGCTCAAGGGTTGGCTTTAGTGAGAGAGAGTGGGAAATGAATGGCGTGAGAGAGAGAGAGAAAGGCTTAAGTACCCTGCAGGCTGGGGTGGCAGTCCCAAGGTTGACAAGTGGCAGCACCATACATGCAACAGGACAAGTGGCATGCGTGGCAGCATGCATTCAGCAGGTAGCAGTCTTAACCATACATTATGGTGACACAGCCGGCGTTGCACAGCCGGCACTAGCTCATCTTGCTCCCTCCTACCGTCGCTTGTGAAGTTTCTCTTCTTCGCATACACTCACGCCGCTAGGCCTCTTTACACACACGGTGATGCTTCTTTCTCTCTCCTCTTCATAGTCGACGCTAGCTCTTTCCTCAGCCGGCGCTGGGTCCCTTATTTAGCCGGTGTTGCGTCTCTTACACAGCTGGCACTGGGCTCATACATAGCCGGCACTGGGCCCCCTTCTTTCTAATGCCGCGGTACCTTGGTTCAGAAAATTGTGGTCCTTACATCATCGCTCCCTTAAAAAGATTTTGTTCTCAAAATCGTCAGTCAATCAAATAGATGAGGGTACTTATTCTAGATCTCATTCTCCCGTTCCCAAGTTGATTCTTCTTTCGAGTGATACTGCCACCGCACATGAACAACAGAGATTTCTTTATTGAGCAATATTTGTACTTTCTTGTTCAGTATCTCAATGGGTTGCTCGACATAAGTTAATCTTCTCAGATTGGGATTGGTTCATACTTCAAAACATGGGACGAATCAGGCTGGTATTTCCTCAACAGTGATTTATGAAAGACATCATGAATTTTAGCCAACTCTGGTGGTAGGACCAGTCGTTATGCCACAACCCCGATTCTTTCTAAAATTTCAAAGGGTCCAATGAATCGTGGACTTAGTTTTCCTTTCTTGCCAAATCTCATAATGCCCTTAGTTGGCGATACCTTCAAGAAGACTCGATCACCCACATCAAATTCGAGGTCTCTTCTACGATTATCAGTATAACTCTTCTGCCGACTTTGGGCTGTTCTGAGTCGTTCTCCAATTAAAGTAATCTTTTATGTTGTCAACTGAACAATTTATGGTCCTATCAGCCTTCTTTCACTGACTTCGTCCCAACATATGGGTGATCTGCACTTCCTCCCATACAGTGCCTCAAAAGGTGCCATTTGAATGCAGGTCTGGAAGCTATTGTTATAAGCGAATTCTATTTGAGGCTAGTGATCATCCCAATTTCCTTTAAAATCTGCAACACAAACCCTCAACATATCTTCCAAGGTCTGAATAATTTTCTTCAACTGCCCGTCAGTCTGGGAGTGAAAGGCAGTACCAAAGGTGAGTCTCGACGTCAAGGCTGATTGCAGACTGTTCCAGAATCATGAGGTAAACCTAGAATCCCTGTCGGAAACAATGCTAACAAGTACTCCATGCAATCTTAAAATCTCTTTGATGCACAACTGAGTAAGTTTATTCAGGGTATAGGTGGTGCGGACCGACAAGAAATTTGCAACTTTAGTTAATCGGTCCACAATAACCCAAACAATATCATGCCCAGTACCTGATCTGGGCAAGCCGGACACAAAGTCTATAGCGATGTGCTCCCATTTCCACTCTGGCACGGGTAAGGGCTGTAACAATCCATCAAGTTTCTGATGTTCATCCTTCACTTGCTGACAAGTCAAGCACCTCGAAACAAACTGTGTTACTTCCCTCTTTATATTATTCCACCAGAAGACCATCTTCAGAACTTGATACATTTTCGTACTCCCTGGATACACCGTGTAGCTAAAGTGATTTGCTTTTTCCAAATAGCCCTTTTTACATTTTCATCACTTGGAACATATATCTGATCCTTAAATCTTAACAATTCATCGCTACCCACAGCAAAGTATTCTTTTCTTTCTAATTTCCTTTCTTCGAAGATTTTCTTAAGCTGGGGATCATCTTTTTGTGCCACTCGGATCAGTCGAAATAGTTGGGGCTCCATCCTTAAACATGAAATTGTTCTCGCCCCATCACTAATGGGTAGGGTTGGGTGCCATCCTATTGCATCTTCTACCAACTTCATCGCCCGGATCATTATATGAGCCACCGATACCACAGGCTTTCTACTCAAGGCGTCTGCTACGAAATTTGTCTTACTCGGGTGGTAGTTGATGGTACAGTCATAATCGTTTAATAAGTCCATCCATCTTCTTTGTCTCATATTTTAACTCTTTTTGAGAAAACAAATACTTAAGGCTCTTATGGTCAGTAAAAACTTTAAATTGGGTCCCATACAGATAGTGTATCCAAATTTTAGGGGCGAACACCACAGCCACAAGCTCCAGATTGTGATTGAGGTAGTTATGCTCATATGGCTTTAACTGCCTGGGGGCGTAAGCTATAACCTTTCCCCGCTGCATTAACACACACCCGAGCCCTTTTATGCAATCAGTGTAAATTACAAAATCCTTATTCCCCTTAGGTAAAGTCAGTATCGGGGCTGTGGTTAGTCTCTTCTTTAGTTCTTGGAAACTTTCCTCACAGGCATCTAACCACGCAAACTTTACATATTTCTAGGTTAAGCGAGTCAAGGGAAGTGCTATCTTTGATAAACCTTTTACAAAACGTCTATAGTAACCCGCCAGTCCCAAGAAGCTACGGACTTTCGACACATTTGTTGTTCTTTCCCACATAAGTACAGCCTCGATTTTACAGGGGTCAATTGCAACCCCATCCTTGGAAACACCATGCCCGAGTTAAGCTACACTCGAAAGCCAAAATTTGCTCTTACTTAACTTGCCATACAGCTTTTCAGACTTTAAGGTTTGGAGGACCATCCTTAAATGTTGTTCATGCTCGTTCACATTCTTCGAATACACCAGAATGTCGTCGATAAAAACCACCACGAAATCCAGGAAGGGTCTAAAAACTCGGTTCATTAAATCCATAAAGACAGTTGGGGAGTTGGTGATCTAAATGGCATCACCAAAAATTCATAATGACCATACCTGGTCCTGAATGCAGTCTTGGAAATATCCTCATCCTTAACCCGCAGTTGATGATAGCCTGATTGGAGGTCAATCTTAAAGAATACTTGGGCCCCTTGAAGTTGATCAAACAAATCAGCAATTCTGGGGAAGGGGTACTTGTTCCTTACCGTGACCTGATTCACTTGTCTTATGACCGATCTTTCTTCTTTACAAACAGAACTGGTGCGCCCCATGGTGATACACTAGGCCGGATGAATCCTTTGCCCAATAACTCTTGTAATTGCTCTTTTATTTTCTTTAACTCAACTGAGGCTATCCTATAAGGAGCTTTAGAAATGGGAGCAGTACCAAAGGCTACTTCTATTTCAAATTCTATCTCCCTCACTGGGGGCAGAGAGGTTAACTCTTCAGGAAAAACTTTTGGATATTTCCTCACTACCGGTATTTCCTCCAACTTAGACTGGGCATCCCTATTTTCCACCATGTAAGCCAAGTACCCGACACATCTTTTGCCAACAGGCGAGAAGCCCGAAGGGCCGAAATAAGGTGTAGAGGGGAAGCATCCTTAATGCCAATAAAGTTTAGTTCAGGCTGAGTTGGGCGTCTAAAGGTTACAGTTTTATCATAACAATTGATTGTAGCATGATGTGTGGACAACCAGTCCATGCCCAAAATGATATCAAAATCTTGGATGTCTACGAGTATCAAATCCATTGGTAGAATGTGCCCTTCAAGCACAACCCCACAATGTTTAAATATTATATCAGTTTCTAAAGATTCTCCCATGGGTGTGCATACCACCAAGATTCAGTCAAGTTGTGTAGGTTTAACATTCATGTGGTATGTACAATGTGGTGCGATAAAAGAGTGGGAAGATTCATGATCAATTAAAATTCTTGCTTTTATTCCACAAACAGAAAGCGTACCTCAGATAACGGAGGTCGACGCCTTAGCCTCATGTTCTGTTAAAGTGAAAACTCGACCTTGGGTCCTTGGTCGGTCCTCTGGTCTCTTCACCGGGCAATCCTTCACTAATGGCCCTGCTTGTCGCACCGAAAACATGCACTGGTCTTCCTGAAGCACTCGGCCGCAGTGTGGTTACTCAATCCACAGTGTGGGCAGGCTGAGCGCCGATTTTCCCTTATGTCACCCTGGAAGGATCTCTGAATCTTTACACTGCCCTGATTATTTCTTCCCTTATAGTCTTTCTTTGGAGGTGGTCGAGTATTTCTCTTAAACTTCCCATGCGTGGCCCCCACTCTCCCTTCTTTTCTTAATTGGAAATCTTCACAGTCTCTCTCAATCTTTAATGCCAGATCCACCAACGGGGAGAAGGTCTTGATGTTGGCCGAGATTATCCTTCCCCTTATATCAGGTCGAAGGCCCTTCTCATATTTACTTGCTTTTCGCGCCTCTGTGTCAACGATGTGTGGCGCGAACCTCGAGAGCTCAGTAAACTTTGCTGCATATTGCTCTATCGACAATTTTCCTTGTTGCAGCTCTATAAATTCAACCTCCTTCATCTTTCACACTGAGTTAGGGAAATATTTTTCATAAAAAACCTCTAGGAAATTTTTCCAAGTAGTTACAACTCCTGACCTCTCCCGGACTGCTTTACTGAGCCCCACTAATACTCAGCTTCTCCTTTCAACATAAAAGTGCCCAATCTAACTTTCTGCTCGCCAGTACAGTGCAGAACATCAAAGATATTTTCCAGTTGTCTTCTCCACCTCTCGGCTTTCTCTACTCCCCCATGTCCCACAAAGGTCGGAGGTGTCATTCTCCTAAATCTCTCTATCAAGCCACTATCACTTTGATCTGGGGCCGGGGTAGATGGGGCTGGCATCGATTCTCTCATCATTTGTATCATAGCCCCTAGAGTTCTGAAGAATTCACCGAGAGCCGCAGTGTTTTTGTTACTTGAACTTGCATTGTTGGCAGGAATCCTTATCATCTTCAACCTAGCACACAAGCATCCAGTCACCAACCTATCTAAGAACTATCCCAACGACACTTCTAAAACTTTCCTAGGCCAAGAATCATAACCTGGAGGCTCTGATACCATAACTGTCACGACCCCGCCCCCAGACCCCTTACCCCTTACCCAACAAGCCAGAGGGCGACAAAGTGCGGGACGCAACCGGAGGTCACGTACGTCACTTAGGTCGGAGTAGCTCAACACTATATAAAACGGTAATCAGTACAAACCACTAAAGAAATCACAAACTCCCACAAGAAACAACAACAAATGATGCATAAATTATAACCATGCATGTCCATATGCATTCATCTCCAAAATCTCTTTACACTCAGTTTAAGGCACTAATGGCCCACAAAACAAAGATGATGTAACACACACATCTCGGCAGCACAACCACCACACCTACTATGAACAGCTCTTGCAGGATCCTTTCTCCAAAAACTCCAAACTCCACATGTTCGGCACGCGAGCCCGTTGCTTACCCTTCAGATCAAGATTATCAATCTACAATGGACTGAGCTGACAGCCCAGTAAGTAGATCTACACCATTACATCTCAAATATTATAATAATGGTAGCAGAAAGCAGTGCACACTTAGTCACAAAATATCAAGGGGAAACTTTCTATAATGCCTTTCAGTAATCTAACAGTGAAAGACGAAAAGCAGTTCAATACACAGAGTATAAGTCATAAATCATTTCCACTTTATGCCGAATAGTAAGGTTAACAGATCACAATTAGCAGCTAGAGAGGCCTACTCCTGGAGTAGAAGATTCATTGCTCAGGCTAAGCTAATCCTGCCGCCTGAAACCTCTACCCTTACCTAGGAAGGAGGACAATGACAAGTGGGTGCCCCACTTCGTAATGCCCTCACACATACACACACGCATCCCCAACGTGCTTTGGGGTTTTTGATAGGCATTGGCCTTGCAAGAAACGATCCTCTCATATGCCCTTTCGGTGAGAGAGTGTCACACTACCATTGGGTGACCCAATGCATAGTACCAAAAAAATTGGGGTGTACGACCCACCCAATTTCTTAGTTTACTTCCCGACCCCAGTCCTATCATTGGGGTCGAGGTACAGTCAACAGTTGCCGGCATTCAGTATCCAACTACCAAAGGGTGACCCATTCCGTAGTGGTCAATCACAGTATATCACAATTTATCATGATCACAATTTTCCTTAGTATAACAGTACCGACTACCAATTGATGTCTCATTGCGTAGTGGTTAACCCCATGATATAACACAATATAATAGTCTCACAGTGTGCCACAGTACATCAGTCCCCACTACCAATGAGTGTCCCATTGCATAGTGGTCAGTCGTATAAGGGCTTACAGTATCAAACACAGTGCCACAGTAATAGTAGCAGTATCATAATAACAATGGCGGTATCATAGTAACTGTGGCAATATGACAGTAACAGTGGTAGTATCACAGTAACAGTGGCAGTATCACAGTAACAGTGGCAGTATTACAATACCAGTGGGAGTATCACATTAACAGTGGCAGTATCACAGTTAAGCATTACAGCTCAACTTCTTACAATTATAAGCAATGTCATATGCTCGCAATTATAACTTTTGGTCCATTTAGAGTTTGAAGATAGTTCTAAAGAAAATTTTACACTGGACACACCTATTTTCCAAATGGAGGTGGTTTGAAGGCAATTGGACCTCATTTGACCTTTTAAAGGTTCCAAAGGATGAGTGTTTATTCGCTGTACCTTGCTGTATACATGGAACAACGACATACACTTCTTCACATCACTATAAATCTCAAATCGTGAAGAATTTGAGACATATCTTTCTAAAAAGGCTAATTGGAAAGCATTTGGACTCCATTTGGTTGTTCAAAAGTCCGTGCCAAACAAGATAATAGTTCTGATTTTTATCAAAACTAACCACAGTGACATATTTTCATAAAACAACGCATAACTTCCAATCTAAGAGGAATTTTAAAATAATTTATACATGCAACTTTGAGCCCACTCAAAGATCTTTCAAATGGCCATGGTTTGACAGGAAATGGACTTTATTTGGTAAGTGAAACTAGTAACCACAAAGTGCAAAATCTAGAAAAACTGTCAAGTAGTGACCTACACGTACATTTGGAAATATATCTTCATTTTTGTAAGGAATCTCGACAAAAGACAAACATAAACATTTTATTAGACTCACATAGCTTTCTAATGGCAATGATTTGAGGTCAATCGGACCTCATTTGACTATTCAAAAGCCTCCTTCAAGAACGTACATATTCCTGAAATTTCACAGTAGTATATAACATACCTCATAAACATGACCCATAACTCTTCTTCCACAGTATACACACACCAACATGCATTTCCTACAAAATTTGTGAGCTATACATTCATTTCCAGCATCAAAATCCATCATAGAGTAAAAGTACTAATTTCAGTAGAAACAGCATAGAGGCCACTACAATGCATACACCTTTATTACTCATTTCATAGGCATACAATTCATGTGTTCTTATGGCCATAATGCAAGGGCGATCGATCCACTTACTTAAAATGCAATAGTATCTCCAATTCCTCTTTTTACAGTCCCTTCAAGCTTCTAACAATGGCTTCTTCAAAGGCGTAACAATGGGCTCAAGGGTTGGCTCTAGTGAGAGAGAGTGGGAAATGAATGGTGTGTGTGTGAGAGAGAGAGAGAAGGGCTTAAGTATCCTGCAGGCTTGGGGTGGCAGTCCCAAGGTTGACAAGTGGCAGCACCATACACGCAACAGGACAAGTGGCATACGTTGCACCATGCATTCAGTAGGTGGCAGTCTTGATCATACACGGTGGTGACATAGCCGGCTTTGCACAGCCGGCGCTACACAGTCGACGCTAGCTCATCTTGCTCCATCCTATCGCTGCTTGTGAAATTTCACTTCTTCTCATAAACTCACAGCGCTATGCCTCTTTACACACACGTGATGCTTCTTTGTCTCTCCTCTTCACAGTCGACGTTAGCTCTTTCTTCAGCCGGTGTTGGGTCCCTTATACAGCCGGCGCTGCGTCTCTTACACAGCCAGCGCTGGGCTCATACATAGCCGGTACCCCCTTCTTTCTACTGTCGCGATGCCTTAGTCTAGAAAATTGTGGTCCTTACATCATCTCCCCTTTAAAAAGATTTTGTCCTCAAAATCGTCAGTCAATCAAATAGATGGGGGTACTTATCCCGAATCTCATGTAATTGTGTGATTGTTCTTTATATATAGAAGCAGTTATTGATGTAAACATCCATCAAAAAATAGTGAAGATGTAACTCGTTGGGCTTTGAATCCGTGGACGTAAGGCTTCAGCCTGAACCACGTAAATGTTGTGTTATCTCTTCTTATCTCTCCATTTTTCATTCAATGTATTTTCTATCTCCATTCTCTATTCTATGCTCCCACAAATTCTAACAGTAGTCGGTACCAAATCATTGCAACAAGACTTGGATGATGATAATGAGTATTATTATCATGAGCCTTAGGACTCATATGTAAATATATCCTCTCTTTAAAATATATTTTTGAGATGGATTTTGAATTTAATGTTTTAAGTATGAGTAATGATCCTATGAGACCCTCCCACACCTTTTGCATGACCTCAAAAGATCACCATTAAATTTGGCACTAGAAAAGTTATCACATGGGTGTGAGATTTGATTTTTCTAGATATCTGTGACAAATTTAATGGTGATCCTTTGGGGTCCTACATACATAAATGTGGGAGGGTCTTATAGGATCATTACTCTTTAAGTATATATTATCGTCATTATTATCGAAAGAGTGAGGAGTGTAAACTTTCTCTTAATATGTTCCAAGTTTGGGTAAATGAGGTAGGTTGTGTTAAATAGACCGTCACTATAAAACTTTATCAAAACATTCTATAAATCATGAACTTTAGATATTATTTAAAAAAAAAAAAAAATCTATTGAAATAAAAAAAATAAAAATTAAACACGATTAATTTTGAGGGAGCACGATCCATCGCAGGACAAAAATGCAGGAGTGCTTCCCCCGACATATAAAGAACTTTTACTGTAGTTTATGGTGCTCAAGCCCTGGTGCTGAAACTTTCACACGTGTACGTTGGGAAAACAAGTTGATTAGGGCTTGTGCATGTTATGAAAGTTGTCGAGGCCTCGGCGAGTACAGGTGGCACTTCTATTTCACTTTTATGCCGTTCAAGAGACAAAAATTCATGGTAATTTATTCCCACCGCTAACATCTACTTGGAAAAACAGGTTCGCGTTCGTCTTCTCCATTTAATTATCCAAAAAAAAAAAACAAAAATCCTATATATATATATAGAGAGATTGAGAGATCGTTTAAAAGAAAGAGAAAGGATTGGGGAGAGATTAATTATTAAAAGATAAGAGAATCGAATGAAAGTAGAAAGAGAGAGAGAAATCGAATAAACATAAAGAGATTGGTTAACTAGATATGAGTGAATTTAAATAAAAATAGTGACTATTTAAATCGGGAGAAAGCTTATTTACAGCCGAGGCTCTAAACAATTAAATTTGAGCCTACCTCAAAAATTTTACTAAAAACGGTTGTTTTCATGTTTAAATATCCTCAAATTGATCATCTCGACATCAAAATGCATAGATATATATATAAAAAAAAAGATTTCAAGTTTTGAAATAGGGTATTTTTTAATGCATTTTTGGACCGTCAATTTTTAAGGATTTCAATTTTTCATAAATCTATCTATCTACACTATTTTCAAAGCTTTAAACTTTATAAATGAAAATGAAAATATATTTTAAGGCTATCACAAAAATTTTCAGTAATAAAACCACATTTCTCGACACTATTTAATAATAGGCCCTAATTCGATGGTTTAGAGCCTCGGCTCTACACAAACCGCACCTTTTAAATCGAAGTGAGATGAATAAACATAGAAATAGAGATTATTTAGCCACAGGTTTGAAAATGTTAAGAGAATTTGAGTGAGCAGAAAAGAAGTGAGATTATTTATCAAGAGAGAGAAATTGAATAAACATACAAGAGAGAGAGAGGGAATTAGAAAAAACATATAAATTATTTAGGTAGAGAGTAAGGGTGGCATGAGTCGGGTCGGGTCCAGGTAAAAAAAATTATGGGATCTGGATCCGATCCAAAAATAAAAAATATATAAGTTTAAATGTATTTGATTATCATATTAAATATATATAGTTATATTTATTTGAGTGTTTTTTATTTAATGAGAAAAGTTTATATAGAGCCGAGGTTCCAAACAATCAAATTAGAGCCTATCTAAAAAATTTCGTTAGAAGAGATTGGTTTAATGCTCAAACATTTGGACATGAGAAAAAAATGGATTTCAAGTTTTAAAAATAGTGTATTTTGTTCGGTTTCTAAGACGGAATATTATCCAAATCCAAGTTTTAAATCCAAACCAGACTTCTTGGATTCAATTTTTAAACCGGACCCAAGTGAGGGACTTGGTCGGGTGCGGGTCTATTGCCACCCCTACTAGAGAGTGAGAGAGAAGTTGAATGACCTCAAGGGACGTAGAAGATGAAGATGAGGATGAGGAAGAAGGATACAGGTGCCAGCTCAAATGTTCGAAACACTTAGCTTCTCCATCGAACCCATCTCTTTACGTGTCACTCTTCTCAAACATCAACCTTACACACGTCCACAACTGCTTCCTATTTTAACCCACCCCTTCGCCACCTTTACTCCTGAAACCGCCTTCAGCCCTGAAGCCAAACCCTCTTTTTTCTCTACCAAATTCTTCTCAGAACTCTCTCTCTCTCTCTCGCATGCACTCACACAGTAAAGACGAGTCAAGGTGCACCCTGCTGGAGTCATGCCGGTGAGGAGAATACCCATTGGTCGGCCTGAGGAGGCAAGGCATCCGGACTGGGCGCGAGCACTCCTCGCGGAGTTTGTGTCCACCTTCATCTTCGTCTTTGCTGGAGAAGGCTCTGTCCTCGCTCATGGTATAATTCCTATAGTGAGATTTTTCGACAAAAATGGTATGGTTTTGTTAATAATCATGGGGTATGGTTGATTAGGTAAGATATCAAGAGAGGTGGCGACACCGGCGGGGTTGGTGAGTGTGGCCTTAGCACATGCATTTTCTTTGGCAGTTGCGGTGGCTGCCGGGATGAACATATCAGGTGGTCATATTAACCCAGCAGTTACATTCAGTGCACTTTTGGGAGGCCGGATTTCTCTATTGCGAGCCTTCTTCTATTGGGTGGCCCAACTCTTGGGCTCCATCGTGGCTTCTCTCTTGCTTCTGCTTACCACCGATGGAATGGTAACTACTCTCTTTTCTCTCATGTCTTTTATCATAATATGGTTTATGAGAAGGTCTTTTAATTGGATGATCTTGCCTCTTCACACTAAAATTGGCTTCAAAACCAGAGTTAAATATTTCTTGACGAAATTCCAATTCATGGCAAGATTAGGCTGATTTTTGGTTTTGTCAAGTAACCAAGATACAGTGAAAAGGCTGTAGGCTCCTCACTTTCCCCTCTGCCCTCTACATAAAATTTGTTACAAAGCAAATAATATTGTGTTAAATTAGCTTCTGCAAATGCTCTTGCCGATCAAGTCTCCACTATGTAAGCTAAATAAATCAGACAATTTAGAAATTCTTCGTTCCTCTTAACTAGTTAAGACTTCAAAAGATTATATTATCGCTTAGAAAAACTTATCTTTGGAACATGTCTGTGGGCTAACCTACCATCGATGTCTGTGTTAGGGCTATTGGGGCGTATCGACGCTCCCAAGACATGATGCTTTAAGATATGATACTCTCGTGTCTGACACTTCATGTTAACCTTATTTTCCAGAAGTATTTTGATTTAAACCTTTGTAAGTCCAAATTTTGTAGAAAGATTTTAATATTGTCTAGAGTTCCACCTCTCACAGGCCAAGTCATGCCTGTACCCATACAGATGCTGATAGATATAACCGTAAATACTGATACATATAATCGTGTTGCTATGTCTTGTGAGTGTTTCATAGTTTTCATTCATTTTGGTTTTTTTATTCCCCCACAGAGGCCCTTTGGTTTCTCAGTCGCCTCAGGGGTAGGAGAATGGAATGCTCTCTTGCTTGAGATCGTGATGACATTTGGTCTCGTATATACATTCTTCGCGACAGCGGTCGATCCTAAAAGGGGAACCATGGGCACAATGGCACCACTAGCTATAGGCTTCATCGTGGGTGCTAATATCCTTGCCGGTGGTCCCTTTGATGGTGCATCGATGAACCCAGCACGAGCCTTCGGTCCAGCCCTTGTGGGGTGGAGGTGGAGCAATCATTGGATATATTGGGTTGGACCCTTTGTGGGTGCAGGTTTGGCTGGCCTCATCTACGAGGCACTTATAATTCCTACTGAGCCTCCCCTTCCTCACCAGCCTTTAGCTCCTGAGGACTACTAGATCTCTCTCTCTCTCTCTCGTGTAGATAAGTTGCATTTTCTGTTGTTTTCCATGAGCTTCAATAAATCAGACACCAAGTTCTATGTGTGTTATATGCTGTTTTCTTTTCAATGAGAAACATATTGTTCTTTTCCAAATATTCCTGTTGGAAATCAAGGGAAACTCGTCTATTTCATGTGGTATTACATTAAGAGGCATTTGTACCTCCTTTACTTGGGCACCACTTGGGGAAAAGTTTATATAGAGCCAACAATCATATTCGAGCCTCTTTCATCAGAAGTGGTTGTTTTGAGAGCCTCTTTCATCAGAAGAGGTTGTTTTGACGCACAAGTATCCTCAAACTGATCATCTTAACATCAATGGACATGATCAATGGACATGAGAGAAATAATGGATTTTAAAGTTTTGGAAATAGTGTATTTATAACGTATATTTGGACCGATCAATTAAATTTTCCAAAGTTTTTATGGATATCTCGTGACACCATTTTTAAAGCTTTAAATTTTATAAATAAATATAAAAATATATTTTAAGGCTATCAAAAAGATTTTCAAAGCCACATTCACACCATTTGAAGGTAGGCTCTAATTAGATTGTTTAGAGCCTAGGCTCTATACAAACCGCACCCATCCTTAATTGTTACACCTTGTTAACTGATGAGGTTTAGATGATAGAAGGCAGCGAAAGTCTCTCTGTTTCAAGAGAGACCCAAGGATACAAAACCCAACCCATGATTGGAACACAGTAAGAACACAGTAAAAGAGACGTGACACTAGGTCTGAGAATTTTTTCGGATCGAGTTCAGATCCACCTAGATCTGGATCCATATCCGAAAAGCATAGATCCGATGTGGACATGGATTGGATCCATATCCAAAACTATATGTAGGTTTCGGATTTGAACCTGTGGATTAGTTCCAATTCTTTATATTATAAAGTTGAAAATATAATTATTTTATTATATTAATCAAATATAAATGATAACATATATGTATATATAGAATTATATATATTATTTTAGAAACCCAGGTCCCACCAATACCTGGATCCGACCCAAATTATTATTAGAATCTAAATTTTGGATCTGGATCCAAATTGTAGATAAATATTTGGATGGATCTGAATTTTGAATTTTGGGTTTGGCTTCGGACCGACCAAATTCCCAGCCATACATGACACTGTTCCCTTGCTTTTATATCTTCCTATATCTAGCATCTATCCTTTGGCAGTGGTGCGTCCTAAGCAGGCCCTGACCTGGGTCCACGTTAGGATTCCGACTGGACAGGTGATACCGGCGTCCTAACCTGGGTTGAAGTTTGGACCCCTACCGGGCAGGTTGAGCATGGATAAAATATCTTGGCCTGATTGGGGGTGTGTTTTGTCCCGGACGAAGTCCACGCTGGGTCCGACGCCCCTTTAGATTTGGGCCCAAACCCTATCGGTCAGGGTCAATGGTAAGGATCTGGGTCCCTGCCCTGATTGGCTCCGTGTTCTGTCCTGCACATAGTCAGCGCTGGATCTGACGCCCCTTTGGATTTGGGCCCATACCCTATGGCTCGGGTTGAAGGTAAAGGGTCTGGATCTTGGCCGCTGCGCCGGATGCTCGCGTTGGATCCAGTGTAGATCTCGGCTCCTCATTTGCTCACCTGCCTTACTCATTACATGGAGCAAACACTTCCAAAGTTGATAAATGTGAATTTAATATTACAGAATCAATCACGATGCACAATTGAGAATCCAAGTTTACAGTTACAAAATCAATTTATTTGCAATGAAAATTATCTGATATTTATAAAGAGAGACATGTTTATTTGAGATATGGGTCACTTTCTTCTACTGTAATATTTAGCAACCCATGGAGCAAGCTGTGTGTTATCTGGTTCTCTTTTGTGAGAGGTGTAATAGTCAGACCAGTAACACTCGGACAACTTTGGAGGCAACCCTCCATTCTCAGAGTCAAATATACAGAAAGGCAGCCACTCGGCGCCTCCATTCATTCCCCTTTTCCTTTCCCTTGGATATGCTAATGGTGCTTGAACATATCTGGAGGAAGAAAAAGAAACAAGATCAAAAGTCAATTCTTCTTCTTTTCCAAAAATAGAAGGCACATAAAATTAATTGGTTTATTACCTTTGAGAGCACCTTATTCAGGGGTTGCAACGGTTCTGGGTCCCTTAAAAATGATTCTGGACCCAGATCGACTTGACCCAAAAAGTCGCCCAAAAATTAAAATATTAATGTATTTAATTATATTTAAATATATTTTATAAATTGAGACTCAAAAAAAAATATAACAGGATCCGTACATGGACCCGATCTGGACCCAAATGGTGTTTGGGTTCAAGATTTGGACCTGGACCAAATCTGCCGGGTCCAAATTTTGGACCCATATCCGGATCCGGATCCAGATCAGATCTGCCGTCCCTGGTCCATTGCCATCCATAACCTTATTCCTTGAAGCCAAATGTCCCAGCAAAAGTGAGTGTGGCCAAACATATGACAAGCATGTGGGCTTCCATGGATCCCATGTAAGGTCCTCAAACGAGCTTCTAAGTAATCTGAACCAATGACTTTCGGGAGATTTGGATAGAACAGCATTCTCTTTTCTGGACAGAGCTCAGGCCTGAACATGATGGCATCACAAATTTTACATCCCAGGCATTCAAATGGCTTAACCAGTATAATAGTTGAGCATCGGATAACAAACTGAGCAAATATGGTTACCTTGGAAGAAAATGGGAGAATGTGATAATCTGTTTACTCCTGCTCACGATTCCGTTAGTGGCATCAGTGTGTTTCGCATTTATATCATCAAAGTGCTTGGCGAGAGAGAGGTCTTTGCTTGAGAGGTTCTTAGGCCATTTGCAAGCATGAAAGTCTTTACATGCCTGTTCATTGTATCGGTGGGATCACGTCAGCCGCTCCACGATCAATCCCTGACAACTAGGCAATGGTCTGGGTCTAGACCTGGAAACTGGTTTTAGTAGGTGGGGTCCCAGTTGAAAGGCCCGGACCCCACCGGCTTTGGGTGGTCGTGGTCCAGGTTGAGACCTGGTCGATTAACCAGGTCTGGGTCCAATGGACCCAGAACGCCTGCGACCCAAGTAGAAGTTGACCTGGACCTGACCTGTTTACACCCCCTGACCTGTTTACACCCCCCCCCCCCCCCGACTTTGCAACAACGCAGTAACCATCTAAACCCCCCCATTTGCAACAACGCAGTAGCCATCTAAAACATAAAAGCATAAAAGCCTTGTGAAAAGACACAAGATAACACAAAATGATGCTAAGGCCCTAGAATATGGCTGTCCACTTCCCAAGTGCACTACATGCTTGACTGTATAAGAGTTGAATAAAGGTTGGAAAGCTCGTTCGAATAAGAATGGAAGCTGGGGTTACAGACACTGATGTCAATACTACTTTTGCAACAATGAGTGATGGCAAAACTGAAAGAGCAACACTATTTCGATTGGAACTACTGCATATGAATTGAATTGCCATCTGAATTATGAATGCCAGCACCTGTATCTGATCACTTTCCACTTTTTGGTATTTTCACATAAACAAGTGCATGCACATGATGATAAGAGTGTTTTCAAACGAATAAGACCTGATCTTGGAAGTGTAGCAAATCAAGTTTTTAGCCAAACAATCGGTTCAAGACAATTAGGCTTACAAAAAGAGAAGAAGGGAGTCACCATCTTCAAAGAAGGAATTGCAACACCAGTTATGTCCTTCTCCCTGTCAAAGCTCTGTACAAAAGAACAACCAGTTTCACTCAGTAAACAACTGACTACCGAAAGTATATACGAATTGGTTTTGACCAGTGTCGAAAAACTCGATGCACCCGGGTCACCCAGAACCAGCAACCAGCTGGTTCCGGATGACTGCAACTTGGGTAGCCCAAGTCTGCACGAGTCTTGGCCAAGTCTGTCTGGATCCTTCAGAATCAGACTCAGGACTAGGCAACCCAACTCAGACCCACCCCCTGTATGGTTCCATGTCCCACTTGGTGTTTTCAAACACTGACATCAACTTTTTCATTTTGACAAGAAATAGTAGATATAGAAGTTATGATTCATGATATCTGTGATAAGACTAGAAGCCGATTACCTCGTGATACCATGAGAAGAGAGGAATGATCCCTACACCATCTACAATATTTGGGCTTGTCTCTACTCCAAGTTCTCTACACGCATCAAGCAACGCACTCAGCTTCGCAAGAGAATCATGCTGAAAGAAATCAGTAAATCATGTTTCACTTTGAGACCCCATTTTTCAACTATAATCTTTCGACTAGACCAACAAAATCACTTTTTGAATAAAAAACTGATAAAGACCATGCTTTTTTTCAATGGCAATGGTGACGCATTTTGCTAAATAATGTATTTACTTATTGAAAGTTCTACTTGATAAATTTTAAGAAGGAAAAAAATTTAAGTACATATTTCTCCCCCTTTCTTCTGCACCAGAGGTCATGATTCCCAGGTACAAAGAAAACACCATGAAATCGATCCTTCAATAGAGACATTGTGTATACAAACATCTCATATGTCTCTGCTACATCGCCAGCAACAAGAAGAACATCATTCTTGTAATTCATGACCGAGAGACCCTTAATCCACACCATGTTCTCAGAATAGTCAGTATGCAAATCCGAGAGGACGAAAACTCGCAACCCATTTGTTCGAAGCATTCTTTTCTTAGCAGGCAAAATTGGTAGCCTTCTCACACTACTGCCTTTTATAACCTCGCGAAATTTTACGTGATTGTGAACAAAATGTGAACCGCCTGGTTTTTGTTGGAGATTAATGCAAGGCTTTAAGAGCCCTTCCATCCATGCGTTAACAAGGAAAATCTTTCACCTAATGGATTAGAAACAGACACATATCTATCAGAACAGAAGCCTTCCATGGCAAAACTATACAAAAAAGTAATTCGAAACTTAAAACCATTTCTGTGTGACATTCATACAAACAAAAGAAATGTAGCTTTCCCGGCTGAGTCATGAAGGGAATCATAAAAGGCCCCATAGGAACTGTTCACAAGAGTTTTATAAGGAGCATTAAATATTTGAAATTTGGCATGAAATCCCAAATGGGGGCCAAAAGTATTTGAAAACAAGCAAAATGGAAACCCACCATAACCTAAATAGATTTCACAGGGAAGACATTCAGCTTCTGACTTATTAAAACATGTAACAACCCAATTCAAGGCCTGTTGTGCCCCATGAATATTAATTGCGACACAATTAATACAACGAATGGGATTCCTGCACAAATCCCTGCTAATTTAGCAGAAAAATAAAATAGGAACTTACCAGTTTCTTTGTAGACGAAACACGATTTTATTTTCAGGCTACTTGATTTGGGCCAAATTCATGAATTATTATCAGAAGCGCCACCTAGGTCAGTGGCATCTATGAAAATAGTTAAGATAAGGTTAGCTTGCCACTGCTGAAAAATCTACACCGTCCAAATTAAGAATTAACAGTTAAAGAGTTACTTTTCACTTTATGGAAAAATATGCTAAGCTTTCCGATTAATTTGAAGAAATTTCATTTGAGGAAGATTATTTTCTTGATCGACACAAAGTTAAAGGACCACCATTCATTTTTGCTATTCTTACTGTTCCTTGGCCTAAGGTCAGTAACTACTAGCTAATGCTTGCACAAAGCTCTAATTTACAAAATTTAACGAAGCATTTTATTTTTACATATGTTCACTTTGTTTTAACTAATTCGACAATTGGATTTTAAATGTTGTTATGAAATCTCCTATTTATAATTTACGCTATGATAAAATAATAAGATTTTAAATGTTCTTATCAATTCTCTTATATATAATTTGGAAGCCACTATGCAATGCCAATGGGCGAAAATGAACAAAATTTTTTACCCATCGATTCCAAATTTCTCGGATAGCATGGACTAAGAGACTACAACACTCTACTATGTCTGTTGCGGTATCGCAACATGCATAATAGAATTGGTGCGGTAGTTTTTCCACGCAAAATTCAACTGATTCCACCATGGCTCTTGTAGAGCTGGTGCAGTTTTTTTGTATAAATCGTAACAGCTCTACGAGAGTCGTTTCGAGGCTAAACACTATTCAAATTCACCCATGAGCGTTTTTAAGACTTTTCCATATAATTTATGTTATAATACAATTATTGGATTCATAATTTTATTTTGAATTATGCTATTTTAACATCAAATGTATTATATTTTTTTTTTTAATGTTTCAAATATAAATATTACCTACTTTAAAGTATTAATCTAATTTTAAATTAAAATTTAAAATTTTTAAAAAGAGTTCTACTATATCATATTTCATTGCATTCTAATTCTGATGTTTTAGCTATTTATCGTATGCTTATTTTAGAATGAGTGTAGCAGATATGAGGATGTTCAGATGGATGAGTGGCAAGACAAAAAGGGATAGAATTCGAAATGAATCCTTTCGAGAAAATTTAAGTGTGACACCAATAGACGGTAAGATGAGGTGAGTAGATTTTGGTGGGCTGACCATGTGTGGTGTAAACCCAGTACAGTATCTGCTAAAATGTGTGAATTAGTTCAAGTGGAATGCTAAAAAATGGCCAAGGATAGGCTCAAAAGGATATGGATGGAAGCAATGAGAAAAGATATGGGGAATTTTTACTTCACTGATGGTATGTCCTTTAATAGAGCAGAACGACAAACCATGATTCATGTAGCCGATCCCAATTAATTGAAAAAAAACTATGATGTTCTCATTCTAATAATGATATTTTAGCCACATGATTGATGTAACAATTGGAACCTCCTTTGAAACTCTTCCTTCTTAGTAATTATTTACATAATATGTTTAGGATCTAATGGATGACTTGAGATGGGAGTCCTACTTTCCCTACGCATTTGAAAGTCTACAAACTAGTTGGAGAGTTGGAGTCATAGTTAGAGATAAATTTATTGAATCTGTGTAGTGATAAGAGATTGAGAATATAATGTGAGGAGAGAGATCTAAGAATTCTAAGCTTATGAGAGATATTTCAGGAAAATTAGAAGGAGAAAGAAGCCACAAAGAGAAATTCAAAATTCACAATCATTAATTCTCCCTTACTAATATAGACGGCCTGCTATGATCTAGCTTTAGATTTCATCTCAAGGGATTCAAAGGAATCGCTGTTGAACTTAGCTACAATTATCTCTGAGCAACAATTATCTTTGATAAATCTATTTTTTATTTTGTTTTACCACAATGCGTTCTAGTACCTCTGTCTTCGATAATATTCCAAGAAAATCAGTACATTGCAATATTCTAATTCATCATGTTATTATCATGATAAAAACTCTGCGACTTTAATATTATACGTAATTTGAAAGCAAAATTAGCAATTTGAATTTGAAAGGAAAACATGTCAAGTAAGGAAAATAACTCATAGACTTTGATGAAGCAAATGTAGATTCATTCGTATGGAATTGATTAATGAATATGTAAGTTAAACGTATTAAGTGTACACCGATATTTGATCATTCAATTCTGATAGACTTCAGAAAGTATCGTCAACTATAGTGGTCATAAAATTATATTTTACGTATCCTAATAAAATTATTGATATGTTAATTTAATATTATAATAAATAACATATCACATCAACTTAAAGATAATATACTATCAAATCATTTACTTTTAGTACAAAAAAACTAAAATAACTCATACAAATCTACTAATTTGGAGTATCACATTCTTGAAATATCGCTATTTTACACCTTGCGTCCAATCAATAGCACACAACGTGAGACGGTGATGTGACCACCTTGTGCCAAAATAAATAATACTAATGTATGCTTTTCCTTTATTTGATTGAGTCCCAACAATTGATTATCAAATAAATTCCAGATAAAAGAAGGTGAACAGTTCAACTTGATAAAACTCCCCACTCACTGAAGTATACAAATATTCACTTTTAGTTCCAGCATGCATCATTACACATGCCATTGCTCATTTACTGTGAAGGAGAGATGAGAGTTTTAAGACAATTGAATCAACATAGCCCAATTGACTCAACAAAGCCCAATTTTGGGTTTTGGCCTCCAAGATAATTTTAGGTATTGGCAAGATACTGCATTTTTTATAGTTTGGCCTCCAAGATAATTTTAGGTATTGGCAAGATACTGCATTTTTTATAGTTTGGCCTCCAAGATAATTTTAGGTATTGGCAAGATACTGCAGTTTTTATAATTTGGGTTAGGACCATCCTATTGCATAATACAGTTTGAACAGTTCCTTTTTGGCTTTTTGGAAAGGGACCCTTTCAGTAAAATGAGGCCTTCATCAGATCCTACAGTGTCCATGATCGTTTCACATATTCTAAAAGCTGTGAAGTCAAATCCAAACCTCAGTACGAGAGAAATATCATATTAGGTCTTCCAATCTTAAAAGCACCCCAAAACATGTATCTGTTTGGAATTGTATACAACTTTTTACCTTTAATACAAAGAGGTCACAATTAATTACAACCAGCTAATGTGAAAGCTGAAAGCTTAGATACGTCATAAAGTTTGAGAAAATTTCTTTTGAAGTTTGTGCTTGATCAATAGAATAACCATAGCAATCTAATTTCACATCCAATAGTCATGATAACTGTGACCACCTTGTACCAAAAGTAAATGATCTCATTATATATTTTCCCATCTATTTTCCACCCAAGTCCTTTGCATCAGAAGTCTTCACATGAAAATGGTTAGAAAGCTAACAAATATCTAATCTAATCTAACAACCCAATTCCTCAAGCAATCCTCAGAATAAATGGGAATTCTAACATAGTAGCTCTAATACCACATAATTAAAGACATCCAAAAATAATGGGTGCCCACAAAAGGCCCCAACAGGCACGCAAAAGAGTCACAAGAACAAGTTTCAAAACAGCATCTGATGCTGAACATACCCCACTGAAACAAGGAAAGGACAAAAAAACAAGAGCTGAATGCATGAGCTTCTCAGACAACAACAAGAGGATGACCCCTTAAGACTCAAATCACCAGCTATCTACCACTCACTCATTTAACAATGCAGATCTTTATGACAGAAGCTGCCCCAATACGATGCAATGCCACGATAGCATCACCCTTCTTGCAAAGCCCCCTTTCAGTTGCTGAATTCAACGCTGCATCCAAAATGACCTCAGTCGACTCGGCATCGGTGGCCTTGGCCGACCCCTCAGCCAACAAAGGGATCAACCCCCTATAGATCAAGCTATGCCTAGCAGGTGTCTCATCGCTAATTGTCCAGTCAAAAGAATCAGTCGTCAAGACTGGCACCACCACTGAGAGGATAGGAACCGCTGGCCTGTACTTAGCCACAAGTTTAGCAGTGGTGCCACCACGAGTCAAGACAACAATCAAAGTGGCCTTAGCCTTGTTTGCAGTCCTGACAGCTGAAGAAGCAAGACTCTCAAGAGGGCTCATAGGCAACGGGGTCGACCTGATCATCTCCTTGAAGATGGCACCATAGTCAAGTGACGACTCGGCCTCAATGCATATGCGAGCCATGATCTTGACAGCAAGCTCAGGGTAGGCACCGGCAGCGCTCTCACCACTGAGCATGACGCAATCAGTGCCATCCAGCACTGCGTTGGCCACATCAGTGGCCTCGGCTCGAGTGGGACGAGGAGACTTGATCATGGATTCAAGCATTTGGGTGGCAGTGACCACAGGTTTCCCAATCAGGTTGCACTTGTAGATCATCATCTTTTGGGCAAGGAATATCTTCTCAACTGGGATCTCCATTCCGAGGTCGCCACGAGCAACCATGAAGGAGTCAGTCTCCCTGAGGATCTCATCAAAGTTGACCACGCCCTCCTGGTTCTCGACCTAGGGAATGAATGCCACATGGATATAATGAGTTAAAAGATTTTCCACACTTTGTGACAAAATGTGCCTGATACCAGAGAGAGAGAGAGAGATTTGCATAGGAGTATATGCAGTCATCTATTATTGCAGGTGTTCCCAGGGCTTATGCATGACGTGGACAAAAGAGTATCTGAGTATTTCATAACTCACAGTTTTCTCACACTTCCAAAAGATTGTTGTAATTATGTTCGATTCATGTAAGGTTTCGAAAGATATCAGCACTAATTTGGAGACAGTCTGAAGCCATTGAGCCTCTTGATGAAAATATCAAGTGCTTTGGCAGTCACTCATTGCGAAATAAAAACACACACACACAAATGCACATGGTCACACACATCCACACACACACATGTGCAGACACATGCACACACGCACACATGCAAACACAAACACGCATGGCCATTTTGGGAAATCAGAAAATATGTTCACATTCATGACCTTGAGAGAGGTACCAGTCATGACTCTCAACAATAACAGCATCAGAAAATGCATGTGATTGTAAAAGGCTGCTGAATTCACCACTCACTACCCAAAAAGCTAAATGCATAAATGAAATTTGATTAGCAAGGGTAAAAATAATGAAACCTTGGACATGAGCTTTATGTGCTTCGCATGCTCCCCAAGAACCTGCCTGACATTAACAAGATCTGCACCCTTACGGACAAATGAGAGAGCAATCAGGTCAATTTTGTTAGGAACGCCCCACCCCAATATGTCCTCTTTATCTTTCTCAGTAAGTGTAGGAAGATCAACCACCACACCAGGAAGGTTCACATTCTTTCTCTCACCAAGTAGAGCCGTGTTCTCACATTTGCATCTCACAGTCCCAGCAGCAGGATCACATGAGAGAACAGTGAGAGTGATAGTGCCATCAGCACACAAGATAGTATTCCCAGGCTTCAAGTCCTCAGCCAATTTCTTATAGCTCATAGAAATCATATTCTCATCACCCTTAATGCTATAATCAGTAGTTACAGTGATCTCCTGGCCCTCCTTTAACTGGACTGGTTTCCCATCCTTGAGAAAGCCTGTTCGGATCTCAGGACCCTGTAAAAGGAAATAAACTAGTCATAAGATTAGCATGCAAAATAAAGGAGACCAGTGTAGGAAAAATAGAACCGGATTGTTAACCAGACATGGGCCTAGAAGTGGTTCAACCGGCCTAACCAGTAAACCGGCCGGTTCAACCGTTCTAACCGAGCAAGTCCTAGGTGGTCCAAAAAGTGTTAAAAAAAAAAAAAAACATCTAATAAAATATGAAAAGTATATTTAAAGAATAATTAAAAAAAAGCACATCCAAATGAAGTTGAAAATTAATGAAAAATGGATATTAAAGAATAGATTTGTGCCCAAGGGTATTTTTGAAATTTTTCAAAAAAGATGAGAAAATGTAAAAATAAGTGTTAATGGCAAAAAACAATTTTCAATCTTTGCCATAATGATGAAGAAAAAAGGTAAAATATGCATTACAAACAAAATCCCATATTTTTTGGGATTTTATAAAATTTATTTTTAAAAAAAATTAAAAATACCCCGCTGGTCACCAAAACTGACCGAAACTGGAACCGGCCAGTAGCCGATTCTGATCTAATTGGGCGGTTACCAGTTAGATTGCCCGATTTTTCCTTCAATGATGGAGACATATAACTAATGCAAAGTAAGAGGAAAAAAAAAAAACATGGGCTCCACATCATACTTTGAGTTCAGTCACTGCAAACTCAGTAAACTGCTTAAGGCCCAAATGCAAACTCCCTACGCGACCTCTTTTGGCAAGAACTAGATCTCGCCACCTCTCTTCCTCACCCCATTTAGTGGGGCGGGATGTAAATGTTACCAGGTGGTTTTCAAGCGTAACTATAACCACTCCTCCTTCCTTGTCATGGCCTCCTTCTCTGAATTTGTGGCCAGGAACCACCTTCTAGACATTCTCCTTCAAGGAGCGGCCTTCACTTGGTTGAACCACTCCCTTAACCCTTCCCTCTCTAAACTAGACAGATACCTTATCCCTCTAGAATGGGATGACCACTTTCCTGATACCAATGCCTTGGCACTACCCAAACCTACCTCTGATCACCGGCTCATACTCCTCGACACCCACCTGGCTCTCCGTGGCCCCAAACCTTTTCATTTTGAATCGACTTGGGTCGAAGAGCCTAAACTCCTTTCTCTCATCCCTTCTTAGTGGGAATCCTTTGACACTCAAGTTCATCGTTATGTCAGCTTCTGATAGCAACGCAAGCTTCAACTCCTGAAGGCTCGCTCAAAAACTGGGCCTGACATATATACCTGGCAATTTCAGGGACCTTAAAGCCTCCCTCCTTAGCAAGTTAGCCTACTGGACTCCCGCCCACTTTCCTCATATGAACGAACGGTCAGGGTCAACGTAATCCTTTACAAACATAAGATTTTTTGGTACTAGCGATCCCAGGTCAAGTGGCTGAAATGCGATGACTTGAACACGGCCTTCTTTCATAAGATTGCAAATTGTCGTCGGAGGGATAACACCATCACCCACATCAAAGTGGGCAATCTCATCCATGACCAGGCCCCCTTCGTGGTAGTGGCTATCATTGATTTCTTTCAATCCCTTTTCTCTCAGTCCACTGGCTCACATCCTTACATGGCGGATCTCTCCTTCCGGTCCATTCTAGTAGCTCAAGCCAAGTGGCTCGAGAGACCCTTCACCGAGGACGAGATCCTCAGAGCTATCAAAGATCTTGGCCAAGACCGAGCACCAGGTCCAGATGGCTACCTCGTTGCTCAATTAAACATATTCTGGGGCACCTTTAATGCCGATATCCTTTCCTTCTTCAATGAATTCTATACACGCAGTATCTTCTATAGGACTATGAGCGCTAGGTTCATTACCTTACTTCCCAAAGTCGAAGGGGCGGAAGAGCTCTAAGATTTTCGACCCATCAGCCTAGTAAACTCTTCTTACAAACTGCTCTCTAAGGTCCTAGCCACCAGACTCAGGGAACTCCTCCACTAGGTCATCTCCCCTTCTCAAGGGACATTCATTAAAGACCGCCAAATACGAGACGGTGCCCTTGTTGCTCATGAGTGCATACACTTGCAGCACCAAGCAAAGCTCTTGGGACTGGTCGTCAAATTAGACTGGGAAAAGGCGTACGACCATGTCGACTGGTCTATTCTCAACCAAACCCAAACCAGAATAAGTTTTGGCCCCCGGTGGCACAATTGGATCCGGGGGTGTGTATCCTCGGCCTCCTCCTCCATTCTCCTTAATGGCTCCCCCAAAGGCTTCTTCAGTTCTTCTCAAGGCCTAAGGTTGGGACACCCCCTCTCCCCCTTCTTGTTTGCTATTGCAGTCGAGGTGTTTAGTTGGTCCATTCCGGCCTCTACAAAGCTAACCTACTTTCTAATATCGGATCTGGCGCCCATGGTCCTGTGATCTCCCATCTGCAATATGCAAATGACACGCCCTTTTCTGCGAAGCCACGACCTTACAGGTCGACACCTTGCAAGTCTTCTTGAAGTGCTTCGAAATGGCCACGAGATTTCAAGTTAACATGGCCAAGTCCTCTATGACGGGTATTGCAATGAACCACTCAATGGAACTTCTGGCAGCCCGATGGGGTTGCAAAGTCGATCAATTGCCATCTACCTATCTAGGTCTTCGCCTTTGCTTAGGGAAGCCGAAACCTAGCCTCTAGAGCAATGTGATTGACAAGTTCGATGGGTGGCTCGCCGTTTGGAAGGGCAGGTTCCTCTCTCCCGTGGGTCCAACGACCATCATCAAGGCAACTCTCTCAAATATCCCCGCCTTCCACATGTCCCTTGTCCTTAAGCCTGCCTTGGTCATCACCTGCTTAGAACAACTCATAAGGCAATTTCTTTGGTCCGGGGACAGTAGTCGAAAGTTTCACCTAATCACCTGGGACAAAGTTTGCAAGCCTATATGGGCTGGGGCCTTGGACATCCACAGGCTTAAGCTTTGCAACTTGGCCCTATTAGGAAAATGGTGGTGGCGTAGCGCCACCCAGGAGAACCACCTTTGGAGGGAGGTCCTTTCGTTCAAATATCGTATCCCTGCCTCCGTTTGGCTCCTCTGGGATTTGGAAAGCAATTAACCAGTCCCTTGCCCTCTTCAAGGCACACTCACGATATCGAGCCAAAGCCGGCACTAGAATCCAATTCTGGTCGGACCTATGGATCGGTCATACCCCACTTTGCGAAAGGTTCCAAAACCTTTACCTCCTAGCCTCCAACTGTGACGCCCCAGTTGTGAAGTATTTCGACATGATGGGGGGTACCAAAATACGGAGCCCCAGGTTTAGAAGATCGTTGCTGGAACATGAGGAAGCCGACTTCCTTTCCCTCTCTTCCTTGCTTCACTCATTCTTCCTACCTAGCCACGGCCAAGATTCCTCAAGTCGAGGCTCCCACACCCTCAAGGACTTTCTTGATCTCGTCCTCTCATCGAGTGATACTGGCCCAAGCTATTTCCCTATCCCCTTCCACTTCAGCTCGTGCTTGGTCAAACCTCTCTCCTCCTAAGGTTAAATGGTTTACTTGGATGGCGTACTCGAAAAGAGCCCTCACGGTGGTCCAATTGCAACAGAGAGGCCTTCAACACCCTAACCGCTGCATTATGTGCCTTAACAATGAGGAATCAAAGCCTCATCTCTTTCTTCAGTGCCCCTTGGCACAGGCCCTCGAGGCTGAAACCTTGGGTTAGCAGTGGGTTACCTCTCCATCTATCCCACATACTTTTTCAGCTCCTTTTCTCCCCCCCGTGACCCAAACCAGGGCTATTCCTCTGGAGAACAGAGGTGTTAGCCGTTATTTGGACCATATGGACAGAGAGAAAACGAAGAAATCTTCCAAGGAAGCACAAGCCTCTCAATTCCCTCATCGACCTTCTTAGATATTCTCTTATTTGATAAGCCAAGAATAGTAAGTACTTTAGGCTCGCCTCTCATTCGGACTTCCATCAGAGCTGGCAGGCCCTCATCTCTTGGCATCTCACAAGAGTTCCTCTCTCCTCCCTTTGGCAAACTCCCAACTGCGACCAAATCAAACTTAATTTTGATGGCTTCTCCTCTAGGAAACCCAGAAGCAACAGGTGTCTGAGGCCTCTTTGCAGCTTCGGAGGCGTGCACAGTGCTCATCTACTTCAGACATATCGTCGTCACAGACACTACTACAGCAGAAGCCAGTGCCCTTCTTGAAGGCCTTAGAGCCTTCAACCCCTCTTGGAAACCTTTTCTCATCATCGAAGGGGATAACATGAATGTTTTAGCGTTGGTTTCCAAAGCTGCACCTAGCCCTTGGAGACTACATCACGTCTTCGATGAGATCTCCCATCTTTGCGCAGCCTCACAAGTCTCTTGGAAACATATACTGCAGGAAGCTAACTCCATTACAGACACTCTTGCAAAAGCCAGAGCTAACCTATCCACATTTTTGCCCGCTGGAGCTTGATGTTTTGTCCAAGCCCCTTTTCTTTTCTTCCCCTCTTAGTTAACTTAGTTGTACAAGTGAAGCATTTTTTGGTAGCCCATTCAGCGGCATATAATTTTTGGACCCTTGAGGTTTTTGTACAGGGCCGCTAGTTGTGTTGGAGCCCCCCTCTCTTATACCATTGTATTCCTATTTAATACAAAAGTTAACATTTTCAAAACAAAAAAACATAACTGCAAACTCTCTCTCTCTCTCTCTCTCTCT